ACAAAGGCTTCTTGGCTGTAAAGGGGACAGTGTGTTCAGGTCGTGGTGGTCCAGGTGGTGGACCAGCAGGAGGTAGTTCCAATCTTTGTCGTTTTGCAAGAGGCGTCTGTACCCCATCAGAGAGACCATGTCGAAAAGAATCTGGACCCCTAGGAGGTAGGACAGGAGGGATGGCAGTGCCAAAAAAACTCGAGGAAAAACTATGACTCCAAGTATGTCCATTCACATCCAACTCAGCAGGATCCCACTTCCTTTCCACTCGTTCATAAAGCAGCTGAAACTTGTCTAAATAGCAAAGAGGTTTTGGTGAATTCATGGCGGCCCACCATAGTTGGAGCCACCACAAAAGCGCCAGCCACAATATCTTCTTCGCCATGGAACGTAGCATCCTGAAGACCCAAAGTAGTAGGTGCTGCGCCGGAACGATAACGCACCATTGCAGTGACCTCCCCAAACAGAGCACATAGATCTTCCATCCACTGGAGAGTGCATTGGCGAGGACGGCATCTCCATAAGCGAACGATGGCGGTGTGCTGAGGGAGTTTGCACAAATGTAGCAGATTTTGGCCAAACAGTGATGCCCGAAATACCGAGTCCTCGTAGTCACCCCCATAAATCTGATCCATTGTTGCATCTTCTTGGGATCCAAACAGCGACATCAAAAGGTAGACATACTTCCCAAACAATTGTGCATCAGCAATCGGAAGTCCCCCAGGAGGAATACATGTACCACCATATGTAGAATTTTCCAAATAATTGTGCATCAGCAATCGGAAGTCCTCCAGGAGGAATACATGTACCACCATATGCAGAGTTGACCAAGGGTAGCAAGTGAAAGATATGCCAATATGAACCACCGACAGGGGGTGGTGGTACTTTCCGACCCATCTTCCATCTTGCCACATCACAGATCGATTTATGCATTGCAAAATTTAGCAGATCAAAGTCAGCTTTGTACGGAAGGGGGATCTGTTGAAATTCCGTAGCAATATCCGCACGAAAACGAAGCGTATAATGCAATGTTCGTGTGACACCTGATGTTGCCTCCTTGTGGCCATGGTCCCATACTGCAATGAGATCTCGAGCAACTGCGTGGGTTCTGGCACTTTCATCCAATCAGTCGCAGCCACCACCCGATCATCAGAAAGACACAGATAGGGTTGCTCCTCTTGGCGAAAGAAACTTGCAAGAACCAGAGCAACATTCAGGAAATAAGGGCTGCAAGTCCGATGTGCCTGCACACTTGCAAGAGACGCTTTATCAGCTGAAACAAAACGAGACTGTCGCACTCCAAGCGCTGCCGCCAGTGTCTGCGGGTTGAACATCTTGTTTCGCATCGGAGCCAGGCCCAGTGAACCCGCACGTGAACCAGACCCAAATCTTCCTTGTGCCAAACTAGAGCGACGACGATCCGCAATATTGCCAGCTCGCATGGCTGCTGTCGTAGAAGAATCATTCGCCAAAGAAGCAAACCTAGTTGCCAAGTCATTCGGGCGAATGGCATACTCCTCCACATCACCAGCAGCCAAATCAACTGGATTAGCGGGTGTGCCTGCAGATGTACCATGAACAATTGTTTCTTGGAAAGCCCGCACTTTTTGCATGGCGCCAAGGACATCTTGTGGAACTGAAGGTGGGGAGGCCAAGCGCCGTACCGGTGGAAGCGGAGCTTCTTTTGGGGGACTTGGAGTAGCAACATGCGGAGCTGGAGCCGGGACTTTAGCAATGTTAGGTGTAGCCGTAACAGTAGGTGCAGTGGTGGCAAACACATTTGCGTAAGCATCCAAATCGCTATCAGGGTCCGCTTTTTCTACCAGAATGGCAGGAACAAAGACTGCTCGAGCTTTCACAGGGATCTCTTTTGGTTCATATCGTTGATACCTATCAGGTAGCGCGTCGAAAGGCAAATCAGAAAGCCAAGTAGAAAATTCCGGCCAAGGCCACCCATCCTCCGGAGGACAAAGAACAGATAGGAACGCAAAGTGATCCGGCGGGCTATGATACCCCAATGCCGGCGGGTAGCATTGCCGAGCACGTTCCAACCATGCCCCAACTTGACAACGTTGCCGTATAGCCTGTCGATCGTCCACATCACAGGGGCCAAAGAGAGCACAAGCAATCCAGAGCCATCCCCATTACGTAGCGAGCAAATTGTTCTCGTAGGGGTTGGGCGGCAGCAACGTTCAATAGGCCATCCCCGTGAAGACAAGGCAAAGTTTCCCACAGATCCATTGCAGAAGTAGTTTGCAATTGATAGGACACAGCACTTGAATTCACTGCTGTAAACCAGTCTTCAAAAATAGAAGACTGACTCCGCAATAACTCCAAGAAACTCCCATACGGAGTACCATGTCCACTCAAAGAAGTCTTGAAATCCTCGAAAGAAATAGAAGTTGGCCAATAAAGGCCCACCGGGGCACCACATCCATCAGGAATCAGCAGGATCTTTGAAAAATCTCTCAATAGCATTGCAGGCTTCGTCGCCTGTACAAAATCCCGCTGCCGCACCGGCATTGTCAACCGTGTTTTCCAACTGAGGGAAACCACCAGACTATGAGTAGGGACACTCATATCGCCCTGCCAGTATTGCTGGATCAAAGCGGGCTCAAAGCAATCAGACCACTTTGGGGCCCAGCGATGGACAGCATCTTGCCCATTAAAAGTAGTGCTAACTGGACTAGCGCCAAATCCAATAACCGGAGGAGAATTTGGAGTAAAAAATACGCCAAGGACTGCTCCAACACGAGACGAGCTCAAGAGCCGCAACTTGTCCATAGAGAGCATCTGAGGTGCATTAAAACGGACAGTATCAGCAGAAATGGTCTCTGCTGTCACTGAGTCCTTGCGACCCCGACCATAGACCGAATAGGGCTTACCAGTAGGAACGGCAAACCCAAAGGTCGCTTGAATTTCCGATTTCTTGGGTCTCTTCTTGTCATGGATCGCTTGATGAATTGAATCATCTGAAAAGCAGATGCTGACAGAAGAGAGAAACTGAGTTCCCATCTGGGGACTTTCAGGACCAAGCAACTTGGGGAAGGATGTCATTTTCGAAGGATGACAGGTGCACAGAACGCGATTTCGTTGTTTCAACAATGCCTCGGAGCGGTGGAAGGCGAATAGAAGATCAAGACAATCCGATCAGCTCTTATAGGAGGGATGTTGGAAGTTGTTAGCTGCACGTCACGCTGGCCGATCGCAATGAATGAGGGCGGCGTGTAAGGAGCTGGAGTTTTTCGTTCGCTTGCAGACAAAGGCTGGGTACCAAGAGAAAAATTGAATTACCACGACACAAGTGGGTGAATTCAATCTCAGTCGATAAACTGGGCATCATTGCCTCGGCGCATCGACAACAACTTTTGACGGTCGAAGGCCGTTCGGCCTTTGTCCGTCTGTAACACAATGTAGTCAAAGAAATCGAACAGTGTGCCTGCGGTCTACGTTGGAGTATCTCGGTTTTTAAAACGATTAACGAATGACGAACTAAAGTACAGTAAATCGACAACGTCCATCCTTCAGTCGATCGTTTTGTCTGCAAATTGGTGTTCGGGTGTCAGAAATCAAGCTATTTATTTAGTAACCATTCTCATGTAGCTCCGTGTCGCATCATGTCGCAGTTGACCTCATGTTCCTTTTTGGGCCGACTCAATCGACCAAAGGTTCGACTCTAGTCGACTTCTTCACGGTTTAAGGGCCTGATCACGACTACTACTACGAGTATATGGTTCTTTGTTTCGTTTTCTAAACACCACGTGCGGTTAGCCTCCTACAAGTGGAAGAAGAAGAATTAAAATGAGCACATTTTTAGCTTCGCAGTTGTGGATGAGAGCCTTCTAATGTGAGAAAACTGATGTGAGAAAAAGTGTTGTGAATATGAGGTGCGTTTCTGATGTGAGAACTGTTCAGGTTTGAGGTCCCTGCCCTGTGGACAAGAGCGTTCTGTTTTGAGGTCCCTGCATGGTGGTCAAACACCCTGCTGTGAAGAATGTGGTCGTGAATTTACAACTGGTTCCGGTGCAGACTCGTTCGCGTCACTGCATTTTCACTTTCTTGATTGATTCCTTCATTCCTTCATTCCTTCAACATCCTTGAGAAGCTAGTAGGTACAACACCGATACATCGGTACGTGTACTATGTAATCTAAGATGAAAAGGAAAAAGCGCGTTCTAATCCACGAAGAACCGCGATTCTAGTTACTTCATCCAACGAGCACAATGTTATCACGACTGACCACCATCAGTGTACGGTAGGTAGGTTTCGTTCTTTTGCAATAAATATGCAGAATGCGTGTTACAAATTCGGGTCGAACAGAATTTTTAGAAACCGCAGAAACCGGCGAGAAATTGGGATCATCGTGTTGATTCGACAGTAGGACAAAATGAGCGGGAACATAGCCACAGTTGCCTTCGCAGCTGTGAAGAAGAGCCTTCAGTTGCCAGAAGTGTTGAGGTCCCATCCTCCTCCTTGTGGGCAAAACTACCTACCCTGCAAAGAATGTAGTCCTAAGTGTAAGTGACAATACATTTATAGCTTTTGGTACCACTTTTCTGGATACAACATGAACTCTGATAGACTTCTCATAGACAGAACAGCGTCTGAAATATATTTGGCTCAAAACAAGCTGTCGATAAGTTTTAGTGGCATATTTTGGAGTGGTCATGTTGACAGGCATAATATCTCTAAGTATTGTTGATACATTCGACTCGACATGTTCGCAAAAAGAAGCATCAAAGAATTGACACACACAAAGAAGCCATGTTCTATCGTTCTTTTGGTTGCCACGCATTTGAAGGGAGAAGAATGCCATAAGTCACAACTTTTTTAATCTATGGACATCACCACGAACGGGAACACCCTCTCATGATGTATTGGTCCGAATATGACGACGCTTCATTTGGAATTTCATCCACAATACCTTTCTCCGCGCCCAACGTGTTCACAACTTGGGCATCAAGTGTGAATTTGTATCGCACCTTGTTACTTTTTTAAACTACAAACAAATGCAACAAGCTCAGAATGTCGCAGGTCTGGCACATGCTGGAAGGGCCATCGCACCTACGGGGAATGATGTCCTATTTGGACGTGGTAAGAGGTTTCAAAACCACCCTGGTAACTTGCGAATGCGAAAAATCATCAGAAAATATAAGAAGATCTACATGGCCCAGAAAGGCCAACACAAAAAGCGACTTGTGGTAGAAAACGCTTACAGCGAGATCGCCAGTGGCGGAGCCAGATTTGTCAAGCAGAGTGAAGATGACAAGAACGAATGGGTGGAGGTGATGATGCACGAAGCATTGGAAAAGGTGGCTCATACTATCCGTTACAAGCCAAGAAATTCCAAAGAAGGAGGCTCTGCGGAAGAGGGCGATGGAGACGAGAGTAGTGCTGATGAGAAACCAGTCAACATGGCAGCCAATACGGTAGTCTTGAACAGGGATCAGCCGGCTTCTTCTCTCGCATCATCACATGCCCAGGTCCGATCGGAAGTGGAATCAGCACCAGGGCCAATCTCCTATGAGAGTCAGATGACAGCAGCAAGCCATCTCTACAATCCGTTGCTGAACCCAGGCATCAGTCATCAACGAGTCAATCAGATTATTCCGCCAATCTCTTTACTAGACGTCTATGTGAACCCGATCAACAGACCATTTCTGCAAGCTGGTCTACTGTCACCGTCACACTATCCTCAAAATCTACTCTTGAATAGGCTTGGAATAAATTGGTATGGCATGAACCAAGCAACGCCAGATTCATACTTAGCGACAGCTTTGGGTATGAACCAACAACCTGATGCAACCACAGCAGTTGGTCAACGTCAGCAACAACAAGCAATGATTGCGCAGCAAATGCAGCAAGCAGTCCAGGATTCAGAAAAAAAATCACCCCCCAAAGACAAGGAAGAAACAGGCAAGGCAAAAGCGGAGTGAGGATAAGGGGCAAGGAACTACTCCAAAAGCACCTCTACTAGTAGTACCACTCCACCGCTTCGAAGAGTACGAAAATTTTCCACACAAAGTAAAACAAAGCTAGCTTGAATACATAGATAAAGACCTTAGACTGTCATACCCTTGATGTTCGTAATTTTTCTGATCTTTTTAGGAGTGTTTTGATGGTAGACCGACAAGATTACGACCATGAGAGAACTGCAGTGCCATGGAAGAGAGTCGTTTGAGCCTGATCGGGTGATGGCAAGACTGATCGGTTTCGAACAGAAGAAAAGTACATGCTTCTCACTTGATTCCAGCAACTGTACTGTACCCTGCAGTACCTGCCACTTACACTTTTATTCGTTGTCTCCAGGCCTACAGTATTATTTTGTCACCTGGCATCAAACAAAGCGAAACAGCATGGCTCCATCTTGCAAACATTAGAACTTGAAACTAGCCATATCAAATGGGGCATACTATTCGATATAGAGATGCATAACACGAAGTGCATCCAACAAGAAGTAGCAGAAGCCAGCCAAGAGGAGGAGACTGAAATTCGCTGTCTTTAAACAACAAACTGGGGGTTCCTCCTTCTTCCCACGTCGAATATTGCTGTCTAAGTTGGAAGAGACGAGGTATAGTAGAGCTCTCGAACCTTGATAATGGGGTAGTAGTTGGAGCAACTAAGCTGCTGTTGCAGGCGTTTGGGTTCCCCATCTCCTCGTAGTCGTGGAGCTTCACCTTTCTTTGCCGACAAGACCTTCCGTACAACGAAGCGCCGGATACAAGCCTGAGAATGGCAAATTGTAGTAAACAAGAACCTTCTTTTCTTTTTTTGTCTCTGTGGTGCTGGGTTTTGATCTTGGACTTCATCTTTCTTTGTTGATGTCGATGAGACTTTGTGTGCGAAGAAGCACTGGGCACAGGCCTGAATCAGGATTACACATTTTAAGCGAGCTCCTTCTCAGCTATTTCAGAGAAGGAAGCTCTGGTGCTGGGCTTTGCAATCATTTTTGGAGTCTACCACTCTTCTTCATGATGCAGTCGAATAAAAAGGAAACAAGTCAGCTGCCATTTAAAAAAAGGGAAACTATGTGGTTACATTCAACAAAACAAAGCTTAACAATCTGGTTACATTCAACAAACAAGAAAAACTAGCTATTGCAAATTGGGACGTATATACGATGCACAACACAAAGCGCATCCAACAAAGGGGCTATAGTTTGTCTAATAGACAAACTGCTGCAAGCTCCTCATTCTTCCTGTATCGTAGAAAGCTTTCCAAGTTGGAATGGTTTATGATACAGTTCTCGGACCTTGATCTGTTCCAGAATAACATTGACTCTTGCCGTTCGATCAAAGGGGTAGCTGGAGCAGCTTTGTTGTTGTTGCAGGCGTTTGAATTCCGCTTTTCGTTGCCTTTGGGCTTCGTCTTCCTTTGCTGCCAAGACATTGCGCGCAAAGAAGCGCCGAGCACAAGTCTGGATCAGAATGGCAGCTTGTAAGCGACCTTCTCGCCTTCTGTTTCCTGATAAGGAAGCTCTGCTGCTGAGCTTTGAGAAAGAAGCAGCGGAAGGTTCGTCATTCTGGGAGTCTATCGTTTTTCTTCGTGATGGATTCGAATCAAAAGGCAACAAACCCTGCCTTCCAACTTTCCTCTGAGCAATCTTATCCCTTATCTTCAGCCTCTCTCGTTGCAACTTCTCATACCGTGATGTAGTTTTCCCACGAGTGCTCACCGAAGCTTGGTTGTCTTCAGCACAGTCCTTTGTTTCTTCCATCACAACGTTGCTTGAGCCGTCCTCGTTGGAGCTCTTACCAATTGACAATGCCAGGTCTTGAAGTCTGCCATCATGTTCACGTCCGGAAGCTGGCCTTGGAGGTGAAAGTGGCAAAGGCTTTGATGATGACAACGCTTTCTGTGATGCAGATGAACCTTCTCCGAGGTGACCTGCGAGGGAATGATCGTTTCCGCCAATATCTGCGTCACGAAAAGGTTCCTTCCTATCGTTTGCTGCATGGATTACTGAACCTCTGATGATGGTCTCGAGCGACAGGAAGCATGAAGTATGTATTGATTGATCTTGTAGCAGTTTTCTGGGAGATTTCTTGATGGTTTCAATGGAAGCATGGTACGACCATATAGGTTCTGACTTCATAGAGCCTTGGTACAATGGTGACCCTGATAGTTCCCAATCGCTTTGCCATAGTTCCGTATCGATTCTTCCCATTTCCAGAGCATATGGTAAGGGTTAATCACTGAGCATGGTTTTTTGCCTGGTTTGTTTGGGTTCGCTGGCTCGTGATGCCACATTTTAGTGAGAGTTTGAACCTCTCTTGGAAGCTGTTGTGAGAATACTTAACTGCAATGCGGAGCCGGCATGTCGAGATATTTAACACTTCTCGAAGAAAGAGAGCTTGGCTCGGAAGCTGTGACTCGACGAAAACACAAATGTCACAGAACTTTTGAAGAGGTGCGCGAAGACCGACGGACAAAACGCACGAACAACGGTCGAGCCTTTTTTTATTTTTCCACGTGTTGTTTCAGTCCCGGCTGTAAAAAGTGCCACGAAACATATTTCTGATCTCAAAATTCAACACGATCGTTGTTCTCATAACTCATAATATTTGTACTTTCAACACAAAAGCATGTCAGATCATCAGAGCCTTCAGAAACTAAACTACGCAAATGTAGTTGCTTACATCCTAAACACCCTCGTCACATATGGCGTGGGCGTCTCGGGACGCTTCCCAACCAACGGCGAGCTCTCTGCAAAATACCAAACATTGGTGACACCCGCTGGCTTTGCCTTTGCCATTTGGGGAATCATCTTTACAGCCGAACTCATATGGTGCACTGTTCAACTACTTCCACGATACCGATCAAAGGCCGTCGTCCTTCAAGGCGTTGGCTTCAACTATGTCTACGCATGCCTGGCCCAAGTCAGTTGGACCCTATGCTTTACGACTGAATACATTGCTCTTTCCTTAATCTCGATGGTATCAATCTTGATCCCGTTGGTATTGATCGTGAACAAGACTTCCAAAATTTCGAATGATAATATATCGGACTATTGGCTTTTGAAATTTCCATTTGAAATCCATGCCGGATGGATCATGGCGGCAACTCTGGTCAATACCAATGTCTTCTTGGTGGCATACCAGGCATCACCCAGCAACCAGATTGTGGCAGCCTGGTTCTCCTTGTTTGTACTTGCGAGTGCAGCCGTGTATTACATCAGCAAGAAGAAATGGGTCGTCCCTTGCGTGTTGGTATGGGCTTCCAATGCCATTCGTTTGGAACTGTCATCACCAAAGGATTCCATTGCCAGCGCCTTTCCAACGGAAACCATCCAAAGCGTCCGAGATGCATCTGGAGTGCTTGCTGCTATCATTCTTGCTACGACAGTTGCTGCTGCCGTTTATGGGCACTTTTCTGGACCCGACGACGACGAAATTGAAATTCAAACCGGTGCCAACCGAGAACCCTTTGTGGACCACCACCAACAACAACAAGCCACCAGTTCTTAGGCATGTGGTGCTTCTTAATAGCTCTCCTATATAGTCCTGACTGACTATATAAGACAACATATAAGTTTTCATATTGATTGAAAACTAGTGCATTCTTTATATTAATCATAACAAATCATTACAGAAGTGGAACGATGTCTCATCGAATTGTGATCGGGACAACCAATGATATATAATACTAGCTAAAAGTAGCAGTAGTAGTAGTAATAGTAGTAGTATCGACATGTATGTATAATTGTTTGTTTGTCCCCTTTGTTAGCCATTCGCCAATATATGTATATATATATACATGGATGTATTATAATAGGTATTAGTTTTACGCAAGATCCAGTGCATTGAGACCGGACGACACGTCGGACATGTTCATGGATCGTACATCGGACATGTCCGGAGCATTCATCATCGTCATCCATTGTTGGCTCGATGAAGTTCCTGACGTAATGGACATGACCGAGGACGAAGCAGTAGCATGTGCTCTGTTGCTACCACTTAAAACGGATCGCAATTGAGCCAAATCGAATGATCACTGCTGATGCTGTCCGCCATGCTGCCCATGCCTTTGAAATACGAATCGCTCCCGTGCCGGGAAACTCGGGGACCTGGCAATGGAGGATCCACCCCCGCCACAGACGATCCACCCCCATGGACATGTCTCCCCACCCAGTGACATTTGCATGTAGGAATTCACATCATTGAATCGAGCATGGCTAAAGCTGTTGTTGCTGCTGCTATTCTGATGTTTCGATTGTTGATGATATTCTGCAGCAGCAGCAGCAGGATGATGATGTTGTTGTTGTTGTTGTTGCGGCGGTTGGAATCCGGAATTGCTGCTGCTGCGTGGCGCATATGGATGATGATGATGATGATGATGAGCACTAGCAGCAGCATATGGATGTGCCCCAGCATATTGATAATGTCTGCTACCGCCATTGTTCCCATTGCCATTCGCAAATCCAGAAGTAACGCGTGCTGGAGACCTTGTACTATTAGTTCCTCCTCCATTCATTCCACTTCCCGACATTGTGGATCGTACGGGATCCGTGAGACCGGAAATGGAACTCATGGTCCCTTCCGATCCAATGGCCGATTCCGGAGGATGAAAGGGTCGTCCAAAGGCGTTTTCTTCCACATGAGGCAAAAGCAAGGCTTGCTGTTGTTGGACCTCATGAATGTAATCGGCCGAGACACTTTGGGGTGCTTGAATGGGAATGCTGCGGGCTGGAAAGGATCCCGAATATGTTTGTGGTGGTCCTGATGTTCCTTGTGAATAATGCTTGAGGTATGGATTATTCGCTTGTTGTGGTGGATTGAATTGATGAAAGGGAGGAGGCATGGCAGCACGACCTTGTTGATCGACAGTGTTCCTTCTTCCCTCTGGCAGCAATTGTGGACCATGAGCATCAAATGCGGTGCCACTAGTAGTCCTGGTACTACTACTACTACAATTTCGTGGTGATGGACTTGGGGATGACGCAGCAGCCCCATTGACCATTTTGGGAACAATGGGAGACTTTTGTGTTGGCTTGCTGCTGCTGGGTGATTTGGAAGCTGTTGTTGTTGTTGTTGTTGTTGCAGTTGTTGCTGCTGGAGCTGTTTCTGTAACCACAGACTCGCCATCAATCTCGGGCCGTATGTCCGGAGCATCCTCTCGGAGCGCTTGTCCCGTTTTCTTGATTGCCTTTGCATCGCCAATATCGTACCACATTCCCGACTTTCCATCTTCCTTTAAAAATCTCCCGGCTGGTTGCATGGATCGAATGTCATTGACAATGGCTGCCGCAATGTGGGCCTTTTCCAATTTCTTGGTGGTGGGCGCCAGATAATCTTTTTTATGGCTCGCAATAATCTCCCGAAATTGTCGATTGCCCACGTGGGAATTGATGCGACCCCCTCGTCCACACAGGACGTCATTGTCATTGGGATCTGCAATGGGTCCAATCCCCCGAGGAGGAATGACAATATCCGGCCGCGGTTGGGCGGTCGATTTTCGTGCCGATGCTTCCTTGGCGGCAGCAGCGGAAGCGTGATTGTTAGTAGGAAGGTGGTTGCCTCCAATCATGGACTGAACGACACCTGCGGCTGCCTGTCGTCGTTGTTTCTTTCGATTGAACTGTGGTGTTTTTGTTGTTGTTGTTGTTGTTTCAAGAGCAGTAGTAGAAGGTGGCGAATAAGGATGCAATAGTGGAGGAAGATGAATCATTAAATGATGGGCGGAGCATCGAGGAAGATAATTGTAACCACCATGATGATGATGATGATGATGATGATGATGATAGGAATGATTGGAAGACGACGATGATATTAAGGAATGAGGGCGACGACGCATGTTAGTCAATGAATGAATGAATGAATGGATGGATGATGCACAATAGGATGATCCGCTCTCGCAGTATTGTATGAAACAACTCAAGCAATTCCATACTGTACAATCACACAGTACGGTATATCATCCTACAGTACTTGGGTCAAATTCCTGAAATTCCTCGTCGATCGTGTCAAATTTAAAGTTTGGGTCACCTATTCGCATTGTCTCTTTTTTTTTTAAAAGATGGGAAAAACACATGACGACACACCGAAACTTACCATTGTGAAAGATTTTTGAGTTTGTCAATAAACGGTTGTGTATGAACAGTTGTATGCCAAACGAATGCGTTGGTGACCTGCAACTGACGACAGTGAAAGTGTGTGTTTGTGTGTGTGTGTGTATTTGTTTGTTTGTTTCGGTGAATTTTTACTTATTGTTTGATACCGAGAGCCGGTCGAAAAGGTGATTCAATAGAAATGCTGGAACACCCCGTAACCAGTGTCCTTGTAACAGTTATGCCACGACACGAAATATCGAGTCATGTATTCCAAACGGTTCCAGCCAAAATCCCAACTCTTTCCACCAATAAGATGATTGATTGCTTGTGTCCAAAAGTCAAAGTATCATGTGCACAAGTTCTGCCAGGTACACGTACCGGTATCATCATATCACATTGGCAACCACTCCGTCGCACCATGGAACCTGCTGTAGACTTTCATGTACCGTACCAGAAAATGCTGTACTAGAAGGAATCAATCAAGTTTTCCAGAGGATTCATGAAGGAATCATCTTTTCGTCGTTGCGGAGACGTCCGCCGTCGCCGCCGTGATGATTCCTTCCACTGCATGCCTGCATGCATGCATGCATGCATACTTGCTTGTATGTACAAGTACAAGTACAGTACCAATAATGCATGATACTGTAGTAGGTCCGCCTCCAGATTTCATTAGTTGCCCAAATAAAGTCGTCATAATACTACTTTTCTTTCTTTCTCGTCAAGAAGAAGAACGAGAATAAATACAAACAAGCCATAAAACCATCATGAACTTGTGCTATCCATCGAAGTCAAGGGGACTCGTCTCGTTAATTGACGGTGATTCCTATCACCATGATGCCGACGATGACCACAAGAATAAGCATCATCATAATCATCATTGTCATCATCATTGTCATCATCATCATCGTGGAACACTGCTGTCATCAACAACAGCAACGCAGCCTCCCTTTCTTGTCTACCCAAGTCCTACCAAACTTGTCAACAACAACAACAACACTGATGGTAGTAGTTCTATCTATACTACTACACCTACTGCTGTTGGAGACACAAATACTCATCATCGAAGCAGCATCTACCCAGCTTATTTGGCATCTTTGTCATCCTCTTTCTCCACAAGTCCAAGACTGCTGTCCCAATCCTCATTTCCATTGGCAGATGATGCATCCATTATGCCGGCTCCTTACCCACGAACTCCTCCTCCGTTTCCCCGACGACGACCACATGCTGGCACCATTGTGTCTCCACCGGCCCCATTGCGGATTTCTTCTTCTTCTCATCATCCATCATCTCGTGCTTCTGCGGCTGCACAGGAACCTTATTGCCACCGCCAACACCACCACCACCACCACCATCACAAGTTGCAGTACGAAACCATTGGCCCGGCACACCTTCGGACTTATCGACTCTTGCTTCCAAACGATTTGATCGCCGACTGCCAATTGGATCCCATTGTGGCACACGCCGAACATTTTGCCACCAATCGCCTCTTGCATGGATGGCAGACGGATTTGTATTCCTTGACCAAGCAGGACATTGCCTTGCGGGATATCCCGGGCATGTTGCCATTGATACAACCGATCTTTGACTATGTCACGCAGGCCATTCGAACCTTGTACGGGTGTCACGAAGTAGTGGTAGACAAGAATCAACCGCACATTCTCAAATATTCGGTCGATTCGGGGCATACCGGAGGTAAGAGATGGTTGTGTGCCATGTGATGATTGTGTGATGATTGTGTGTATGTGTGTGTGACATATATCGTCTCATTCTGATGTATATCCTCACTCACTCAATGTGTGCTCTATCATCCCATCATGTATTTGTTTGGTTACTGTAGTTCAATTGCACCACGACCGATGCGATGTCACTGCCAACTTGGCACTCTCCCGTAGTGGTGATTATTGTGGAGGAGGGTAAGTTTGACCTGCTGCGGCTCTGACTCTATTTTGTTTTGGAATGTATGCAAATCTCATTTCTTTTTCGTTTCTTCTTTCTCTACCTAACTACCTACCAACCTACCTACCTATAACTATAGTACCTACATTCGAGATACTGGTTCCATCATCAAGTTGAATTACGGAGAATGTTTGTTGCATCCAGTACGTTGCACTCTTTTTTTGGTTTGGTTCTTTTGCTGCGTCTTGTTGCCATATTGTGATTGTATTCTTACCACCACCACTCAATCTCACCTCTCGCTTTCTTCCGACATCCCTTCCTTCCTTCCTTACTTACTTACTACTACAAACACTACATTTGTCATTTGTAGGGTTCTTTGGTGCATGGCGGAATGGAAGTTACCAAAGGTACTCGATACTTGATGGTGACCTTTGCTCATTTGAGATGAAGAACTTGCAAATGATCTATTTTAATAATTCTTCCATGTAATAGATTGCGCCCACACCACGAAGAGACGCTACTAGCCAAGAAGTAATATATAAGGAAACTACCTACCACGCAGAGTAAGAGTAGACCCATTGAGATGTTGATTCATTCATTCATTCATGACTATTCTAGAAAAACTCTTTTCAAAAAACTATGCAATCTATTTACTATTTACTTGCTGTGTGCTTCGGATTTTGAATGATGACTACTGTACCTTCCTTCCTTCAATTATCCGAAATAGCACGCAGCAACACATACATCAATCGTCATCGTCATCATCATCATCAATCGTATCACTTGCATCTATTTCGTATTCTTCCAATGCCTTGAAAGGCATATTCATTTATTCATTTATTCCTTCATTCATTGAAAGGCATCATTCGAGTCATCAGAGAAGGAGGAATCCTCCGCAATGCCACGCTCCTCCCGCACCAAGAACTTTCTGGAGGAGGACAAGTTTTTGGTGTCAACATTAGTATTCTTGTCATTGTTCTTGTCATCATTCTTTTTGCCATCATTACTATCCTCCCCCACCACTGGCAAGTCATCCATATTGTCATATTCGTCCAATTTGGCTTGAATCTTTTCCATGGCCACCACGTCTCCCAATCGCTTGGCAATTTGAAAAGCTCCCATTAATTGATGCACCTTGAAACTCGTTTCAATATTGTGAGAAATCCTGGTGCTCTGTTGGTGCAAGGTTTGAATCGACGTGCGTTGAGGAAAGTCCTGTTCGAGGAGTTCGGGAGGATAATAATAACAACAACAAGAAGAGTTGTCATTGGTGTCATTGGTGTTTTCACCGTCATTTTCGCAGTAGTTATTGTCAATTGTTTCTCCCTGTTGTTCTTCTTCTTCTTCTTCCAGCACCTGCAAAACAATAGGAGCCTTGTATCGGAGTGCCAATGCCAAGGATGTAAAAATGTGGGAAGTCTCGGGATTGTAGTGAAAGGCAAAGGATTGGACCAATTTGGGTGTGACCGACACGACAAAAGAGGAGGAGGAAGACAGCAGAGACAAAGACAAAGCAGCATTGGTATCAGTATCAGTAGTACCAGTAGTAGAAGCAGAAGCAGTACCAGTACCACAAGTCCACATGATATTCTTGGGCAGGGCACAGGTCAATTGGCATTGACAAGTTTTTGTCTTGGGGTCATATTGAATCAAGACTTGATCCAACGTGATTTGAGGAAGTGCCGTGCGAGATTGAAACCAAGAGGGAGCGTCCATGTAGGATTGGGAGGGACAGTCTTGAGGGAGAATCGTTTGGACGTATTCCGCCAAGAGATCTCCATTAGACTTGGCGACGTTAGCATTATCATTCGCATTGCCATCATTGTCATCATGACAATCATCATTGTCATCATGATTGGAATTGTAGTAGGCTTGTTCGGATTGAACAATTGCCATTTGCGCCAAGGTTTCGGGTGGAAGAACGGCTCCCGCCATGTCCACTTGACTCAATAGCTGCAAAATGGTCAAGGCTTCTGGAGAGGAAGCCTTGTAAGAATCTTGTGGATCCTTGGTGATTGGCAATGGCAAAATTCCTTTGCGAGTTTGAAACAAGACGTGAAATCCCTTGGTGGACACGGAAACCCCCGAAATGACGAGGCGTTCGACCGCAGAGGAGGAGGAGGAAGCATCCTTGTCGGTTGTTTCGTCATTGGAATACTGCAAGCAGGTTGGATTTCTTTGTCGTTGCTGTTGTTGATGTTGATATTGTTGATGTTGATGATGTTGATAATGATTTCTTGAGGCACCAGGGGGCTGCCATCGTTTGTCATTCTTCTTGTGGTTCTTCTTGTGGTTCTTGTCATTGATATGAAAGCGACAAGAAGATGATGATTGTGATGTGGACGACAACCAAGCTTGAGATTGTCCAATCATATGGAAAGATAGTAAAAAGCTGAATAAGAAGAATTTCATCTTGTTTATTCTTGTCTTGTCTACTCTTGTTTTCTTCTTTTTTCAAATGCTTGAGTGGTTCTAACATGCAAACTTCCGATTTGATTTCTTTCGAGATGATGTCTTCGCCTGCAGATGGTATCATGGGAATGAGAACATCATGGACAGAACAATCATGTCGCAGAAGACACATCAATTGCTTCTTGTCTTTTCATGATGATTCATTCGAAAGAGTCGACAATTGGTGACATCATCACTTGCTCTTTTACATTTTCGAGCCGTTTCTCATTCATTTATTTCGCAGTCAACGTCACAAGAGTCGAAATCCAATCGAATCGAAAAAATCTGCCTCCAAACACTGAAACTTCCGGTGTTCCACACGACTTGTATTTTATTGTACCGGTAGTCATATACGGCAGGTTAACATCATTCCCATTCAACAAGAACACGCAACAACAACAACAACAACAACAACAAGACAAGCCCCTCTACTAGACAGTGCAAACAACAAACAAACGAACAAATACAACACAATAAACAAACACTAACAATCAAAAGCAAAAGCAAAAGCAAAAGCAAAAGCAAAAAATCAAAAATGCAGAAACCAGACGAACGAAAAGCCAACGCCGTGGCAGATTTGGAACGACGACTCGCCATGTTGGGAAGTATGGATGAACCAGCAGCTGCTCCTTCATCACCAAGTATGCCACCACCCGCACCAACCACGGCTCCCATACCTCCACCACCTCCAGCCTATAATGCGGCAACCATCAACAATAACAATAACAACGACAACGACAACACGGATGCATCAACGACAACATCAGCGCCAGCACCAGCGTCATCATCAAGAAGTGGAAAGGAGGCCTTGATGGTACGTCAACATTGTACTATGACAAACAAAACAATTATATATGCATGTGTCTATGCATTTGTTTTTGTTTTACATGACTTGTGTATCTATACAATATTTTGTTGGATCGATTGCTCACACCCCATCATTCTTTACGATCATTTCTATTGTCTCTTGTATATATCTTCTGTGTTTTAGGCCCGCATTCAAGCTGCCAAAGAAAAGGCTATTAAGGAAAAGGCAGCACTCAAGGCACCACCACCACCATCACCACCAGCCTACAATGCCGCTCCATCACCTCCCTCCATGCCCATGGCACCACCATCCTACTCGGCACCACTACCACAAGCACCACCCAGTTATAATAACAACAATGCACCCCTACCACCGCCGCCCAGTTATGATAACAATGCACCACCGCCGCCGCCACCACCGCCCAGTTACAATGCCATGCCACCACCGCCGCCACCTATGCCATCCTCCTCCCCACCTGCCTTTGATTCCAGCATGGCCTTTCCACCTCCTCCTCCCATGGAGGCAGTCGCACCACCACCACCCATGCCGTCCTACATGATGGCTCCACCTGCGGCATCGGCACCCTCGTTTGAATCCATTTACGAGCCACCACCTCAAGAAGATGAACCACCACAAAATCACTATGCCGACTTGCAAGCCTTGCCACCACCACCATCCGCTGCGGCGGCGGCACCGGAAATGACCTTGGATGCCGACATTTTGGCAGCCTTGGATCCTGCCGAACGCGAACAAATTTTACAAGAACAACGAGAAATGTTGGCTCAATTTGAATCTTCCTCCAACAAGAAGAAGCCTAGTAGTGCCGCTGCTGCTTCTTCTTCAAGTCAACAAGATTTTGATGTTCAAGAGGCCATGGCGCAATTTGAACAAATGGATGCTCAATTGGCGGCGGATGCGGCGATTGCGGAAGAGCTACAGAAAAAGGAATATGGAAAGGCATCGAATGATCGAGCAATTGCGGCCAAACAAGAAAAGAAAGCCAAATCGGAATCCCAGTCGTGGCTCGAATGGATGACGGGCAAGGACAAGGAAGCGGAAAGTAGTAGTCCTAGCAGCAGCAAGCTCAAGAGTCGATCGTCGTCGTCCTCCGACTATCCCGCCAATACTACTACTACTACTTCAAGTGGTAATAGTGCCAGCAGAGCAGCACCACGATTGTTGGTGGCGGCTCAAACGGGAGACGAATCTCCCATGGTACCGGCCAACAATACGGGTTCCTCCAAACCGCAAGGTTTGTTTGCGTCGGCCTTTGGAAAATCGGAAGAAGACACGAGCAGTATGGTGGCAGTCCCACAATTTTCAAGACAACGGAATTAAAATAGTATAGTAAGAGATTATAAAAAATAATCAATCCATCATATAATAATGATGATGATGATGATGATGATACTGTAATATACCAACTAGAATGGTGGTTGCTGTTATTTTGGCGCAACATCTCTCCAAACTACTTACTATCTAAAGTTCTACTGTACTCTTGATGTACTACACTGTAACATTGTTGTCCAGCAGCACTTTGTAAGTCAGTCGTGGCATGAATCAATCCATCAAACGTACAGAAGTAGCTCCATGACCGTCGATGACCGATAGGGCGTGTCGCAAACGACAAATAATCGAGCCGTTGAAAGTACTGAAAAGCCCACACATACAGTACGTCAGAACCCGTAACGGTCCGGTACAAATATTACATGCAGCTTCGAATTCCTTCGTCGGCTTCTTTGGCGGCAAGGATTGATTTTTTTTTTGGGTTGGCACAGTAATCGATTTCTTCCGTCGTTTTTTCCACACGACTCCCCGAAAGTATAGTGTGTACCTGCATCGTATCGTAGCAGCAGAACGATCCTCTGTGTCAAGTGTGTCAACGTTAATATCCTATCCATCAACATCAACAACATTACGGTTAACAACAGTATCAACAACAACAACAACAAATAAAAGCAATTGCACAGAAAGACCATCAACAAGATCCGAGACGTACACAAAAAAGTTATACCAGATTGATTGCAGTCATTCCAAACACATCAACAACAACAACAACAACAACAACATGTCCACTGTAGAAGATTCCAAGCCTGCTGCTGCGGCTGCGGCTGCCGCTACTGGAAAGAATGCTCTGTTGGTGAGTTCTTTATTCATTGAACACAACTGAAAATGGATGAACGAATGACTAGATGCCTGTCCATGTTTGTTGGTGGTTGTTTGTATTCTTCTTTCAATCTGTCTTTGCCTTTGTTCTGACGTCAAATCTTCCTTTTTTTCCCTTCTCTTGCCATGCCATATCATGCAATGCTACTACTTTCTGCTACTTTCTGCTACTATTCTTTGTCAATCCAAAATAGGCTCGCATTCAAGCTGCCAAGGCAAAATCACAGCAAAATTCCGTCAAACCAGCACCTACTGCTGCCGCTGCCGCTCCTGCCGATTTGCTAGACTTTGGAACTCCTGCTCCAGCACCTGCTGCTACTACTGCTACTGCTGGAGATTTTGATTTGTTGGGAGGAATGGAAGCAACGGCTCCAACGCCTCCTGCTGCTGCTTCTGCTGCAACACCAGCGGCCGGCGATTTGAGTACCTTTGAATCCTTAATGGCCTCCACCACTACACCGCAACCGAATAGTAGTCCAACCACAACCACAACAGCTACCACAACACCAGAACCAGCTGCAGTTCCAGCTCCACCTCAAATTGACGAAGATCTTCTCGCATCCTTGCCCCCAGAAGAACGCGAGGCTCTTTTGGCCGAACAACGTCAAATTTGGGAAGAAATTGAACGCAAAAAGGCGGCGGCTCCCAAACCACTTACCGGAGCTGCGGCGAAGGCTGCGGCCTTTAATCAACGCAGTGCTGCTTCCGTGGCGAACGTGGTGGATACTCCGGCCTTTGCTCGACCACCAGCCCCCAAGACACCACCCCGATCCAATGTGAGTGCTGGATCCTCTAATACTGTCAATTTGGGTGACGGAGATGTTCCGCTACACGGCAGTGGACAAACAGACAAGGCAATCAAGGATGGTACTGCCTTGGTTGTTCAATGCATGAGCTGTAACAATTGGATGCAAGTTACCGGAGAAGCCAATCTCATGTTGTGTCCCGTCTGCGGTGTCGTCTGTCCCGTCGAAAAGACGGGAGCCACGGCTGACATGACCACGGCAGCCCAAGTGGCGGCCGATCAGCAACTCGCCGAAGAGCTTCAAAAGGAAGAATACAAACAGGTGTCCAATTATAGAGATCGACGACGAACTGAAAATGCGGCTGCGGGCGGAGCTCCTGGTGGCCAATCTTGGATGGATTGGATTGCGGGAACTCCCACTGCGGCACCCGGGACAGCGGCTGGTGCTACGGCTCGTAGTCCTACGAACAATGCAGCAGCAAGCCCTCGCAGTCCCAACGAACGACAAGGATTGATTGCTGGCAATAGTGGTAATGGTGGCAATGGTAATGGTGGTGCACGAGTGGCCCAACAACCCCAAAGTCTCTTTGCCTGTGTGGCGGATTCCATTACCACGGCAGCCGAACAAATGACGGGCATTCAATTGTCAGAAGACAAGGAGGGTAATGTTCATGGTGTGGATTCGTCTTCCCTTTTGATATAATTTTTTTTAAATCAAACGTGTGGATTTGCCGAAACAATACGAGGGAGGCACGAATACATTCCGAATCATACCTAACATAAAACTCACAAAGACAACAAAGAGAACAACAACAAATTTATTAGAAGGCAGCAACAACAACAATAACACTGCACTATTTCTATACATGCTGCACAGACACGAGAAAGAAAACGTTCACTGTCTCCAGTAGTGGCGTCGTTTCTTGCACAGTATTTCACTGGGTAAACGAGAAGTGCACCGTCGTCTCTTTTATCATTATTATTGTATAGTATATACTGTAGTGTTTGTTGTTGCAATTGTAATATATAAGAGGCCAAATCACTGCACAGTGCCTACACAGTGCCTACAAGTACCACCCATGCATGGATCTGGTTCATTAGAACCATCAATGTCATCAAAGGTTTTCCTAGAGATATTATGAATTTTGGGATTACTACTATAAAATAATTGGGGATACGTACCATTTTATAAAAAGACTGCTAGACAATATCGTGTTTAGTTGCCGGCCAAAATCAATCAATCTCATTCCTCCTGTAGTTCAATGTCAATTATTAAAAGTCTAAACTTTTACCACAAAGGACAGGATTGTTTTTCTCACTTCAATGTTGTGCAACAGTGATTCTCAGGAACAGTACCAAGTCCGCCTTCTTCCTTCAATGCTTGGACTCCTGCCCAAGCAAGATATTCGTCTTCATCTGCAGCGGCACCGCTGACTCCAACAGATCCAACAGCCGATCCATCTGGTAGTCAGTAGTAATAGGATTCAAAGAAAAGGGAAGGAAAGGAAAGGAAAAGAAATGGGTGAGTGTTTTTTAATTAAAAGAACTAGGGCATGATACAAGATGATGATCTAAAGTCATCATCTTAGATAGATAGACAGATCTGTCATTCTCTCACCTTCAGCAACGACCAAGACACCTCCTGCCACCGGAACCAGCTCTCCTTCCATGATGGATACCATCGAAGCCGCTTGAGTGAACTTGGGAGCTTCCCCACCAGAAGTGTACTTTTCTCTGAAAACTCGACTCGATGTCTGCAAATGTATGCAAGTTCTTGCCTTGGCGTAACTGAACTTGATGTAGGCTCCATCGGGGCAACCATCCATGCGCTTTTGCACCAGCACACCACCGGCCGCATCCAAGACGGTCACCGCCATGGGTTTGTGTGTCTTGAGGTTGGAAACAGCCTTGATAGAAGCATTTGCAATGGTGTCAGCAGCATTGAGGCTCAAAGAAGCGGAAGTACGAAGGATCCCTGACATTGTGACTTTCTTTGAATGATGATTGAAGATGATGATTGAATGATTAGATGATGATTTTGGCAAATCCATGTCAGAAATTATGCAATGACGTCACAAACAACGGAGTACGCAAGACGACAAGAAAAGAAAATGAGCACCATCTACTATTTTACAAGGAGGAAAGAGTTGGGAATGCAGGTATGCTCTAGGCAACTACCCTTCTACCTTCGTCATGCCTGCTCTATCACATCATCATTCGTACAGTCATATTATCGTATCCTTCATGAATTGTCTCTTTACTCAAAGTCGGCAATTCTCTCAGTCTCTCTTCGGAACTGAGCAATATCGACAATGCTGGTCAAAACATAGCCATGCTTCTTGCAGAATCGTTTCAGCTCTGGAAGTCTGGCCATTTCTACTGGGTTCTCTTCCGAGACAATTTCACACAATAGTCCGGCACGACCGCGACCAGCCAAAATGGACAAATCGACAGCTGCTTCAGTGTGACCATCTCGGGCCAGTACACCGCCCTCTTTGGCGCGTAGCGGGAAAATGTGACCAGGCCGAGAAAAGTCAGTAGGGAAAGTATTTGGGTTTGCCAGCATTCGAACACTTTTGGCTCGGTCAGTGGCACTAATTCCAGTTGTAATTCCTGCAAAGGAAAAAAAAGGAAAAAGATAGTAAATGATGAGAATGCGGCAAGAAAAGAAAATGGAATACGCAGTATTCCCGACAGGTCTCAAACGTACCATGCTCCTTGGTGGCATCGACGGAAACGCTAAAGGCAGTCCCCTTGGGATCTTCATTGTTGGTAACCATGGCTGGCAACTTTAATTCGTCCATTCGTGCTCCTTCCATTCCAACGCAAATGACTCCACTTGAGTATCGGACAATGGTAGCCATATCTTCTGGTGTACAAGCTTCCGCCGCCATGATGAAATCACCTTCATTCTCTCGGTCCATATCATCGACCACAACGACCATTTTGCCTTCTTGAATGGCCGCAATGGCATCTTCCACAGACTGTCGACCAAAGCAGTAGCCATCTTCACCAGCGGTAGCTCCATCTTCAGTTGCTTTGCCATTCTCTTGCATCAATTCTTCTTCCGTCGACAAGGACACCTGAACAGCATTTTCCACAGTTCGTTGTCCATCGGTTGCATGGACCATGGCCTTGCGGGCCAGCATTTTTCCATTGATCAGTGGCGACAAATTGGCATGATTCATGCGTTCGTGTTTGGCGACAAGGTATTTGTGGTTGTAGGGGTTGGTTTCCGGAACCACCATGGGTTCTGTTTGAGTAATCTTTACTCCCAAGGCATTGAGTCGATGGACTTTTCGGGGATTGTTGGTCAACAATCGGATGCTAGCAATTTTCATGTCTTCCAACATGGATGGGACGCATCCATATTGTCGAGCATCTTCTGGTAATCCAAGATGAAGATTGCCATCGACAGTGTCCATACCAGTGTCTTGGAGAGCATAGGCCGCAACCTTGTTGGCAATTCCAATGCCCCGTCCCTCTTGTGGCATGTAAATGACGGCACCGCCATTATGTTGAATAAATTCCATTGCCATTCGAAGCTGTTGCTTGCAGTCACATCTGAAAGAAGAAAAAAAGTTGAAAAACAAAACGACAATTGTCAGAATGGTTTGGACGAAAATATGGTAAAGACATATATGATCAATTTCTCAAACGTACCGTTGGCTGCCAAAGACTTCCGAAGTCAAGCATTGATCGTGGATGCGGATTGGGACGCTTTCTAGAAATTTTCCGTCCTTGCCAAAAGGAGGATTGTCCTCCGAATAAATGACGCAGGGTTCATTGCCTGTGAATTCGTTGGAAGTATTTTCAAATCGGTAGGCCCTTAACCGATATTGTCCAAAGACAGTGGGCAGCTTTGTGTCCGCAATAAAGGTAGCGGGAACTTGTTGGTCTTCATCGTCTCCGTTGATGACACGTTTTTTATCGAAAGACTTGGCATTAATGTTGACATTGTCTCGAACTTCCTGGCTGACGACACCGTTGACAAATCCGTTGACTTTCTTTCCATTGACCATGTTTCCATTGACCTTTTTATCAATTGCAAGTCCATTGACCTTTTTGCCGTTGACATTCTTTCCATTGACCTTTAGCCCGTTGACCTTTCCACTTCCATTAGTGTTACCGTTCAGACTACTCACGACGTCTAAAGTCACTTCGCTTTGACTGTCACCATTAAAGTTCAGGCCATCGTGAAATTCCATTTTCATAGTGTTCGTTGTTTTCCTTCGGACGGCATCAGCACCTCCTCTAGTCTTGAGTTCACGTGGAAGAAAGGCGTTAGGTGATGACAGGTATGCTTCAGAAGTGCACATGCCTAGCATGGAACACCCGAGGAAATAGATGAGACATTGTGATAGCGCACGGCGGCGATTGGGTCTGCTGTTGGTTGATATTTGAAACTTCATCTTTTCTCGTGTCGAAACGAGAGTGTGTGCGGATGTGTGCGTATGTATGTGGATGTAATCAGGCAACCTTCAGAGGAGGATGCGTTGCGTAGACGTGTGTGTTTGTATGTACAGCGTAGCTCTATGGATGGTGGGAATATCCTTCAATTCTGCAAAGCGAAGGCTGTAAAAATGATGCGCCTTCTTTTGCCAGAAGTCGTTGGAAGAAAGTGCAAATAGCCTGATCGTCCAAACGAGAAAATCCGAAATGTGACTCTTGTAGATTCTGGATGCTCAGGGTACCTTGTAGAGATTGACTTTGCTATAGCGGGTGGATGTAGTAGCAAAAGAGTTGGTGGTGGACTGTATGATACCGGTACTGTAGTGTGGAAAGAGTATGATCACACACGTTTCTTGGAACGACGTGGAATGCAGTATGTGATGATGGGCCTGTCTTCCCTTTTTACGTCAGACCCTCAACCTCCAATCGTTTGCCTTTCTCGATCCTCGTTCCTCATGCTTCCACCAGCACTTCGCCAATTTCCGCGCGCAGAGAACAGGGCATGGAATACCGAGGCAAATTTCGATTGTTTCTAAAATGCGCTAAATACTAATTTCTTATGGATTCTTCAACCAATATTCCACAGTATTTTCAAACATATCGCTAACAAGAATATTTCTTATTCAAGACATGATTGACACGCACGAGACTGCGTGTTCACCACGTACTCGTGCGCAGGGAGACGGAACGACCACAGCACTTTTGAACTTTCTCCTTCTCCTCTTTGACCATCCGGAATTTCTTCGACGTCGTGACAAAAATCCATCCAATTTGTTCTTTCGGCCGACTGCATCACCAATCACCACCAACATCTGCTCGGGCAACATTCGCAAGATTGACTCATCACAGTACTGTAGGTATCCCAACAAGGATGATAAAGGGACAATCAAGAAAGTGGGGAAGAGTTCCTGTCGCATGTCTATCCAAAGGTCATGTGTCCGCGAACTGAGCGAGGCCTTCGTCACATTCGAGGAATCATCATCTACAACACCGCGATGAGTCCCATCAACTGGTACACGACACACACCCCAGTGACGATTCGTTTTACAAGGATTCTTCCTGGGGGCATGCCATTAGTCGTCATCAGTTCTACATTGTGATGCAAAGAAGATGCTATTCATAAAGCACCATTCTACAGCAGCAGTCATATTTATGCAACACCAAACGACGGCCGTGGTTGGCTCTACTGCCATTCGTCGAAAAGATGAACAGACGACTTTCGTCATTCGAAAAAAAGGGCCATTCAGAAGATTTACTGAGAGAATCTTTTTCATCCAGTGCCTCGTGCGGCTCATGATGTGTGAACCTTTTGGATCAATAGTATTATATTTGTTAAAGTGAGGAAGCTTAACGATGCGACCGTCATGAATAATCAAGAGATGGATCATTCAATTACGACAACCAGCCCGAAGAAGCAATTGGTCGGATTCAAAGAGCAAATTAATGGCCGGGCGGCCAACATTCGCCGTGGATGAAGAGGACGAGCATGCCCTGAGAGCATTGGTAATTGGAGCATATGCGGGTCGGTGGATGACGCTGTCGTGGAAGGATTTGACAGGGTCCATATATTCCTGGCCTCATAAAACGCTTCGATAAAAGTTTGCGACTGCGTTGATGGAAACTCACATCTACTACTACTACTACTACAAATTGCACCAGCCAGTTTCTCAACAAAACAAAAGTCCCCAAACATCAAAAGACTGCCCCCACACAGCTGCGGTAGCGTGCAACCGAAACAATCCTTCCATTTACAGAACGCCGCAGTGGAATCCACGGTATGTCAACTTCAGTATAGATTAGAATTTCTGATCTCGGCGCAGGACAGTTGGTGTGTCGAATCCAATAAGCGCCCAATATCAGCTCGAAAGGAATCGAGGTTCATTCTCTTGGGTGATAAACTTTTGCCAAATTCAGGATGAGGAAAGTACAAGAATAAAGAAAAAGCAGAAAATGAACTTCGACGCCAACTCATTCTTTCGGTCGAAAGTAAACCATTTTACCGAGGTATATCGCAACCACCCCAGTACAGTCGGAGGGTTCCCCCATATCATCGTCCATCCGTCCAAGACGGAAAAGAAGTCAGTCTCAAAAGCTGTAGTGCAACCGAAACTGCATGGCTGAACATCGCCGGTGAAGGTAAATTTCAGATTACTGGCCAAAAATGATCCAACTTCTTTGGTTCTCGGTCATTAGCTCCTTGATTGCATCGATGGTGACATTCAACCACACTTAGCTATTGCTGGATCTCAGACTGTGCAATTTTCTTTCGGAAGAGTTCCTCGTCATCAGCTTTCGACGCGAGACTATTTATGAGTAAAAGGAGCTGCAAAAGCTCAAGTTGGCCATTCTTGTACGTCATCGGTTTCGTTTTGTTTCGAATCCAAGCGAATTTTTCAATCTTGGAGGAAATAAAAGATACAGTTGAGTCTCGTCAGAATGTGAAACCGTTCTAAGGAGAGCATTGGCTCCTTCTGTTGTTGTAATGTCCACACGGCTGCCATCTGGCAAGGGTACTGGTATCGAAACAAAATTTTGGTGTGTTTTCGTCATTGCATTGCGTCGATGTAGTCGTCTTTTTCGAATTCAAATCGCGTGCGGCGCGCAGATGCTGGTGCACGATTGATTGATGACAATAACACCTTTGATGATGAGACATCACAAATTTTGCATTCATTCGTTCGGCTGATACGGTAGATCAGAACCATTCCTTCTCCACAATATACACACACAAGTACTTGGAACTACAGAAGAAAAACAACAACAATAATGTCAGATCTTAAAGCAAAATTCGAAGAAGCCGCCGAGAAAGCGCGGGTCGTCCAAGGAGTCAGCAATGATGACAAACTCAAGCTTTATGGATTGTTCAAGCAAGCCACCCAGGGGCCGATTGGTGATCGAGCACGACCCAGTCTCTTCAGTCCAACGGAACGAGCCAAGTTTGATGCCTGGGCAGCCTTCGACGACATCGATAAGCAAACTGCCATGACGGAATATGTGGCCTTGGTAGCCACTCTTTAGATTTGCAATGCGAATCTCGGGGTGGTGAAGTCTATTCCGTTCCATGTTGATTGGTCCTTCTCGGTATTGCTTTTCTGTTGATTGAAGCATTCAATGGTGTGACTATGCTGACTGGAAAAATGTAGAAATGTGTTCGATTGGAAACTGAAATGTATTGAGAGATGAATGAATCACGCTACATGAATCCTTGCTTGGACATTTTGTGGTGAAGATTCGTCTGCGATGTATGGCACCAAGCAGTTATCCTTTTGTGATGATGATTGTAGAGTGAAGAGCGTTCGGTAAAAAAATAAAGAAGATCATTATTCCATAGAGTCAAGAAATACAACTTTGGTACGAGTTCCTGTCGTCAATACTTTTCATCAGATCATACCATACTGACTCATGCGTTACCATTGGGTTCTATTGGGTTTTCTGTTTTGGCAGCAGTCTTCGCCCCCTCCGATTTGCTATCCCCGCAGAGTCTGTCTCGGTGCATGGCTGTAATTTCTTGAATCGACAGTGCTGGACGATCCTCCAATAGACAATCCAAGGATGTTGCCATGTCTTTACTAGGCTTGCATTGGTACAATCTAGCAATTCGTTCCACCATATAGAGTCGGTCCAGCCCTTGTGGAATGAGTTGTGGTGGATGAATGAGCATGGGGCGTGGAACTTCATAGTCAAGAGTTCCTAACCCGTACTCGTCTTGACAGGTAATTGCTTTGGGGTGCATGGGATTTTTCAGTGGCAAGTTTCGCCATCGCTTTACTCGCTCTTGTTCATTCAATTCCATCTCTACCAATCCATGCATGATTTCAGCCTCTCTTCCAGTGGGAGTCTTGGCATTTCCTGGCAGCTTGACATTCGTTGCCTTTCGCAATTCCAAATATTCAAAGATAGCTTTGCCGATCATGGTTTCCAGCAGTCCCCAATCAGGTTTAGTCGCTTTCAATGGGCGACGAGATGGTTCGGACTGAACGGGACGAAGCGCACCCCCGAGACGGATAAGATCGTTCATCACTGGCACCAACTCTCGACTCGTTCGAGACCACAATCGAGCCTTTCTCCATATTCGATCACCAAATCTAGCCCATACAATGTCAGTACAAATTGCCACACAGTGTTCTTCCAAGGATACCCATGTCGTCAGCGCTGTCTTGCGACCATCACTTCCTGCATGAAACCGAACGAGACAATCCGTGTCGTTGGCATGATTTGACCGAACATCAACAATTCTGCCATTGTGATAGTGATTCCCTTTTGGACAGTAGAGGCGGATCGACTTTCCAATCAATGACTGGGGATCCTCCTGATGCGTCCAATCCAACTCAGACCGCGGAACTTCGGTTATCTCTGTCTCTTCAACGGCATGTTTGGGATTCAATTCGTTCCAGACATCTTCCTTCAACAAGGTTTCCATAAAGCTGCTAGGATCGTCCAACTGCAGCTTCTGAGAATCGTGTTCTTCCAAGTATTCTTCTAGTTCTGTTGTCGATCCCTTGACTGAGCAATCAAAACAGTAAAATTCCCCTGTTGGCACCTTGTCGAGAGGAGGCGTACAGCACGCCATGTGGTATTCCTTGTCACAACTGTAAATTGCATGGATACAAGAAATTATTCATTAGAAGAATGCACTGCGATAAAGAAGACTTGCTCTTTCCATATTCTCCAATCCAACTTACCCTTCCCCATCACAGAGCAGTATAGTGTCGCTGTCTCGGTCGCTCTTGCATTTTGCGCAAACTCCGTGTACTTCCTCGGGTATCGGCAAACCACAAACGTGGAGAGGGAATTCTAGCTCTTCCCCGCATTCTTCCTGCGCCATTTGGAGTCGCCTCTTGCGTTTTTTGACAATGGACGATGTATCGAACATGGAAAATGGCTTGATTGAACTGTAGGGTGTTGCTTTGGTGCTGCTTTCGACTGTTATTGCGCTGACAGGAGATTGGGATCTCTTGGAACCGTTTGGTGCTACCGGCGAAGACGATCTTGAACCATCGCCATTATTCAGTTCTAAAGAAGAGTCCATCGCAGAATCGCCCTCGTCCATAGATGACAGCAGTTTGGGTGAGACATTCCTTGATCGAGCAGATTTTCGGGTAGTGTTGTTGGCAGGTGAATGGCTTGGAATTGATGACCTCTTCCTAGTGCTGCCGTTTGTCGATTTCATAGCCAGCGTTTCCATCGTTTGGTGTGTCCCCCGGATAGCAAAGTAAAATGATGATTGTATTGACAAAGTATTGATGAATAGCACTAGCGGTCGCTGGATGATGGAGACAGGATAAAATATATTCAATCTTTCGTGCAACCTACAGTATGTGCAGGGCTTGACTAACATGACTTGCAGTAAGGACCCTGATTGCTGACCCTGCGATACCATGAGACAGTATAAAAGCAGCAGGTTGGATATGAACTAAAACTCTAATTCTATTATACTACACAATTTGCATTGCAGTGTTGCAATGCCATGCTAATTTGTTTGTTTGTTTGCCATGATGCGGACTTATTTGGAGCAAACCTTTTTCCTTTGCCTCTTCTCCACCACTTTGCATTCGGCTTTGTCGTTACAACATTCTGTGACATTTTCGCATTCCGTGCCCTCCTCCAAGCACTGAGAGGAAAATGAGGAGGCCTGGAGAGATGGCGTAGAAGAGGGACTTGCCGAAGGAGATGACGGACTGTCGGTAGGCACCGTACTTGGAAGGTCTGAAGGGGAGCTTGATGCGATTGGAGAAGGCTGAGCTGAAGGAAGTTCAACAGTCCCATCCGTGAAAATAAATGTCATGGTAGCGTTGGACTTGCTAATCCCATAGATCTCTACTCCAGTCTGTCGAACCCGTCCTCTTTGATAGGAATCCGTGTTTGGGAATGGTCCTCGGTTGGTGCTTGCCGACGGCAGAAGTTTGTCCACTCCATCTCCATGAAAGAGGTCACCGCTATCGCCGTGATTGATTTGTCGTTCCAAATCAAAATCTCCGTCCGCTTGAAGTAAAGCCACCCTGTAGTGACGCCCATTGAGAGGCCAACCGTATTGTCCAGGATGACCTTCAAGATCATGCTTGATTTTCTCATCAATGTGAAAAATGGCTAGACCTCCTTGTGGAATCTTTGAATCCAAGCCCCTAGGTTGGCGATTCTCAATCAGAAGGTACTCCCCTTCGGGAAATCCATGTTCACCATCTCCGATCTTGATGCAGTCTGGTGTTGTGATCGAGTCAGAAAGGGTGTTGACTCCATATTGCACCTTTTGTGGGGTGAGCCATCCAAGTTGCGCTTTGGTCCAGCAAGTCATTGATCCAGGTGGTTCTTGCGATTTGTCCCATCCCCATGATGACGCCATAAAGCAATAGTTACCAATACCATTTCCACCCCCATTGGTGTCGTAAAGATCATCCAAATCTACAAAATGACCAACTTCGTGAGCCATCCATTCACAAGCATATAAAAAGGCAATGACATCAGAACCGTACCTATAAAGTGCCCAGTTTCGTGAGCAATGACTCCTACGTGCCCGATATCCGTTCCACGAACTCCCCAGAGTGCCGGTGAAATGTGATAGTCATAGACACTGATTCCATCTTTGCTTTCCCATGGACCAATGTTTCTGCCACTGGCATCACTCCAAATATTCCATTTGTGGGACCATATCCGATTCCGGTAGGTTCCACCGTAACGATCACGTGCCATCCATTCGGCAGCATAACCAGAATGCAGAAAGGTAATGGCATCAATCTGGCCATCTTGATTCGAATCGAATTCCGTAAAGTTGACAATGTTATTCTGATCCAGATAGTCCAGTGAATCTCGCAGTGCTTGGTGCAAATTAGTAGTTCTGAGGAAGGAAGGAACAGGAAGAAGCATATTAGTTGAGTTCACATGTCGTATGATGCAGTAGGGAATGGCAAATAAAGCAGCTCCTCTTCAGTATACATACCCCGAGTCGCCATCGGCATACCAGGATTCAGTTTCTTTGGTAACAAACCATTCCGTGACAGTCGATTCAATAGTCAATTTTCCGTAGGAAACTTCCTTATAAATGGATTTGAGACTTCCAATTGGAGCTACTTCAGGGTGTGATTCATCGCTGTTCATCAGGAAATCAATAGCTTCCCGAGTGGGAATGTCGTCCTTGCGATCCTTATGTTCCGCATGATCTTTGAAATGAAGGAGAACGACCAAGTTCTTCAACACTCCAGTAGTTTGAATTTCTCTTTCGGCCATTTGATCGGGTTCCTCAAGAGCTCGACCATGGTGGGTCGCACTGCTACCACGAAGGGTCCTGGATCTTTTTGATGCCTTTCTCGGGTCTTCTGGTGTGCCTCCACACATCTTTTTGTTACAATCGGTCTTTTTCTTGTGCATTTTCTTTTTCTTCTTCTTGTCTTTTGGTCCGTCTTTCCCAACCGTTTCTTTGGAATAAACCACCTCCCCCGTTTCTGATTCGCCAACATAGACATAGTACCCCGACTCGTCTTGTTCAATTCCATAGCCAAGGGTGTCGGTTAAGTAGTTGTCTTGAGCATTTCCATTGGGGACCACTTGGATTAGGGATCCATCCGGCTGTATCACTTCAAAGGGAACATCTGGAGCTTGTTGAGATGCGTAGTTCCCAGTCCATTGTAATGCCAGTATAGTAGCAATTGATAGAAGACGACAGTGCCGATGACGGGAGATCATCATCATTGTCTATCTACTTTCGAGTTTGGCAAGAAACGGAAACAAGTGCACCTGAGTGGATCTAGATGCGCTCATCTTTTCGGAAAGTAGAGAACGGAAAATGTGAGATGGTGCAGCTCAACGCATAGAATAAAATGTGCAATGGAGAAACTCTATTTCTCCTATTCTCCCATTCCAAATTCTGATTCTACTGAGTCAAATCAATATCATCCAATCGACCAACAGAATAATGATGACAAGAAGTCAAAGGCTTCCTTGAAATCGAAACGTGCAGTTCCTTTCTTCGCTACTGTAGTTTAGTTTCTTTTGATTTCACTCATTGTTATAAAATGATGAGACTCGCAGTTTTCGACTTGGACTACACTGTCTGGAAACCAGAAATGTATCAACTCTATGGAGAACCGCGATTGACCAAACCTTCCGCTCGCGTATCGGCCAAGGTGTTACGAGAAGCTCGTACGATTGAAGATCCTAAAATCTTGGTCGATTCCTCTGGAACACCCATTCAAGTCTTTCCTGGAGTGTAAGTCAATCTGATAACACCGTTTTGTCCAATGAACAACAATCTTTTGACACAATCATTCATCATTGCCACTCTCGTACTATACATATACCTAATTACTTTTCTCGCTCCATTTGCCATCATTGATTGTGTGCAGTGCCCATGCTTTGGCAGAAATCAATCGGCTTCGAGATGAGGAAGGCCATGATATTCGAGCTGCCGTTGCCTCCAAGACTGACGAGCCACATTGGGCGAAAATTTGCATGGATTACTTGGTGGCAAACGATGGATCGACCTTGAGCGATTGCTTTGGAGACTTGGTAGAAATTGCCTTTTCCAACAAGAAGGAACACTTTCGTCGTCTGCACAAGAAGACTGGAATCCCATTCGAAGAAATGGTATTTTTTGACAATGAGCACTACAACATTACCAGTGTTCAGCAGTTGGGTGTGAAATGTGTGTACACACCGGATGGAATGTTGGAAGGGCACTGGGAAGAAGCTAAGCGAAAGTTTGGAATGAGCTAAATGGAAACGGCAGATTCGGAGAGAATATACGAGTCTGACTAATGTTACTTGGTGGAGCTGACAAACACCCTGTTGGATCCACAAGCTACTAGCTAGACGACAATTCTGGGTTGATTCCAAGTCTTTTGGGATTGATTCATTCACAAGACTGGCAGACAGAATTGCAGATCGCCGATGCTATAGGATATGCTGCATCATCAATCAGTGCCCCTCACCGACAAGCAGAAGGACCCAACTGGCATGTGTCCTGTTCCGCAAGGGCACGAGCCATCTTGTACTGTAGCGAGAAAGAAAGAAAAAATGACAATGGTTGTCACGCACTATTTGCATTCATTCATCCATTCATTTGTTTGTTTGTTTGGCTTGCTTCGTTGCTCATGGCTGGTCAAAGAAGACGGGTCCATTTGATAAGAGATAATAAATAGAGTTGGCCTTGGCCTGTTCTTGGTCTTGAACAAAGTATTGAACTTTCCCAGCTCGTTCCAACAAGTTCGCCCAGAGACCCAAAGGGAGACCTTCCCCTCCAGTCTTCCGTTGTTCTTGCATTAGACGCCGGCCTCCCCGGTTAATGGTGGTGTAATACCGTAGCATTTTGGCTTCGGGCAGAAAGAGCAAGGAATCTAGATACTCGATACTTGTATTCTGTTTCATGGCATCGCACAACATCTTGCCGTCTTTCCATGGATTTGGATTGAGCGAGACCTTGGACAATTTGTGCATCTTTGGCAGATGTTGACAAAAGATGGCAAGACCACGATCACCAATTCGATTGAAGGACAAGTTCAGCTGTTGCAATTTGGAGTTGGGATCTGTCAAGAGGGGAGCCAAAATTTCCACATGATTGTCGTTCAAGTGCAAATTCGACAAATCCAAGGCCGAAAGATTGCTCCGAGGAGTATTCAGCAGTCGTTTGGTGGCTTGAATCGACGTCGCCAGGCTGTTGTTGACAAGGCCATACTGGATGGCTTTTCGGTCGGGCGCCGCCAATACCAAATCGTTCAAACTTTGTTTCGAAAGATAGGAATCACCGAGTATCAAGGTTTCCAAATGATACGAAATGGCCAATCCGGGAGCCAACAAGGCACCCGAGGGAATGGGAGTTCCTCGCAGTGACAACTCCTTTAGTCCTTTGCTACATGCCACCAGTTTTCCCAATGCTTGACATTGAGCATTGGTCAAACCATGCCGTTGTTGGATGGTCAAACCTTTGGTATTCTTCAACGTCATGCCACTATCCTCCACTACCATCAACAAGGCAGACGTCAAATGAACACTCTCGTGAATGATTAGCTTTTCCATTTGAGTTTGGGCAAGAACCCGGGCCAATTGCTGACAGGGTGTCGACTTGGATGGAAGCTGGTAGTTGGAACGCCGCCACCGATTACTGCTACTATTATTAGAATTGGTAGTAGTAGTAGCAGTAGTAGTAGTGACTGGACTACTGCGGCCAATGGATGGATTGGGAAAGCGGCAATTGGAAAAGAAAATGCAGTTCCATCCAGAAGAGCACGTGTCGTTGTTGTCATTTTCACTATTGCGTGGAGATTCCAAAAGTTGAATCAAACGAAGAATAGAAGCCTCTGAAAATTGCAAACCAATGAAATGTAGACTGGTAATCTGATCGTTCTTTTGTGCACTTTCGAGAATTGAAGACGGATCGTGGGTCCATCTGGATCGCTTGACTATCAAAGTGTTGGAAGCAGTAAACGTAGGCCCGGAAGTTTGACGTTGCTGTTGTCGAGTTTGAGTTGTTCTGACACTGGCGTGAGTGGACGATGATGATGATGATGCAGCTGCTGTTGCTGATGATGATGACGTCGGACAAGTTCCAGTTTTGGCAGCATCTTTCTTGGTAGAACTTCGACTATCGGTTGGGAAGCACATACTCTTTTTTTATGAAAGCGTAATGGAACCGTTTGAAAGAGAGTACGAGTAGTCGTAATCTAATGCCGACAAATACGTTTCTTTTTGTTTGTTTTGCAATTTCCTTAGTTTTTCGATGCGAAGTTCTATCGTAAAAGTCAACGTGGTTTGAATTTGGAAGCCACGTCATTTTTGAACATATGCGTACTTCTTGATCATAATTGCGTATTGTACACGTATCTTAGTTGAGTTGGCACGCGATCAAACTCTAAAAATGCCTTCCAGCGTCCGTGCCTCCATCAGGCACATCATCTCTCAAGTCCAACGAAACAAAAATCATTCCAAAAGCCATTCCTTGTCATTGATTGACACAGTTGTTGGAGGCGAGTGACCAAAATAAGCACCAAAACCAGAGACAACCCGCATGATCACAGGACAGAAAGCATCTACAAAATCTTCTAAATCACTTGCCTTATCAATATCATCATCATCGTCAACAACATCATCATCAACAACATCAGTTGTCACCAAGAGTTTCCTAGTACTACCACTACATTTGTTTCTCATTTTCATGACGACTGCAGTAGCCCCCGCCCGCGGCTTGGCCGTCATTAAAGAAGAACTACAGGGCATTGCTGTGGCACATAATTGGCCATGTCCCGATCGAAAGAATAATCATTTGCAACCCCGTCACATTGAAGAATTCGAGCTAGACTCGGTGGAACAAAACGGCACGGAAGCATCCTACTTTGCCACCTTGTTTCTACGATTTGCCCGGGTCATTTGCAAGGCCGATTGTGTGGTGCGGAAGGAACTATTTGAAACATGGGCCATGGCATTGCACGTCCATGATCACTTTCCAGATGTTCTGCGTTTTGCCGACATGGCCAGTGGACATGGCCTACTGAGTTGGGCCTTGCTACTTCTCAATGAAAACCGAACGGGGATTTGCGTGGATGTGCGAATGCCCAAATCGGCGGAAAAGCTGCGGGATGCCTTTTGCGCAGAATGGCCACATCTGGAGGACCGATGGGATTTTGTAGAAGGCAAATTGGAATACGTCGAACCAGCTCCATCGACTCTCATTGTGGGAGTTCATTGCTGTGGACCGCTCAGCGATAAGGTCGTGGAGTTGGCCATCAAGGGCAAGTCGCCCTTGGCATTGGTCCCATGTTGCCATACAAACAAGCATTTGAGCAAAGAGCAACGACAAGATATTTTGAAACAGTCTTGGACTCTAGCCGATTGGATTGACAAGCATCGAATCGATCGTTTGGAAGAAGCCAAGTTCGAGGTCGTCGAAGGGACCATTCCCAAAGTCTTTACTCCAAAGAATCGCATCATCTTGGCCACGCCACCCCCGGTACCTGACAATTTGATTACCACCGTATGGAAGGAAACCAAGAAGGTACCAGTGAATTCCTCCGAAGAGTCGAAAATGGAACAAAAGCAACAGGATGCGCCCGAGGAGGATACATCCCTTCCACCACCCCAATCCATTATTGATAACGAGGCCATCTGTCGGATCCCATTTGGATTGCCCGCATTTGCAATTCCAATTGCAGACATCCCCTCTTCTCACGAATCCATTCGAAGGATTAGTGGTCGGGACGCTGCCAATCTGCGCAAGGGACATCCAAGAACCTTGAGTTTGTCCCTCTTTCAACCACCAAGTCCAGAGGCCTTGACACCAGATCAAGTAGCCACAGTCGCCAATGCTCTGGATGAGAACGTTTGTGTCTGGGGCAGTTATGTGGACAAGGAGGGATTCATATACAAGGATGGTCGAATGTGCCGGACCTACCGACTTACGTATCGGAAAAAGGGAGAAGAGGTATTGAACAAAGCAGAGGCCAAGGAACTACACATTCAATTATGCCACAAGATTGAAGAAGTGTATCCAGGTTCACAAGTAAGACAGTTTCCAAGATAGAGTGATGGACACTGCAATACAGCTTTGAATCGAATCTCGAACACATGACTTGTACACTAGCAAAAACCATTAAATCGTCAACATATATTATTATAAACTCTTGTGCTATATTCGTTTATCAAATAGATTAGATCCAAATTGCCTAAACCTTGCTGCAGCTTCTTCATAGGCTTTATGATTCTGGGGTTGCACAGTATCTGGACTTCGTTTCAGTGCTTGGGCTTGTCCCTTGACATATTCTTCGACAGCCATGCCACTGGCGGCTGCTCCCGCTTGAAAGGCAGCTCCCAAGGCCGCAGTTTCTGTTTCCAATGGGAAAATTAGTTTTCGATTCGTAATGTCCGCAATCATTTGCTGCCAGAATGGATTCTTGGCACCGCCACCTACTACCAAGAGTGTATCAATGTCGTTTTTGTTGGGAAACTCTTCCAAAGCATTTGCCAAGAGAAAGGTAATGGCTTCGAGACAAGCACGGTATATGACAGCAGGATCCTTAGCATATTGAAAATTGCTGGAGGTTAATCCCAAGATTGCTCCAGTAGCATGCGGCCAATTGGGAGTTCGTTCACCGCCTAAATAGGGCAAGAAGGTGATTCCATGACAACCAATCGGTACCGATGCTGCATATTTGGAGGCCTCCTCGTGAGACGAAAAATCAGTCCACTCCTTTAGGACTTGAGTCAGAACTCCAGTGCAACTAATTGTACAAGCAAGTGGCAGATACTGACCCGTAGCATCGCAAAAGGGAGCCAAGGAAGAGGGATCGGTCCCGGAGGGGGGCCTCTTGGAAACCGCAAATATGGTTCCAGAGGTACCCAAACTCATGACCGCTTGACCTGGAGATACGCATCCCACACCCAAAGCTGAACACATGTTGTCACCAGAGCCTACGGATACCGGAATAGCCTTGATATTCGCTGCTTTCATGCCACTAGCGGTCCACGGCAACAACTTTTGCACATAGTAATCATCCAGAATACCGGTGACTTGATTCGGACTGAGAATGGTCGGAAGCTTTTCCAATACTGATGTATTACTTTCACCGCTCTGTTCTCCTTTACTGTCTTGATCAATGGCTTGGGCAATGATTGGTGAGTTTTCTCGTTTGGCTGCTAGGAAGAATCCATTCCCACTGGCATCGCCAGCATCAGTAATTGGGCGTCGTAAATTGGCGAGTTTCAGAATGACATAGTCGTGTGGCAAGATGAACCATTTTGCCTTGTCATACAGTTCGGGCTCGTTTCGTTTCATCCATAGTATCTTGGGAGCTGTAAAGCTTGGTGTTAGGAAATCCAAGTTACCTTGACCTTGTTGGCTGTGAAAGTAATCTTTCAAATCATTGGCTTCCTGAACTGCTTCTACATCACACCACAATTTAGCCGGTCGCAATGGTTCCAGCTGGGAATCCAACGCTACCATACCATGCTGCTGCCCACTTACTCCAATCCCCTTGATTCGGTATGATGAGGGTTCAGCATTGTCATCCTGCTGTTCCAATTGCAATGTATGCCCAACTTCCATCAAGCATTCTTCAATAGCTGGCATCCAGGTGCTAGATGGATCTTGTTCCGCACGACCGGTTACCTCAGTAGGCATTACATCGTACGATCGTGAAGCCGTGGCTATGATTGAGGCTTCTTGAGGACAATAGGCAACAATCTTGGTGCCCTGAGTGCCCACATCAATCCCCAGATACACTGCCTTCTTGGTGGTTTCTCCTCCTGTTGACGATATGGCAAACGCCGTAGCCACAAAGTGTGAAGTATAGGAGATTTTAAGAATAAATAGCAGAAAGGAACTGTAGGAGAATGACGCGATGAAATGACGATGATTCATAGTCTACAAAAAGGCTTCTGCCGTCTTGGTCAAGAGGTTCTTGAGGTGATCTGATTTATTTGTTTGATGGGAGAAGATTTTCAAAATGCTGGCCCGCTTTCCTATTTGGGGTGAATTCATGTGCGAATTCACTCTTTGGATTTCCCCCTAACTCCAAAGACTAAAGGAAGTAAACGAATGAATGAATCAATCGAAAGTTTCACTGAAGCACTGCTGGATCAGAAAAAGCTCGAAGCCGATAGTAAAGCCTTCGAATTGGAGGATGAAATTGTAAAGATTGGTTCGAAGATGATCAACCTCCTGAACTACAAACGAGCTCATCTCAAGTAGAGAGTTTCCGCATTTCAACAACTTGCGTCGAAAGAAAAGACAGTATGGCTACTGGACACTCCAAGGCCTCAAGTAAGTTTACTATTGCGTTGCTGTATTTGCTTCATGAATTCATAGGTAATGACATATGCGATACAGTAAGCATATTAGATCAAAACAAGCCTAGGACTAGGGAAAAAGTATCAAGACTATAAAATCTAGTTATCTTCGTCTGAAGCTTCGCTATCGTACTCATCGACATCTACGTCGATTGATTCTTCCCCCGATGATGATTCGTCCAGTTCGAATCCCAAATCCATGCTGATGTCGTCTTCATCTTCCTCAGTCTCGCTAGGACTGCCTTCTAGACTCTCCTTGGTAATCGTTGGCACTCCCACAGTCAATGGAATCTTCTGCTCTAATATTTGACATTCCAATTCGACCAATTGGTCCTTGACAATAGACAAGAGTTTGTTGAACATAGTCGCCATTCCCTTGTAGGCCATTTGTCCCAATAACAACTTCAAGGGCAATGCCGCATGGATGAATCGCGACCACTTGGTCCATCGGTACCAAATAATGCCAGACACTGCAATACGATTGACCAAGTATTCCAACACAGGCATGGCCACTATGGTCAAGACGGTCAATGCGATTCCCAACGCCAGTGGCAAGTATTCCAACAATGTATTCAAAAAGAATCCTTGAATACCGACATGTTGTAACAAGCTAAACTTGGATTCTGGAGAAAACCAAGATTCCAGTATGGCGTATTGAGAATGCCACATGGGTTCCACCTTGCTTGGATCACTCCGCCGCAATCGATTCAGGGCGCCCAAACCGATCCATTGGGTAGTATCAATGGGAGCAATCACCTTGGTATGTGGCTCGGCATCGAAACTATACAAACAAGACTTTGGACTTTTGGGGGTGGCCATGGCGCAATCCCAATCCATCACTTGGGGTGGAGCGGCACCTTCTGGAGTGCCGACATCTTCCAGAGTAGTCAGCGGTAGGCCTCGTTGAGCTAGCGCTTCGCTTAGATAAGTTCCTCGTAGTTGCAAGAGCAATTGTTGCTGAAGTCTGTAGGATTGTAGTTTGGCAAATTCAGGATCATCTCTGATGCTGTTGCTTTTGCTATTCTCGTCTTCTTCGTCATCAGCACCAGCGTCGTCTTCTATTTGGACAGCTGTAGATCCTCCACGAATACAGAGCGGTGAAGATAATGGCGACAAAAGTGATTGATGTCGAATGCTAACATTGCAGCTAGAATGAGAAGATTGTCGTGAACTAGATGCTAATCTGGAAGTTGATGGCACGAAAGGAATTGATCTTGAATCAACAAGGCCAATGGCTATGAAGAAGGTGATCCATTGCGTCAGAACGCATATCAGTGAGAAAGAGAATTTCATTCTGTAGAGAAGCGGTTTGTATTGTGTGTATCTTCGGAGTGCTTTGATTGATCGAGGTGAAGCCTTTGCAATATGATGAATTCTTCCATCCCAATCTGAAATCCTTCTATCAAGTTTTCCACGTGGAGACAAAAATTCTAAGAGGTCGTTGACTAGTCCGACTACACAAATCAAGCAATCAAACTTTTTTAACTCTGTCTCTCTCTTCTAGTTTACTCAATAATATTTGCACTCTGCTACATTCTTCTATTTCTCATTTGTCCTGTACTGCAATGACAACCTTGCCATTCGAATGTCCTCGTTCGACTTGATAATGCCCCCTACCTAGTTGCTCCATAGGAAGGGGCGAGATGGGATCAATTCTTGGTAGAATCTTGCGGGTGGCCAAGGCCTTTGTGATTTGATCCAGGACACCATTTTGCGTTGTGAAGGATAAGAACATGGCATACCGTGAATTCCATCGTCCTGGCAACATGTAGTTCCCCACAAAGCGTGGCACCAGTGTCTGTGCCGTTTGGGCGATACGTCCAAAGGTAACCTTTTCGGATCCGCCGTGCATGACTGGCCCGACACACGTGACATAAATGGAAGGATTGGTTCGGTTACACACAACTGCAGCTGTGGAGGCGGCCTTTTGATGTTTGGGCAAATCTTTCTTGTTCAGAAACTGGTGCAATTTGTAGTAATACGAGTCTCCGCCGACGCAGTCGAAAATAATATCAAAGCGTTCGTTTTCATGATCCGTATAGTAGATCTCATATCCGGCATTGGCATAATCAAAGACGGGAGAGGCGCCCAAAGATTTTACATAATCCATGTTCCTGCTGCCACAAATGGCAGCAACTTCAGCTTTGCCAATTTGTTTGGCCAGCTGGACAGCGGCAGCTCCCACCGAACCTGCTGCACCAATGACCAGTACCCTTGGAGGACGCTCGTCCTCGTCATCTTTGTCCACCACGTATGTAGGCGGCAAAGTTTCTTCTTCCTCTTTATTTTCGGCTGTCCCATCATCTTTGTCAATTGGGTATATCGTCAGATTACCAAGTTGTGGATCAAAGAGCCCCTTCCATGCTGTACAAAAGGCAGTGGGAGTAGCGGCTGCCTCATCCCACGTGATCTGATCTGGTTTCAGGGCACATTCGTAATCAAAGGCACACACATATTCGGCCGAACAGGAACTTCGCGGGGCTGTTGAGCCATACACCATATCCCCGGCCTTGAACGATTTCACTTCGTCGCCCACGGCATCGACAATACCAGCAAAATCTTGTCCAAGAATCAAGAGTGGAAAGTTGGCACGTTCGTCATCCTCGTCATAATCATTTTCAGCCATGTCCTCCTTACCGCTACTTTTTGTTGGCTTTCTCTTTGTATTCTTCTGTTTGCTATGCCCCGTAACCAAATCCAAATTTCCTGCTCGCGTTTTGCAATCGACTGGATTGATGGTGGTCCTAAAGTTACGAATCAAGACATGATGGGGATCTTCAATTTTTGGCCTGGGAATGTCATCCTGAATCTCGAAAATCGGGGTGGCATTCGTGGAGTTGCTAGATGTAGAAACCATACTGTTGGTGTTAGAAATTTTGCTACTTGGGGTAGCAGTGGAACTGTTGCTGGAGGTATGTATGACATCAACTTCTCTGAGTTTGCCATAGCGAGTGCAGACGCAAGCACTCATAAGGTTTGGATCCATCTTGATTTGCGCTTTTTTCTTTATTTCTTTCACTTTTTTCTGATACTCGGCTATCTTGGTTGGACTTCGAGGCGGTAATTGCGATGGACTCATCATGGTTGCGGTCTATTTAGTACCTGATAGCTAGTCTTCGCTGTTATCTTATTCAGTTGTTGACGTCACGAAGAAAATATTGAATTTTGAAGATGGTGAAGTCACCAATTGAGGTTAAGCTTCAACAGTTTGTACTGCTTGAAAAGAAGAAGGATTGGTAGACCCGACGGTGCACTGCTTGTTCACTCCTGTCTTGTCTTGTTGCATGCGTGCGAACGGTACGGTCGCCAAAATGGAAGCATTGTTTTGGCACAGAAGCCCGCCATTATTTCAGTCACGTTCTTTAATCCCGAATAAATTCGATCGATTTGCCGATCAACACCTGGCCTCATACGACACGATCTCAATTAACAACCAAGACACTCCCCTCCGTTGAATTTTAATATGTGCATGGTTGGACTGCTCTCGCACCAATTCAAATCATGAACGAGGAGTCTTGGAAGCAATTCAAACAGAAACAGAAACAGAAACAACAGGAGAATCATCATCCTCATCATGAACCATCCTTGTACTACCTCTGTTATGTGCACAGCCCTACCTTGGCGCTTCCATATGCCATCGGGAAGCACCTGTACTTGCCCAATTGTGAGCCTTCCTCCGACTCCATTCAAGATTTGTTTGTGACACCCAGCATGACACCGGAAGAAGCCAAAGAACAAACTGAAAGGCACGGAGTTGCCTTTGTGGAGCAAGTCTTGAGTCCAGCCACCGCCTCCAATTTGCGGCAATACATTCTAAAAGCCAACTATGAAATTGAAGGTACCTTTATCAAGGAGAATGAGAATCGATTTCACATTATTCCTGATCCAATGATGGCTGCGGATGCAGAAGTCGCTGAATCGTTACCAGTATCGCCGTCTTCTGACATTCTTTGAAGCTATATAATCGAATAACTGGCACTCCCTGATTGCATGTCGGGCACTCCCTGATCTGGAGCGTTTGGCGCATGCCCGGTATGGTGTAAACGGATACGTCATACGGCAGGAAGCAGTATGGACATATCCTTTTTGGATGCGATGGCTTTTATTTTTATTTCGATGATAGCTGGAAACAGTCTGTTGGTCAAGGGTATGCTTTGTTGGCATCGAATGGATAGACACCGCTGGATTTCTGAAGAGGAGACAGCAGCAACAACAACGACGACGATTTCTGAAGAGGAGACAACAACAACAACGACAACAACAACAAGGCCACTGTAGCTGATGCAAATGCTACGCCCCCTTTAGTCCACTTGCAACCGACATCGACCTGAAACCTTGCTCTTCTTCCATGTTGCCTGAAGATCATTCCACGAATAATGGTAGCAATTTGGCAGCATATTTTGCTAGCTGCTCCACGTGGCGGAGGCAATGGGAGTACTCCCCAAGCCTTACGAGTCGGTTTTGGCTGACGCGAAGGAAAAATATGGTCTTGAAAGTGATATTGGCTGGAGAGAAGCGATAGCAGTTTGCCTGCTGCCCCTGCCGTTGCATCTGTTTTCATTGTTAGGAGCGCATCAGTGGCATCGAATTATTCCAGCGTTACGAAAGCAAGAACAAAAGACAAGGAAAACTAATTTGAATATGACAACGGACATGACTATACTTCGACGTTACTCATTTCTGCTGGATCTGGAGTCTGCAAAACAAAACAAAACAAAACAATAGGTAGGTGGGGTCACGAGCCCAGCGAATACTTGCCTTCCTTTCTCATCCGCAATGAAATACGACACAGTGCAATCGTTGATACGCTTTCATCTTCTCATCCGCAACAACTCCGACGGTGTAAATGCTGTACGTTGGCAGATATGCCAGTCTCATGGCAACGTAGTAGTAGTAGTATAATAAATAGTAAGGTGGATTGAAGGTTCACTCCGCTGCTCCCTTTGTTAGATGTTCAGTCCAGTGCCATCCATACGCAAGACGACGTGCTCCACCGAAGTTGCCAATGGCAACGACAGCTGATCACACGGATAACCGATAACACTTGCTCTTCCATGCTTGATGTTTGAGCTACAGTGATGGGCCAAAGATACTGATATTCTGTAGGGGAGACTTCCACATTGTTTGCCTTCGAATCCAATAGGGAAAAAATGAAGAAGACCTTGATGATGATGATGATGCTGTTGTTGCTGCCTTTGAATCCAACGAAATAACAGAAAGCTCCACTCGACAAGCTTGATGATGATGAGATGATGATGAATGCTTTGTAAGTGCACCAATCCGAAATACTGTAGAAACAAAGAGTACAATCCAAATCATGTCCCATCCCAACTGTCCTCGTGGACCTCTTGACTCGACGACCAAAAGGCCAGCATCAAAGAGTTGAAGGTCCGAGGGCTCATGATTTGGTTTCCAGAGATCCGGTCTACCTGGGTTCTTGCCAATCTCAGTTGCGTTTATGAGCCTCGGCTCGACCACATTCCCACCGCCGTCCCACTCAACGATTCGATTCGTTTGGGCGGCCAAACACACGATGGAGGGAAGCAATCCAAACTCAGCAAGCCATAATATCGACAGACCAATGCTTCCTACTTGACTCTAGTGAGTGACCAATCCACTAGAATCGCATAGGAAACACTGGCCATCCGAAGGATCCCTAAGGGAGTGTGAGAAAACAAGAGTACGAAGGGAAAAAAATAATACAATCATCCAGACTCGCAGACCCAAAATGCTGTACAAATATCAGTAAAAGGACGGAAGGAAAAAGTGGTGAGGTGGTAGAACAGAAGGTATATTCAATCGATATGGTCAAGCTTACCTGTAAACAGTAGAAATGCAAAGTAACGCCTTCGTCGTCGTCATGTCAAATTGACATTATGGGGTGGATTCAGATATAACTCCTCTTGGTGTGTGTGTTGTTGTTGCACACTATTATCATACTCTGTCTCTTCAAAAAATCGCAAACAAAAATAAACTAGAAGGATAAAAGGTGAGAAAAGAAGGGGCAAAATACGAATTCCGAATCCAATGCATACATCAATGAACTTACGCTTAATCGGCACCACTTATTCTTCGGTTTGCCACACGACGACTGAATCGTCTTCCTTCTTCCGTCAATCCAGATCCCAAAGCTGCCGTAGAAGCATCCTTCTGATCTTGCAAAAGCTTGGCCAATCGAAGGCTATATCGATCGCCCGATGTCCTCCAGCCAGATCCCAATCCGTCTTCAGGAATAGAAAGAATTGGAGATGCATGACTAGTGTCATCATCAGTAGTAGCAAGGATGGAAAGATCGTCGTCTGTTTCAGCTACGATCTCAGATTGCCTGGGTGGTGCTGCAATCTCCTCGTTGCTGACATCGTTGATCGGATCCTCGGCCAAGGTAAGGAAGCTTGATTCACCAGAGTCGATGTCAATGTCGATGTCGATGTCGATGTCAATGTCAATGTCGTCGTCATCTTCTTCTTCCTCTGGATGTTCCACAATGACAGAGAAGCTAGCAGTGAAAGTCCAGTTTTGTCGCTTGGCTTTTGCCTTCCTCTTCAACTTGGGACGTTTGGCCTTCGACCTCTTCTTCTTGATCACGGCAAGATCGAAAATGGCACCGTTCCATTGCTCGAGATCAAAGCGTAGAGGGAAAGGATCCTTCATCAAGGCGGCGATGTTTGGACCACCTTCAGAGGCAATGGCGTCATCATTGTTGAATCCATCCAAAGAAGACGAGTCAATGTGGCTCTCGTCGTCTTCTTCTTCTTCTTCTGGGTCTTCAATAATGACAGCGAGCAAAGGAGAGAACAGTTGATTCGTTCGTTTGGCCCATTCTGAAATTGAAGTTGGAAGCGTAGATTGCTTCAGCTTGCGACGCTTGGAGAACCTGACCGAGACAAGGTAGCCAATTGGATCGTCCAGTTCATCTAGTGCAGCGGATCGTCGTGGATTGACTGAAGTCCATTCCGTGGAAGGATTTGGAATAGCCGAATCCATCTTTGATCGCTTGGTAGGTCTAGAAGAAGGAAGGAAAGCAGAGGGCGGGCTTCTTTTGTGAGGCCCGGGAGGTGTCCATCGGTCGTTTACCCGTTGAGACCATTCTCGAACCGAACATGGAATGATGCTTGGGGCAGAGGGAACGATGGACAAGTAATCCAATTTGCGGCGCTTGGACGATCTTGCAAAAGAGGGAGCGGTGGAAGCGATTCTCTTGAGAGGAGCCTTGGCCTCTGGAGACAATGGCTCATCGACATCCATTGGATCGTCATCTTCAACGTTGTCGGGATGCTTCAAAGAATAACCTGTTGACAATTCGGGAGTTGCCTCTTCTCCTGAATCTCCTGCTGAAAACGACTGTGGTGGGGCGGAAGTAGCAGCTCGCTTGGCCTTGTTCTTGCTGGACTTGTTACTTGTCCCATCTGGAAGATACAACCGAGTCTCGTTTCGATTGAAGTCAAACCGGACATTGTTGATGGATCGTCGCGGATTGACTGAAGACCAAACTTTCGGAGAACGAAGAACGGGCGCAAGGGCTGCAGATCTTGCCTTGTTGCTGTTGTTGTTACTTGTTGATATTATAGTGTTGATAATAGTGCTGGTCATGCTGATAGTTGGTGTAGTTGGTGTAGTTGGTGTAGTAAAGGAGTCCATTCTGAAATCATGAGATGATGCGGTTGGAGATACAACTTTCACACGGATCGCCAAAATCTCAAATTTGCCTCCAAGTTTACTCCGTGCCTCCGTGTTTTTTCAAATTCCACGTAGTTCCGCGTAGCTTTCGTACCAGCCCATTGTTGTATGTGTTTTGGATTCAAATTCAAAATCGATCCAACCCCAATCAGGCCTGTTTTAGCTCTTTTCAAGAATCATTATCTTTGGATGATAAGAAGCTGGCCTAGGAACAGAGATGATATTAATAATAATATTATTATAATATAGGACATATAATGAGATAATTTTTAATCTGTCCGAGTGAAAACTTGCTATTGATTATTAGTGCTATTCGAAAATGCGTTGGGCTACACATGAAGGTATTCCTTCATCCTCGTATTGTTTGATTTTTCAATGGTTTTTTCATTTTTTGCAAGTGTCTTTGCTGAAGGATCAAAGCAGGATCGTTCCTTCTTCGAGTACAGTGTCCTCCCACAAGTTAAAAGCGTAGAATCATACATTTCATAGAGCAACATTGTCCTGAAATAAAGTAGACTTCAATGTACGTTTCCATTGCGCTTTCCTCCAACCACCGTACCGAAGCATCCCAGAGCTTCTCTTGGACGATTCCTAAATGCTGCCTTGAAATGAAGCACCATGTACCATCATCTTGACCGTAGCTGGTCTTCTGTTAGAACCGAAACAGGCGATTGATTCCATTCTTGATAATTGATTGTCTCGTCCAAAGCTTGGCACACGGAAGGGGTCCGCTCTTTGAGATGACGATGATTGTTGATGATGCATGATTCGATGATTCTATGATTCGATGATGGATATGGATGCAATGATGGATGATCGATTGACTGATCTGATCTGATCGGATCGGATCGGATCTGATCTGATCTGATCTGACTGACTCGACTACGAAATCGACTCAATCGATAAATGAACATAACGTGATGAGAATCGTAACAATACGGTGACGGCAGAAATGAAGGTCTGTTTCGCATCGACTTCTTGTACGACACCGACGCCGATATCTCCGTCAATTCTCCATCTTTCTAAGCCAAGAGTGCATCTGTGCAATCTTCAATCCAAGGAAAATATGCACCTTCCATTATCGCTCTTCATCTGTACGATTATCATGTCGAGATTCGTTTCTGGAAAGTAGTGACATTCAGGCCAAAAATTGACGTTTTCAGCTCCTCATAACTTCATCAATCCTGGTTCATTCGCACCCCCAAAAAATGAAAACGCTATTTCTCCAATAGGATCATAGGATACTGGAACGGCGTCGTCTATCTCGAAGTTTATGAGAATCCTCATTTTTCCATGATGGGTGATGATGTCCGTTATGGTGTGGGTGATGATGAGAGGATGACATGTAAACACTAAATTAGCCGCTCTCGACTCACCCCGCCTACTGTATGTGCGTGTACGGAGAGGAGGTTGATTCCTTGGTTGATTCCAAGAAATGGAGCTACGAGAGTGTTGGAAGGTGATTGGGAATGATAGGTCCGGTTTTATTAATGTGATTTAGCTTCGACACGGAACGGAGACAAACGTGTGATAGTGTGTACGGATTTGGATATGATGGTGACATGTGATTGTGATAGTGTGGAGTTGAACAACGTGTGATGTATGGAAGCAAACTGCGAGCAAACAGGAATGTATGACATTTCCTTCCCTTGCTACCAAGCAGTTTGAAGTCTCTGCGACCGATTCAATCTAGGATGATTCCTCAGCAGCAGGCTTTTGGCCCCAAGATGACTTGTCTTCTGCAGCGGTGCTGGATCCCTTGCCGAGAGGAGCAAAGTCTTCACTGGACAAGTTGAATTTACCCTTGGGTGCAGCTCCCTTGGAAGGGCCAGAGCTTTGCCGCAGCTTTGAAGCAGCCTTTTCGTTTTGCTTGCGAATATCCTTGGCAGTTGGAACTGATCCCCGTGGTTGGTTCTTGAACCATTCCTTCTTTTCGCGAAGTGCCTTGACTGAGCCTTCGACTTCACCAAGTTTGGTGGGTGGGGACATACCAATCAAACCGAATTGCTCAAAGGAATCGAGGTTGAGGGTGAAAGGAGCAGCAACATCCTTCTTTTGTTGACGTTGACGCTTCTTCTTTCCCTTGCCCTTGGACATGAATTCCTCCTCCTCATCCTTCTTGCTAACGGGCTTGAAACCGGCGAATGGATCGTCCTTGACGGCAATGACGTCCTCCTTCTTGGCTTCTTCGTCCTTGGTGGAAGTTCCGCCCAAGTAAGTGCGCTCCAAGTAATCGGCGAGGTATTCGCACAAACCTTGTTCTTCTTCGTAAGGAACCTTCTTGAGTTCTTCCTCTTCCATCTTTTTCAAGTAGGCTTTGTGCTCTTCGTCGCGCTGTTTCTTTTCTTCATCGTATTCAATCTTTTTGCGAGCCTTGACTGCGCGTTGGAAGTTATACCAATTGTTGCTCTTTTCACGGAAGGCATCGCGAAGGGCATCCTTCTCACTGAGGATGTCCTTGATCTCCTTGTTCAAGCGTTCTCGGTCCTTGAATAGCGTATCCACTTCACCCTTTTTGTCGGTATGCTTCTCAGACAATTCCTTAATCTTCGAGCCGACAACATCCATCTCTTTGGCGACAGCATCGATTTCCTTATCCTTGGCCTTGATGTTGGTGTTGATGGCATTGCGCTTCAGCTTGACGCCTTCAAAGTCAAGTTCTTTGTCCTTCAAAGACTTGATCTTATCCTTGCTGGCCTTGAGGGCATCCAATTCCTTGATCAATTTCTTTTCTTCGCCCAGACTCATGGAAGTAGTCTCCTGGCGCCTTGACAAATTTTTGATTTCTTTGTCAATTTCTTCAACAGTGCCAAACTTGACAGCGGAACGGGTATCCTTACGTTCTTGGGAAAGCTTGTCTCCAGCAGCCTTAAGGCTGTCCAATTCGGAGCGGATGACCTTCTTTTCGTTGATAAGAATTTGCTTCTTGTTACGCAGAGTCTTCAGGGCTTCACGGTGTTTGCCAATCTCACTGCCCTTGCCGTTGTTGCGAGAAGCATCGATCTTTTGTTGGACTTTGCGCTTCTCGTTTCTCTTCAGTTCGAATCTGGCATCGATTTCAGCAAATTCCTTGTCGAACTTGGCCTTGTCAGGTCTGTCAACCTGTTGGATGGGGTACCATTGTAACGTGCAAGAAATAGCAAACAGAGAGAATATGAGAAAGAGATTAAAAACTCACATCATCGTCATCATACAACAATGCACTCGTGAAACTTCAAAAAATTGGGAACCAGTACAAAACCACCGTAGAATTCTAGGAGGACACCGACACGACCCATAGGACTAAAACACTCACCCCAGGAATTGGTTTGGAAAGATCATACAGCTCTTCGATGGGGCGCTCGTCGCGTTGTCCTTTCTTTCCATTGTTCTTCTTTCCACCATTCTCGTTGTTTTCAGCGGGCTTGCTGTCGGAAACAGGAGCTTCTTCTGAAGGAGCTGTTTTGGGTTCCTCCGACGCCATATTTGGTAGGTGACAAAAAATGAAAATGTTTGTCGTTGGAATGGAAACCAAATGATGTGTCTCTGACGGACGCCGGTAAGGCCTTGAAGGTGCGGACGGCGAGGAGTGAGGAGTTCGTTGTGGTCGCGCGCACAATTTGCGCATGCATGACGAAGACCTTCTTCGAAAGGTTGACAAAATACGGTAGATCGTACGACCAGACAGACTACAAACTCCTTCCTTACCGTCTTAGGGCCCAACTGTGACGATAAGATGCCACAACATCTATGTTAGAAGTACTGTAGGTGAAGGACCACCATCTGGGCTGTTTGATTGGACCCTGGCATTCCTGGGTAATCTATTGCTATGTGCACGAAAGCCGAGAGGACTTGCTTCATCAGGCAACTAAAAACTAGCATCGATCCTCCTCAAGACGACAGCAATTCAATGTGTCATTCATGGACTTGAAGTGTCTTATAATTAAATTTGCTTTTGCTTTTGCTTTTGCTATGATGATGATGATGATGAGCATCACACATACAGTAGCGTCATAGTGACAGGAGAGCTTATTAGAAGCTGGTGGTGATTCATGTTAGTCGAAGATTCTGCGATATTATTGACCGTTTGTTTTAGTACTTAACGAAAATACCTTTTATGAGAACCTGCGACAAAACATCTATGCCCATTTTCAAATTTTAGTCAATTTTGGCGACATCCTATCGTACGTGATTTCAAATCATGCGGTATTTTGATTGCACTCTGCACAGGAGATTGTTCTTGCAAATTGCATGTGTGGAAATCAACAGTCACTCAACAAGCAATGAAAGTATCAACTCCGAATAATTCAAAAGCGGCGGCGTCCGAGCCATCCCAACCGCCCGTGAATAACTATCGAGAGACTTCCTTCGCTGGTGGTTTGCACCAAAAGTCAAGTAAGATATCCTTCAGTATGGCTCCAAGAGATTGTAGAAAGAGTTCAGAGCTCAAGTTGGTTCGAAAATCAGGTGGGCTCAGCAAGGCAGCACAACTGCGCCTCTCCGAACTCACTATCAATAAGCTCAAGATACAAAATTTGGGCCTTGTTGGACGAGAGCAGGAAGCAGCAGCCTTAAAAAATTGCTACAGGAGTATGATGAATAGGCTGAATATGATCGAAGAGGAACCTGAATACATACAAGAAGGGGGCAACACAGCACCACGGAACCGCAAATCGTATGCCGCAAGAAAGTCCAAAATTCAGGGTCAAAAAGAGTTGGTCTTCATCAGCGGACCTAGTGGCGTTGGGAAATCATCCTTGGCAATGGTTCTGAAGGATGAGGTAGCTACTACCGACTCGGGGCTGTTGGTGGAAGGAAAAATTGACTTGAACATTAGTATGGATCAGCCGTATTCGAGTATCGCCAAGGCATTTGGTCAAATCTTTCGAGAAATAAAGTCCAGAGGCGGAGAAATGGAAACACAAATTGGACGAGACATCTGCGAGGTGCTGGGCGGCGATGTGGGATCCTTGATCCGCCTCATTCCCGAAATGGAAGGGGTTGTATTGACGCCCAGAAAGTCCATAGCATCCAAACTCAGTTTGAAAGGGGACATCGATAACATGCAAGATCGATGGACATACAGTTTTCGGGCGCTCACACGCATCTTGACTTCCTATTTCGCCCCTTTGATTATATTGCTAGACGACCTTCAATGGGTTGACATCGCGTCTCTTGATCTGATAATCGATCTAATCTCGGATGTTCAGAACCTTAACCCACTAATGATTATTGGGTGCTACCGATCGAATGAAGTTAGCGAAGACAGCATTCTTGGAAAAGGTATTCGGTCACTCCAAGAAATGTCTTCTGGCTTCAAATTCAACTTTACAGAAATCGAATTAGACTGTTGTAAGGTGGAGGACATCAATGAGATGATCTTGGCGATGATGTCTATGGACAATCCGGAGAAAACTATTGAATTGGCAGAATTATGTATGAAACGAACTATGGGTAATCCCCATTTCTTTATCGAGTTCATGTCCATGCTGGAACGTGAAAATCTGGTGACATACAATCTTGGTAAGTGACATGGGAAGTCCTTCCTCTGAAACGCACAAGGATATCTCTGGATATCACAGATCTCATGCATTTGCGCTATGATTATAGGTCTCCTCAAGTGGACCTGGAATTTGAACGAGATTGAAAATGCTACAGTTTCCTCTGCCAACGTTGTGGAATTGGTGCAAGTTCGAATAAGGAAAATGGCGGAAGATGCACAGCTCCTACTACAACAGGCAGCCTGCCTTGGTCCAGATTTCACTTCCCCAACCTTGACCATTGTGTGGCAGAACACTCCACACGATTCCTCAACGGACACATCGGATGAGATGGTCACTACTATGCTCATGACGTTGGAAAATGAAATGCTGATTGAATTGTGTGGTCTGAACAACTACAGATGGGCTCACGATAAAGTTCAAGAAGCAGCCTTGGCACTAGAAGAAGCACAAAGAACCTCTTTCCAGTTTGAAATTGGCCGTGCCCTTCTGATGGCACTTCCAGAAAAGCAACTAGAGGACGAACTATTCAGTGTAGTCGATTTGCTCAATAGGAGTTCTGGGAAGAGATCGCTTGACTACGCCGCTCTGAACCTTCGGGCAGCTAACAAGGCTCGCAACTTGTCTGCTTTTGAGTCAGCAGCTAAATATTCTGCAAAAGGGATTGCGATGCTTCCTAGTGACAAGTGGACGGTCGGATCTGAAATGTCGTTAGAACTGTACACACTTGGTGCCCAGATGGAACTGGCACTAGGTCGATACGAAGAGGCGAATGAATACTGTAAGGAAGTCTTTTCGCAGAGAGACTGGCCATTGACAGATGTTTTGCCGTTGCGCATGGTCAAAGCAAGATTAATGTTCTCGGTAGAGCTCAAGTTCAATAGTGCGATTGACTATTGCCAGGATCTACTGAAAGATATGGGATATAAATTGCTTTGGAGCCGAACTACGGTGCCAATCCAGGCTGTCTCGTCCCTTGTTCGTACCATTCAAACCTTGAAGAAGAAACCCACTGATTTCTATGAGAATATCGGCATCATGACTGATCCAAACGACTTGGCAATTGCGAGTATTATTTCTCGCATCTTCTATTCAGCTTATTTTGTGGAGAAATTATTTCTGTCGGTTCTATGCACCTGTAAGCTGGTGGAGGTAAGTCCAAAATTTCATTGCATCCCCTAAGTTCTCTTGCGTATCGCATCCTGACTTGTCCATCAATTTTCCAGTTCACTCTCAAGAACGGAATGAGTGAGTTTTCTGGATGTCACTTTGCCTCAGTTGGTGGCTTTTCCTTGATTCTGTTGCAAGACTATGAGACTTCAAGAAACCTCTGTCAGGTGGCACTGGCGATGCAACGGATGGTTGGCAAAACCCGGGCGACTGAGACAGAGCACATCGCCTACGCATATGGGCTCACTTGGACGACTCCCATACACCAGTGTATCCATCCGTTAGAAGATGCCTACATTACTGGAATGAAAACGGGCGAGGTAGGTTCACACGAACAACTGGGTTGCCACGATACAGGCTGTATCCATCTAACCCGCTTCCTGCTTGACATTTCTTTCAGACCTTGTTTGCAATGTGGAATTTGCTGTCTTCGAATATCCAGCTTCCTTTTGATTTGGGCAAACCATTGGATCGAATCTTGGAGACATGCGCTCAAGCATACGCTCAGATGAGAGATGTGTCGGAGGCAGGTCCGGCTTTGGTTTTCTCTGTCTACTGGCAAATGATTACCAAACTGGCCACGCCACAAGAAGGCGATCCGACCAAATTGGAAGGGACGATCTTCAAACCTGAGGATCATAGTCTGCGAAACAACATTTACGAGGGATGCGTCCATCTTGCTACTGGGGAGTTAATGGTATTTTATGACATTGAAAAGCTGGCACAGCGGGCAGTCAAAGGTGATACTGTCTATGAGAAATGCTTCCCTGGTTTCTATAGTATTATGCTGGAAACCTTTCATCGTGGTGTCGCACTGTATGCCGTGGCCCAAAAAAACAAGAAACGAAAATATAAGCGTGCAGCCCGCAAGATCCGAAAGAAGATCACCCAGTGGCAAAAAGCAGGGAATCCCAATGTCTCTCATTTTGTAACCTTTCTGAATGCTGAGGAATTTGCGCTCAGTAAGAAATATGACGAAGCGGAAGACAGCTATTCAAAAGCAATCGTGACAGTAGCACGTTGTGGTTACTTGAATCATGCCGCGCTTTTCAATGAACGCTATGCTGACTTTTTGATGATAGTCCGAAACGACGAGGGGGAAGCCATGTATCGATGGAGGGAAGCTGTTCGATACTACAGAGACTGGGGTGCCCATGGGAAGGCAAAGCAACTGGAAGACCAGACCGAGCAGCACAAACCTTTAGAAATCACAGAGAGTTGTGAACCACATGAAGTCACAGAAAGTTGTGAAATTGGCGCTAACTAAATAAAGGTCTTCTTTTTGCTTCAATTTCAATGTCTTTCAATTGTCGTCGTTTGAGTTTGCTTTTGGGTGACCGTGAAGCTTCAATGGAAGGGGGCGTTTTGTCATTTCCCACCCTTGGTTACATGTCATCGACGATCCTCATTCAAGGTCTGCCTTTGTTTGACCTTTCAATATGTGAATGTCTTTTATTTTCACACCTGGTGTGCTTCACAGATAATAATCAACGGATGGCTCAAGCGAGGAGCGACTGCATTCGGCGGCCTCCTATTCAGTGCTCTACCCAAACAGCGGAACCATCGTTCACATTCCGCTTTCTCCAGCAGGCTTCTGAGGATATGCCAAAAGCATCTTCCATTATCTTTCCCGCCTCGGGCTTATCAATGGGTACTTCTACTAAGGTGTGCGAGGGATTTTCTTCCACAAACTTGCGAATCCTTTGGGCTTGCTCGAGATAAAAGGCAATCATATCTTGGTCGTTCCCCCCCTTGCCGCGTGGCAAATCCGGTAAGAACGGATTGTCGATGAAGCGTTGCCGCAAATCTTGCCAGTGGTCAATGGACTTTAACCAATCATGCGGATCCCTCAAATTCAAGATCCAAGTTGCTTCCGGAAAGTGTTCATGAATCTCTGCGAGTTGGAAAAAGCACGAGTACAGGGACAGAAATAGCAACGATAGGAATGACAGAAAGAAAGTTAGCAGATCGAAATATTACGCAAAATATTAGAAGTAACAGACACCATCCTACCATTCACAAATTGCCATTGTGGTACAGTGATCCCGCCATTCTTTTCTTGTCCATCCAGTTCAGCGTAGACCGTGAACATGTCCATCGTGTCAAAGGCTTTGGTTTTCATCTTGGTAATGTTCCGTCGCATGCGCTTGCCACACGACATTACATTCTTGCCTGCGTAGTTGCAATTATAGTGACTCAATCTCGAAAACTTGGGATCGAGTCCACACTTGAAATAGCCATAAATAGAAGTAGTTCCAGCCTTCATCAGCCCCATCACAATAATGGGTGTTGGTAGTTTCAGTTGTTCCGGTTTTAGCAAAATAGCTGGGCTGGTGTTGTACTGTGGTCCCATTCCACCTATGGCTGTAGAGGAATTGTTGTTTGTCGTTCTGATTTCATCACTGGCACCTAACGTCGATACAGCCAAGATTGATGCAGATAACTCATGGGCCGTCAAATCAAATCCATGATGACAGGCAAAGAGTCCTGACATTAAACCAAACCAATAAATGAAGCACGAATATAAAAGAAGAAGAAGCCAACGACCGCAGTTCTGTTGCTGGGATGTTTGCAGGTACAACTTTGGCGACCTGGATCGAGTAGTCCTTATCTTGAGATTTCCGGTCATCGTCACAATCTTCTGTATGCTGCGTACGTCAGTCCTTGTCAATTGGTCAATGCATGCTATTTCCTCGGCCTTCCAAGATATGCTTTGATAGTGACCAGAGCCTGGTGATCCGAAACCAGAATAAAGGCCAGAGGAAATCAAATTCTTCCTTCTTGTACTGCTGTGAATGGGCAGCTCATCCACAATTGAGTACTGGTACGATTTGCAACAAGTTCTGTCATGGCGCATCCCAGCAAATACTTTCGAAGTACCTGGCTGGTACTGAATCAGCCCATTTGAATTATCCGACAGCATCGTTTGCACGTAATAAGAAACAAGAAACCAGAGTGGGTGCTACCCAGTTAAACCTTGAAAAAATAACAGTGGTGGCTACTATTGAAGGCCAGTACTATTAACAAAAATCTAACCCTTGCATTGAATGTGCATTCCAATAACTCGAAAGTTGATTGTACAGTACTGTAGGATAGTATTTTTTCACTTCCGACAACTAGTAGTACTAGTCGCAGTAGTCGGCCCGGAGCAAACTTTCGCATGCATGTACCCGGTACCGGAACAACAATAATGACGAGAAAATACATAAAACCATGGCATATTATTATTAGTTGACAATGATGACGAAACTTTTGCGTCCATTCCATTCTGAAGGCTTCGTCCCTTCAAATTATTCAGGTTGGTTTCGCTCTGAAATTCCAGGTAAGTCGTTTCGGACGACAAGAGGAGCTACAAACGGTCACGGAGAGAACGATTGAGAACCTGCCGAAAACGTGCTCAAACTTTCGCTGATCTAGTCTTGGCCGTTTCTAAACTGGTTTCTTCGATTTCACTTTTCCCCACTCCAAATGCTCACAAAATCAAAGCAGAGGCTTTATTTTGTCACGAGAGCTACTCCAAAGGAGAGCTACTCGAATGTTCATTCAACCTCTACCGTGCTTCGATTGCAATAAAGGCCTTTTGGGGCTGGCATGCAAGAGTACTGCTGCGACACCAACTCTTGGAGTATTTGGCTGAGAGTTTTGGCGTGCAGCAGGTGAGTTCGTAAGTCGTCTGAACACCAATACACAACACACATACTTCTTTGGCTGGGGGAACCCCGTAAGCGATTTCCAAAGAGAGAGAATTTTCTGGCTCTCCGGTCCGCTTCAGCTCCACGTGGGAGCTGTCGTTTGATTTGACTGTGCATGATGTGAAGGGAATAAGGCACACATACAAAAGTATGATGTGCAAACTTTCCTTGAACGACACTGATCGTTCTAAAGAGAGCAACCCCATGGAAATGGCGGTTCTTCTCAAATCCAGAACACATACTTCTTTGGCTGGGGGAACCCCGTAAGCGATATCCCAAAGAGAGAGCATAACTGGCATTGAGCTATCTCTCCGGTCCGCTTCAGCTCCACGTGGGAGCTGTCGTTTGTTTTGACTGTGTATGTGAAAAATGGCAAACATACTGGCCTCAACAAGTATGTGCAAACGTTCCCTGAAAGATGCTGATCCTTAAAAGAGTGCCACCGGTGATGGGGCCTCTGCTACAACGCGTATATGAAAGTATAGTTGGAGTGTGACTGGAGCATCTGGGAGCTTTGCGTTTAGCCTGTACGCATAACGTTCTGTGAACGATGCGGAAAAGAGAGCAACCGCATATGACGGTGCCTCTGCTTCAACACGAATATGAAATTTTAGTTGAAGTGGGCGAGTTCATATATACAACAATCAATCATACATCGGAATGAGGAAGGATGCAAATTTTGAATGAGAAAAACAAGTTTCTAAGATGAAATATCAATATTGATGATATGAGTGGGACAATAAGACGTAAGATTGCGTTTCATTCAGATGCATATGGCTGGCTCACTCCAATGATGGTCAGCTAAAACCATCCAATTAGAAGAGATTGTAATTTCAACAAATAGTTAGTGCCTTTACCATTTAGTCTATACTCTTTCAAAATCTACAGTAGCTATTGTGGCCTGCATAAAAGTTTTGACGTTTGATTTAGTCGCAGTAGTCGGCCCAGAGCAAACTTACGGTACGACCATTACACTCTTGTGACAGTCATCGAAGGCAAACATTTTCCGGTGAAAGGAAAAGCATGATAATGGGCCATACAATGATTAAACCTAATAATCACCCCAATGGTTCTAGAAATGCTCCAAATGCAATCTTCTACACAGCAGGAAATGTCCTCTGCTGAAACAAGCTCTTTAAGAACGCTTGTCAATAATGAAAACCAGCCTGTTGAAAGGAATGAACTTACCGATGAGGAAGGGCGAGCAACTACAGGGACATCCAGGGTGTCACCGTCCCATGGAAGTCCTTGTTCTCGAAGATCATTGAATGTCCGCGAGTTGAAAGAAGGAGAAGGAACAACAAAAAATAGACCTTCCAGCTTGTCGAGGCTGTCTTCTCGTAGCAGAACTTCCTCTCGACGACTCTCTGATCCAAGTGTATCGCCCTTGTCCACTCATCGTCGTCGTAGAAGCTCATCGAAGAGGATGTCTTATTCGGGTGAGATTGTAGAAGGAGACGACGAGGAAGAAGTCAGAAAGAGAGCTTCCAGCTTTTCCAGAGTGTCGTCACTACTTGAAGGAGGAGATTACCAACAGCGACCTTCCAGTTTGTCCAGGCTGGGTTCTCCTCGTAGAAGTTCTTCCAGGCGCCTCTCTAGTTCCAATCTGTCTTCGAGGAGAGCAATCATGCATGAGCAGAAGCCTACCAGTTTGCCTCGGCTGGTTTCTCCTCGCAGTAGACTGGTGCCCAAACAACTCTCTGCCCCTAGTTTGTTGTCAGCAGACGGACGAAACTCTTCTGGGAGGGCATCGTATTCAGGCGAAGGTACAGAAGGGATAGAGGAAAGACAACTCAATAGGAGACCCGCCAGTGTGGCTAGGATGTCATCTCCCAGGAAAAGACCTTCCAGGCGGATTTCCGGTTCAGAGAGACCCGCAAGTTTGTCCAGACTGTCCTCGCCCGACAGAAGCCCTTCCGGGCGACGCTCTGCTTCCAGTTCATCGAGGATGTACTCGCCCACAAGAAGCGCTTCCTGGCAAGAATCTAATTTGAGCCATTCCACGAGAAAATCTTCGAGATCGAGGTCAGGCTCCCGAGGTAGGGCCAGATCACAGCGATCGCTAAGTCGTTCATCAGCACGAAGCCAAAGATCCATGGAACGTTCTGAAAGAAGCAGCAGTCGTTCGCGATCACGGACCAAACAAGATCAAAGGAGTCGTAGAGTTCCAAAGAAGAAGCCAGAACCACACCGCAGTCGCCACGATTCTCCCCAGCATTCATGTCGACATCTCGGTCTCCATTTCGAAGATGCCAGCGATTCCGATGATTCTATGGCTAGTAACAGTCCATACCGAACGAGTAGGAAGGTTTCTAATCTAAAAATTTTGGACGACGAGCAATGGGGACTGCAGACTGTGTACTCAGATGATGATGATGGGTTTTCCGACCTAGATGAGGAGAAAAGGATTGCTGCAACGCATGAACAAGCATTTTCTGGAATTAATGTTGGTAAAGACGGAAAGAATATTGAATCCACCGTGGTACGAAAAACCAAGCCCCCCAGCTGCAAACGGCAAATACTATGCATCGTTTTGGCAGTCCTTCTATTGGTTGCCATTGGAGCTGGTGCAGCAATTGTTTTGGGTCGTCGGTCGTCGCCTTCATTGGCAGCTATCACTGATACTCCCATCGCCTCCCCTTCCAATTCGACTCCTCCGAAGCAGCTAACTACAATTCCTCCCATTACCTTCAGTCCGTCTTCGAGTCCAACACGTCCGTTACTGTACAGTCCTCCCAGTCCAGAAGATTGCCTCAGTATGGCCAACGGAAACGACGTTGCTGGGCAAGATGAATTGTTTGGACGAAACTTTACCATTGCTTTGAGGGTAGCCATGTTGGACGAATCAGAAATATCTGTACTGGAATCTAGATTGCAAGCGAGTCTACAAGAATATTTGATCCCCAAACTTGCTGAATGTCCCTCCGAATCTCGACGGCTTCGGCAACGAAATTTGGCCTTAAATCGATATGCAATTGGAGGTGGCACTGTTGGTATTCAGTGTATGGACAACAGATCCTGTACTAGCAAGGAGTCTTCCGACGTCTGCTACAGCTGTCTCATGAGCCTTGAGCTCCTCTTGAAAGATAATTCCATTCGATACTTGGATATCATTGGAAAAATATCCACCAGCATGTTGAAAGAAGATGTCGTGAAAAGCAGCGGTCTGGACGATCTTTTAGGCATGCTGGCAACTGTGGGCGTTGAACTCGGTAGTCCAACGGATACTCCAAGTCTGATACCCAGCAAAGCACCTTCAATGAAACCATCGAATTTTCCATCTGCCGCCCCTTCGACAGATCCCACAGCCAAACCCATATCGGGCTCCCCCACCAAGTCACCGACTAAGGCTCCTACCAAGCGCCCAACACTTTCGCCCAGCAATTCACCTACGCGAAACCCAACGAAATCTCCAACTCGTCAGCCCACAGGAAATCCTACTCCAGGACCAACACTTCCACCCACAAAACAGCCTACACCTGGACCGACGCCTTCTCCAACGCCAGTGCCATTGACCCCGAGCCCGACGTTCGTGACATTGCGCGATGATCCGTTACGTGATGACGACGATGCGGTACCCACATCGGCGCCAACGTCTGGGCCCACGGTAGACCTCACTTCCGCGCCTACATCGACGCCAACTTCAGCTGCCACAGAAAAAGACGACCCTCCTATATTGCTCGATGATATTTTCTTGTTTGATGAAAACCCTACCGATGATGGGACTGACGATCCGTTTGGAGGAGGTGGTGGGGACGATGGGACGATCACCGATGTTGACGGTCAATTTGGAGGAGGCGGAGACGACGGGACGATCAACGATGGCGACGGGACGATCAACGATGGCGACGATCTATTTGGAGGAGGTGGTACGGACAATGGGGTGATCACCGATGGTGACGATCTGTTTGAAGGAGGTGGCGGGGACGATGTGACGATCACCGATGATGGGGGTTTCGAGAATGGTGATGACGGCGTTGGAGATGGTGGAAACAACAATCTGATATTCGATGACTATTTTTTTCCTTTTTGATAGTCTTAAAAGGACTTCACACTATCCGTTTTGGTCTACCCAACCTTCAAAATTTCGTGCATGGTACTCATCGCTCAACGTTGGTAATGAGACTCACAGATCCATCTATATTATGGTTTGTGAAGTTAACAAACATTTTTGTTGAAATAAGATGGCCTCGGTTTGCTTTTTAAAAAAAATAACTCGTTTGAAATACAGATCTTTGTTTAGGATTGACGATAGCGAATCGTCTAAAATAGACATCAGAGCTTCATTGTCTATTGTTTCCCTGTAACTTCATTTGAAAGACTGGTGTGCGGTGGTGATGCATGCCTTTAGGTGCACTTGCGGGTTGCCTAATAACGACTTCAAATCTGATTTTCATTACTCACTTTTCTCAGTTCTGCCTTTCATCTCTGGCCGATTAGGCTGGTTGGGACTCTGGTTCTGGGACCGTGTTCTAGCGGTGAAAAGTGTAGAGCCAGGCCTGCATTGGTTTGAAGGAATTGGACACGCAGTGACTATTTTTGGTTTATTGGTCTTGTCGATCATTTGGTTCCAAGCCATTGGCCGTGGGTTGAAGAAGCAGACCAAAATCTATTATGTTGCCCAAGCGAAATAGGTAAAGTCAAAGAAAACGTAAGCAACTATAAAGAGAAAGAATATCAGCGAAAGAATGATATATAATATGCTACAGCTACTATGATAATTTTTGATTCGATTGGCGCTGGTCAACCTCATTGCAATTGATGTTTTGCATAATTTGAATACTGATGCAGCTTCGACGAGCTGCCAAATCACCGAACGGCCAATGATGTGGAAGGTTGGATATCAAGATTTTTGCTTCCTCCAGGAACGACATCCTAGCGCGGTCTACGCTTGAACCCTTAGGCCTTCTTGATTACATTTCATCTTTACCATTGCGAAACGGAATCAAAGTTTTTCTGCGGTCGTTGTAAAAGCATTTGTTGTGGCAAGGTGATTTGACTTTCAGGACTGCTACTTGAATAATCAGAAAGCACCTTTTGCATCTTGAGCCCATCTTCCAGCTTCCCGTTCTTGTAGTAATTGTAAAGTCGCTCAGATACGTTATATCCATGATTCTCGTAGAGCCTAATGGCCCTTTCATTGGACATTCGAACCGATAAGTCACAGACGACTGCCCCGTACCGGTGCTTCATGGCATCGTGAAGGTAGTCCAATAGCTTCGTAGCCAATCCCAGTTTACGATGAGTCGGCATGACTGCTAGAGAAATTGTATGGCCACTGCGCACAAGAGGACGATAACCCAGGTTATCGTAGCGAACAGCCGAATTTGCCCTCTTATTCAGATATTTCCATTGCTGCTGCTGCTTCGTGGCTGCTTTAATTTCCCGAATGCAACCCATGGCATAAGCTATCGGAACTGGTTGTGCTGATGATACCGACGATGACGAGGAATTGGGACCATGACCTTCAGTAGATTCTTCCACCGAAAAGGATTCGATAATGACTGTCAAGTCCGGAAACTGCCGCAGATAATCTTCGTAGAATCCGTCTGGATAGTTCTCTGGCAAAAGAGCTCTGTTACATTGTTGAAGTGCAGGAATGTCGTCGATGGTGGCATGGCGCATCCACAAAACTTCGTTCGGTGATGGTGTTTTGGTGTTCTGAATTATTCGTTTCTGCTCTTGATATGCTGACACGGGCGCATGCCTGGTTGGCGAATCCGTGTACCAGTCTGGAGACTGCGAGAAGGAAGAATATCGCTCATGTATACTTTGGTGTTGCCTTGGAAATGAATGCCGTTTGACAGAATCAACATTCAGGAGACGCTGATGCCGTTGAGAAGTGGGAGGTTGCACCAACGAATCTACGCCAGCTCCCAGGATGAAAATCAAGGCAGCTGCCGACAAAATGGAGGACCTCATTGCTGTACGTGGATGCTGCTAACTTGGACTGTATCTGTAGTTTGTCCTTGCGGATGATAATGTTCTCCGCCTAGGTAAGGGGAAAGAGGGGACTGCGTTGTCAACCTCGACGAAACAAATTCTGAATGGTGTCGCATCAACGAACGTCATCAAAGATGATTGGTTTTTCGCCGTTTGAGCCTAAAGAAGTACCGTCGTAACCCCCCCCCAAAATGGCAGAAGACTTTCACAACTTCAATGGTATTTTTGTTCTTGTGATGTACCTCTTGCAACAATGATTGGCGCTGGTCCTATAGCAATATAATTTGCATAATATATGCTTATTATAAAGCCTAATGCATAATATAGGTTCCTCAAAATAAAGATCATACCTGTCATCATCATGCCGTCGTGATTCATTCTCGTCGTCGTCGCTCCTCCCATCATTGCTACTATTACCAGTAGGTACTGCTAGTAAACATATTATGTATGTAGCACAGGCCCAGCCAGCCAAGTAGTATTTATCACAATCATGTCGACTGAGAGTAAGAAGCTTGAATAAGTTTTCATTTTTCATGACTGTTGGAATCGGAACTAGCGATGAAAAGATTCCCACTTGGTGCTCCCTTCTCCAACACGAGCGAAGAGAAAAATCTCCAACTTCGCCATTCCTCGCTTTCACGCGACGAAGATGGCGGGAAACGCGGGCCGAGGTTGTTCGCGCCTCGCTTACCGTTGAGGACATTTCAGCCCCTCGTAAAATGCGTATGTATCAGTACTGAAATTTGTCGCAAAGTCGCACCTGTCAGCGAACTTCGCGTACACCCATCCGCTAAATGATTCCGAACTTGCGATGTTCGGTATTTATTTTCCTCACACGCGATGTAGTTCTGGAAGCAAATCGCAGTTTGAATTTGCATCCGTTTCAGCAACAAATTTGCAGTTTGGCAATTTGACACCACTACAAGAAAAATACCAAGCCAAACTCATTCGCTTTTCATTTATACCTGCTTTTACAATTCATACTACTACACCTATCACAATAATACAACAAGATGAAAGACTGCACCAACACATTTTACTCACCCAGCATCAACAAATATCAAGATGAGGACCGAAAGCATCGAAGCTTGACCCCCTCGAGTTCGTCTTCGCCCAAACCAAGCCCCATGACACCACGAATAGTCTCCAGCGAATTCATTACTAATCCACCTCAAACAGATGCCATGGTGTTTGAAGTGTCTCCTACTTCATCACCACCTTCCAAACGAAGACGAGTCCGCTTTGATGCCAGCGTCCACGTTCAGTATGCCGAGGAAGCTGTGCCAGACAAGGTAGCCGCTAGTGCTGAAAAAACTGACATTTGGTACTCCCGCAAAGAAATCGCGACTTGCCGGGACGAAGTTGTGGCTATGCTTAAGCAACGAAAGAGGGAAGGGGTAACCTTGGGAGGTACTCCTTCTTCTTCTGAATCCGTCTTTCATTCATCAACTCGCAAGGCTGCGGAGGGGCATGACATAAGTTTTCGGGGGGTTGAAGACTTACTATCCAAGAGAGCCTTTCAAGACCGAAGAAAGCGCAAGCGCGTCGTCGTCGAAAAGGTCTTGAACGAACAGGCCCGTCAAGCGGCCCTCAAGATTGTGGATCCAGATGGCTTGGGGATGAAAAGCCAGCTGGCCAGCAAACAATCGAGGGATTTGGCACTCAATCGGGGATCCAGAGATGCCATGATGGCCTACATTTACTGAAACATTGTTATTTACATGAATCATAATGCGGAAGATGGCAGCAAGCCGTCACAAAAACGTCACAAAAGAACAAAACAACAACTAATAATCAGAAGAGGTTTCCAAGCATACAAGGAAGCATACTCTTGCAACAAATAATGCTTAAAAAAAGTTTAATTACTTCAGCTCATGTCTACGATAAGATTGCTTTTGGGATCTCTTGTTGGTCCCCACGCCTTCAGGATGAGGCTGCTTGTTTCGTCGTTTCTTCGTCTTCAACACAAAACTCTTCACTCTTGTGAATTCTCCAAGGATACTTTGCAGGATCATCGACCGTTAGTAATGTCAATAAAACCATTTCGTGTCCAAAGGGGCTCGATGGGTCCAAGTATGCCTCTTCGAGTTTCTCTGCCACGACTCGGTTGTTGTTCGGTGTGGCATCGGTATCCTTGCCATCGTACCCCAAAATCAAGAGATTGTATCCCTTGTCACGCAACGAGCACAGCTTTTGGTAATTTTCCTGCTGACTTGCCAAGTGCTCATAGAAATGGCAATAGAATTGGCGACAGGCAATGTACTTCAGTACTACTTCTTTCCCATTCGACCGCTTCCAGACCCAGCCATGACATTTGTTGCGAGTACCGTGAAATAACTTGGGAATGTTCTGCTTGTGCCGGTGCGGGGTCTCGTCTTCAAAGCTGGCTCTTTGATTCTGATAAAACTTTGGGCCTATTGTACCATCCGGTAACAATTCGCATTTGAACACCTTGGATCCCTGATGAAAGTTTTCCAAGTTTTTCGAAGGCGGCAGGCCAGGTTGGCGATGGACGATTGGCCCCAAGAACATAGGGGACAAAGACTTACATCCAAATCCGTCCTTCCTATTGTCATGCAAAAAGTTGGGGAAGACTTTGAGGTAGCCGTCAATGTGGGGCGGGGCTTTCATTCTGCGCAGTTTGTCACAACGAACGTGCCCTTTTTTCTGTTGGGCCTGGTTCTTGGCCGCTACAGTCTCACACAGTTTCTGGCGGTGCTTACACAATTGCTCTTTAATGGCAGCTGCATTGGGATTCTTGGGCAAATCAGTGCGATGGGACTTGTTAGAGTGGGTACCGCAACGTAACTCGCCGCTGCCAATTTGATGGTATGCTTTGTTGCAGCATGCCTGTCCCTTTTTCGTACCGCTTCCATACTGAGCTTGACACTGATGTTCACCGTGATAATAGGCATTTCCCTCTTGTAATCTTGCTTTTGCCATTTTCTTTGAAGATTTCTCTTCAGCAGAATGTTTTCGTTTTACCATTGTATCAGAAACTTGAAACCGTCAGCACCACCACTGCTGGCTGCGTGGTATTTGCTTTATGTATACTTGTGGTGGAAGAACAGATTGATCAAGAGTACGAATATGGTTCGTTTGAACTCGTATAACTTTCGGAATTTGACTTATGGAAGCTTCAATAATTTCCCTCGTCTGCAAGAGGAATACTTTCAGTAGATCGAGAATTGACTTTGATGTCAACATTTTTGAAACGTGCCATAGATGAATACCGATATGCATGCGAAACCCGGGCGGGACACTCCCGCCAAGCAAGTACTGTATTAGCCTCGTTTTCAATCACGGGAATGAACAAGAACACAAACGAAACCATCCCCGTTGAAGCAAGATCTGATGTCGATGTTGCCATCATAAGGATGAGATCTGCAAACAATTTTTTATTGTTCGCAATAGCCACTCTGATAGCAAGTCATCGCATAGTCTCTGCAATGTCCCGAACTGTTGCTCGTGTTGTCGATTCGACGAAAATAAACCCCGCCATATCACGCTTGATCGGCACAGTGGACATTGATGGTGCTGGCACAGAACACCCACTTCCGGAAGTAGACCCCTTTATGCTCTTGGATCAAGGGACGGTGCCGAAGGATGGAATGCCGAAATTCGGTCCCCATCCCCATCGCGGCCATTCTGTTGTGACTCTTTTGTTACAAGGCGCCGTCAAAAACTGGGATTCTTTCAAGTCGAAGGATCAACCCAGAAATATTTTGAAGGCACCTGCGTCCTATTGGGTAGATGCAGGAAGCGGCCTGTTCCATGATGAAGTGTCTGTGATTGAGAATGAAGAAGATCCTTCGCAACATATGAAAATCTTTCAATTGTGGATCAGTGTGGCAGAGGCGGATCGCTCCAAGCCACCACGAGTGCAAATCAGTGATACCCTTCTGACTGTGGAATGCTTGGATCCAGCTTCTGGCAAGGTTGTGGGCAAAGCAACGCATTATGTAGGCGAGGGAAGTGGAATTGAAACAATTCATCCCATTTGCGTATCACATGTAACACAGCAAGCAGGTACAACTTATCGTGTCCCAATGGTTCCTAGTCATGGCGGGTTTGTTGTCCACATGAATGGCAAAGCATCCTATGACAATACAGAAGTAGAAAGTACAAATTCTGTGGTGGTGTTGGAAAATAGTGATGGCAATTCGGCGGCACCTGACTACCTTCAAGTGTCGACAGCAGCTGATAGTGATACGGACGTGGAATATTTGGTCTGTTCAGGTGAGCGAATCCAGGAGCCATGGACAAAGAAATTGGTAGCCAGCGGTGCCCTTATATGCAAAACTACCGAAGAAGGTAGGGAGCTTGCTGAAAAAGTCGAAGCTATGTCCATTGCCGGCAAAAAAGAAGGAGGAAGCTTTGCTCCTTTTGGTCTATAATCTGCAGGAAGCACGAGCCAACATCATTTGTAGTTATTACTTTGACCCCACGTTTAGTTCATTCTCATAGCTTGTCGAGTTTGATCATTTGGATGTAAAAAACGAAAGCAATGTAACTACGACGTTTCGAACAGGAGCAAATGTCTATTGTTAGGCATCAGTCCTGCCTTGTGGATCTATTTCTAGACTTCGCAAATTCTTCAAATGTAGAATCAGTTTAGAGCGGAATGAGTCCATATGCTCCAAGCAGTTGTGCGTCAATAACAATTGCTCCAACTTTTGAAAGCTAGAGGTGGTCTTATTGATACTATCAACTCGGAGTTTCCTCTTTTTCCTTTTTGGAATGCCATTGCTGGCGGCTATACTCTTACCATTAGTCGCATCAGGAAGCAGAAATGCAGGGAACATGGAAAAACGATTGTGAGAAACATCCAAAATCCGCAATTTGGCACCTGGTAGCTCTGGTAATTCCGTTAAAATGTTGTGACTAAGGCGCAATTCTTGCAGGCTAACCATCGAGACAACGGAAGCGGGAAGTCGATCCAAAGAATTGTGGGATAAATCCAGTCGCTTGAATCACCAGTTTGATCGATCGGTTAGAGGAAAAGGAGGCGAAGATAAAACGAAAGGCCAAACAATGAGCAAGCCAAACATTGCGATTCCGACACAAGGCACAAGGCACAATACCGAAAACTGAAAAATACATACAATCACGTTCGCAAGGTCCAAACCAAAGGAAGGAGGCAAGCTTGTCAAAAGGCACTTCTGAAGCGTCAACTCGACACATTGAGTTGCCAATAGAATCGATCTTGGTAGGGAAGAATACCTCCATCGAGAAGTATCTTTCATGCCAACATCAAACCCGTGGCTTAGCTCCACCTTGTTCAGATCAATCGACTCTTTACCAATTGGTCCAGTGTTCTGATCAAGGATCAATCGTCGAATCGTTTCAGAAGCCTTCGACACTAGTTCCACCTCCACGTCGGAACGGTTCCTAAAATCAACAAAGTTTGAATCGCCCACCAATGACATGTGATTCAGTCTCACACCAAGTGTTTCCATCAATGCGACAAGATTCTCATTTTCTGTTGAAGACAAGGGTTTTCCTTTCTTGTTAGTACCACCATCCATTTCCGAGTCCACTGGAAGGGACATCCGCAGCTGCATCATTTGGGACCACAACAAGTCCGAATACTGCGTCCACCTTGACCGCGAAAGATGGTTACGCAACATCACTGTCGCCAAGCGGTTTTGGGCACTCGAATACTGTTTCAAAAAGGAAGCCGAGATTACCGATGCTGCAACTAAAGGAGCTAAGGCCAAGTTCAAGAGCTGGGCATTTTTAGTGACATACTTGCCAAGAGTCTTCAGTATCTGGTGAATCGTAGAGTCCATAGAAGTCAGTGCAGGCGTGAGACTTGGACTCAAGGAATCTTTGCCTTGATCCACTTGCGTTGCAAAGCGTTCGAGGCATGATAGCAACAGAAACCCCATTAAAGTGATGCCTTTGAGGTATTCAGAGGAATGCACTTCCGCTTTGGCTTTGTGGAAATAGGAATTGATTAAGGCCCAAATAGGTTTCAGCACTTGATCTTCCAGTTTCGTGATCGATATTGATTGAAACGTTGCAGAATCAACACGAAGTGAACATAGTGACCATAGTACAACAGCTTCTAGTGTTTGAAATTGATTGTTTCCTCCTTGCTCTTTTGCTGCAGACTTTGCACTAAAGACAGTTTCGACATCTTGCATTGCAAAAACGATTGTTGACGGGGAGACTTGATCATTGCCAAGCAGCAGTCCGACTGTGTTCAGCACCCCTGTAAATTCTCTTGTTTCGACTGGTTGCAGAGAGCTTTTCTTGCTCTCGGATTCCAATAGCGACTCCAGATACTGAGACATTATCGCAAATGAAATCTGGACCGCAAAAGTGTTTCGGAGGTTGGAACATTGGTATGCCGCCAGTCGTATTCTGTGCAGAATTGTGACAATTGAACTCAAATTATGTTCGCCCAATGTCTCAATTACTGATTTCCTTGTCGCTTCCCAGTCTGAGGTAACCGTGTGTGGTAAGGATGGGTCGTTGTCATGGTTTTTTGTGGACCCGCCTGTCAAAATGGATGATGATGATGATGATGATGATGATTCGTCCAAAATGCCAAGTGCCAGATCATGTCTTCCAGCGTGAAAAGCTATTCGACAGCAATCTACCAGGCGACCCAACCAAACAATCCATTCGACCCTGGAGGACTCGTCGTCGGGAAGAGGAATCTCTAGTTGGCCCGTTTCCGTCGAGTCAATGATTTTGATGCGCCCAAGTGTTTTCAAAACATTTTCCAGTGGAAGGTTCGGAGACGAAAAGACATTGATATCTTGGTCGGACCACCAGAATGTGCCTACCGTCCTCTGATTCTCTTGCAGATAGGACTCCACAACCCCAAAGTCCTCTTCATCATCATCAGATGACTCGGTGTCATCGATATCCATATCTTCGTCCACATTCTCATCCATTGCGGGAAGCGTAATGAACTCTTCTTCTTCTTCATTTTCGACATCACTATCACCAGTCTCCTGCATATGGGCTTCTTCCAATGTTGAGACGGGAGTGGAAGAAGAATCTTCTGTAGACATTCCGTCCAACATTGTCCGTGGCGGGACTTCTGGTTTGAATGGTTTCTGGCTGGGAGAACCCCTGGTTGTTTTCGCCGCCGTTGTTGTGGTTACTTTGGAAATGAGGTCGTTCAAAGCGGGCAATGGCAGCACTTCTCTAGGTAGAATGGCTGCCTGTTTCCGGTTAGGGTCGGTGTGCTGGTAGGGACAGTGCTCGTCCGCACAGACACCTGCCAATTCGTAGGGGCAGAGTGGAATGTTCGGATCGAACAAGGCAACCAAAGTATTAGTTGAAAAGACTTGAGATGATGATGATGATGGTGTATTGTCCAACAATCCCGATGCTTGGTTTGGTTGTCGCTCTTCGGAATCATCATCATCATCGTCAAGGTTCGGTGGATCATCTGGAGTGTGCGATCGAAATTTCAAAAGATCAAGACAGGTATTCCGCAAGAGACTACGTCGCAACTCTGCCTCTTCTACCGCTCGCTCCGAAGCAGCAGCAGGAGAAGAAGGAGTATCTTGAAGGTGGTCTTCTTGCCTCGAGGAGGAAGAGGAGAAGTCATTGGTGCTGGAATTGGTTTCCAAAACCATTGTTTCCATTTGGTAAATGCGGATAATCTTGGACACCAGTTTCGAGTCCACCATTAAGAGAGGAGACGGAAATAATCCATTATTGGATCCATTGCCTTCGATTCTCTGCTGCTGATGATAATTGTGCAGTGCAAGTGTATCCAAGAGGGGTACTCGAATTACTCGGCCTGCTTCTGCTGGTTCAATGATACTGCTGCCATTGCTTTCAGTGTCTTGTTTTGTTGCTGTTCTCTCTTCAACAACAAGGGCATTGTTTGCAGTTGCAGTTGCAGTTGCAGTTGCAGTTGCAGTTGCAGTAGTATCATCAATGACTTGTAGCAATGCAGAGCTTGTCGTCGGGACACCAGCAATAACATCCCCTTGAGTGCCCTCTTGGACAGCTTCTTGAACAGCTTCAATTTTCTCGAGTTTGGAGAGCTTCTCTCGACTCTTTGTCAAGGATTCTTGCAGCTCGGACCGTAATGAGGAGTGTTTGATGTATCTATCTTCCAGGGTTACCTTTCTTTGTCGCAAATCAACACTTTGAGCTTGCAAACGCTGGAACATTTGCTCTGCCGACACCAATTGATGGGCGACTTGACTCTTGCGATCCAAGAGAGCTTTCAAGGCGATTTCTTCGAGTTCTATTTGCTCTTGCAGCGAGATAGCTGCAGTGTCTAATTCATCTTGATGTTCCATTACACGAGAATCAATCGTACAACGTTGTTGTTCCAAAGGCATGATGTTGCTTGAGTGAGTTGCATGGAACGTTAGTTTTTTTGTATGGGTTTGAAATCGGCATGTCAACATGCATGTGGTACACGTACGGCGGCCAGACTCTGGACAATAAGTACGACCCGAAGCAAAACTTCATTGAATCTAAATATTTAGCCGTACTTCACGCACACAAAAGCTAGCGTGGATTTGACACTTCCCGAGCGTTTTTGGAATCGAAATTGAAAATGTCGAGTTTACAACCAAAAGCTTGGCCTGAAACGTACGAAAGCAAGGAAGAACATCAACCTTGTTCATTGAAACTGGAGCTCACAAAATCGAAGGAATTGCACCTGAACCAACCAGAGATCCTCTATTGTTGAAATCAATCAAGTCTGCACCCAGAACAGAGCAGTACGATTTTGATTTTGAGAACACCCCTGGTCTTATATATTGCCTGAAAGAAAAACAGAAAGCGTTCCGATATAAATATCAACAAGAAGCAGTCACTCATTTAGAATCACCAACATCCTAGAACCAATCGTTCTTCCATTCATTCATTTATCATGAATCACGGCATGTTCCATAATGCTGGAGATCAGCAATCGAAGAGCAACATGACTCCCAATGAGACTGGCATTCCCGGAATGAGTAAGTTTTATAAAATGCATGCCTTGCGATCGATATTCCTTCGATCCAGGATCTAGCTTCATCACGGTTTCACTCACATTTTCGCATTCCTACAAATATGAAGACAATAATATGATGCAACCATCAGCCTTTGGGGCCGACATTATAAGACAAATGCACGAGCAGCTGAATCCTGTCAACCAATTATCTCAGAACAATAATAACAATGCACAAGCATCCGTTTCCAACAACTTGATGACAAGTAATCTCCTCATGTCTACCCTGCAGCAACCAGGACAAATGCCTCAGCTGCCTCAGCTGCCTCAGCAGAATTCGAACATATCAGCCGAGAGCATGTTTGCGGCCGCAATTGCAGCGGCAAGTGGTGCCAACAACACCAACACCAACACCAACAATATGAATCATCTCAACCAAAATGGCGTCAACAACAGCAATGAGATCGGTCCAATGTCGAATAGCCTTACTTCTGATATTATCAATTCCAAAAATCATGCACTATCTTCCAATCAGAATGGAGCTAATGCAGGCTTGGTACCATCGCAACAAATGGATCCAGTTCCGATGCAAGATCCGACGCAACAACAGCAACAACAGCAACAACAGCAACAACAACAACAACAACAGATCGATTCATCCTCGGGTCTGCAACAACAACAATCGGGAATCTCCCAACAACATTTACAGTTGTTGCAACAACAAAGTACGCAAATGAGTAATACCCTCGCTGGATTGGAAGGTCTTGATCAAATGCAACACTTGAACTCGTTTCAACCACAACAACCACAACAACAAGAAGTCAATAATCCCAATGCTGCTACCGGAGGAGGAAATAGCAGCATTCCACTAATCCACGGCCTTCAAGAACAGATTGCGTCCCTTCAGCAACAGGTCCAGCAACATCAGCAACAGCAATCATCACAGAACCAAGCACGACAGCAGCAACAGCAACAGCAACTAGCAGCCCAATTGGAACCCAGTGGCCTCATTCCGTCACAACAACAGCAGCAGCAGCATCAACAGCTCCAAATACAGCCGCAACATCAACAGCATCCAGCTGGACAAGGTCAAGAACAACAAATACAAAATCATTCTCAGGAGCAACACCATGAACAGCAGCAGCATCATCAGGCTGGACAAGGTCAAGAACAACATCATGGCACAAATCAGGACCAAACACAGGAGCTTGCCGGACAGCTGCCCATGTGGATGAATCAAGTGACAGGAACGGGTAGTGTACCCTTTAACTCAGCAGCAGCCTTGGGATTATTCCTTGGAGAAAATCACAACAATACCAATGGCGGTGGGAATACGAACAACAACAACAACAACATTACCAGCAACGATGCGAATGGAAAAGGAACCAATGCTTCTAGTGACAGTACCCCAGCAGTAGACCCTTTTGGTAGTATTATGGGAGGAGCTGTCCAAGCGGCGGCCATGAACAGCATGATAGGTGGAGCCGTTGGAATTGCTCCCAATTTACTTATGGGGGCGACAGCGTCTACAGGCATGCCGATCCTTGCCCAGCAATTGCAACAGCAGCAACAACAACATCAAAGCCAATTGTCATTGCAGCAACAGCAAAATCAACTTTCCCAACAACAGACTCAATTACAACAGCAGCAGCAACAGCAAATGCAACGGCAACAACTACTGAATATTCAGCAAAGTCAATTGGCGTCGCTGTCCGTCGGAGCATTCGGCCAAGCCCTTATGACCAATATGGGGAACAGCAACATCAACAACAACATCAACAACAACATTGCAGAAAGCAACAATTTGGGGAACAAAATGAATTTTCAAGCCATGTTTCCACAGGTACCAGGTCTGATGGGTGGTGGTGATGGTGATGGTGATGGTGATGAAGCTATTCCACCCAACAACAACAAAGTGTCCAAGAAACAAGCACGCAAGGAAACCAAAAACAAGAGAGCCAAGATCTTTCCGGAAAAGCTGATGATAGCACTCATGGAGTACGGCTCTGAAGACTCGGTTGCTTGGCTGCCGGATGGCAAGTCCTTTGTAATTGTCAATCCTGAACTGTTCTGTCAAGAGGTTCTAGACAAGATATTCAAGGAAACCAAGTACTCCAGCTTTGTACGGAAACTGCATCGTTGGGGATTTGTCCGGCTTACTAGTGGGACAGGAACCGACTGCTTCCACCATCCGCAGTTTCAACGCAACAAGAAGGAAATGGCGGGCAGGATCATTTGCGTTCCAAGAGATTCCAAGGAAAAGGCCTCCGATCGAATCATCAAGCCGCCCAGTTTGGCGGGAGTCGAAAAGTACATCAAGGCCAAAGTAATGATTGGTGGAACTCAGCACAGTGAATTGGGCAATATGGGCAATATGGTTCTGCATGGTACTACTGATCACCAGGCTTTAAAGCGCGGCAAACGGAAGAAACCACGAAAACAGTCACCGTCAGCTGCTGATTTGCGAGCAGGCGTAAGACTACCACCACCCTAAATTTATTCACCAAGAAGAATTGGACCTGCGTCACATGGGAATCTGGGTAGGAACTACAATCCTTCGAATCGATAAGCAGGTCATGCTATGCTATTGGTACAATCATCGTGCGTCATTGACTGCTGAATCAAGTTGGGCATGTTCGGGTCAACACAGCAGTATGGGTATCCCCGCCACAGGGGGAAATGGTGGGAACTGGAAGCGAGTACAATATTTGCACTAGTCGGAGAGTATTGCAAGGGTGCAGTAGACATCACACCAAACGAGAATGTTCGTTCGTCGCAAGAAGTGTCAAATTTGTTAGATTTTGTAGCAATAGAATAAATAGGAGATCCACAGCAAGAACCGGTACATTGACTTATCCAAACTTTCTTTCATACATCCCAGCTTGTTGGGAAACTATTTTGATAGATAGAGAATGCTCAAAATGCCCATGAGAAGGTATAATGATGGTAGTACAATATTTCAATGGTCAAAGCGAAAGCCATAGTCTAGTCTATCGGGGGGTGCTGGTCCGAATAAATTAAGGGACTATCGAAGTATATTAGTCCATGTCAATCTTTCAATGTCAACGTATTATTGTCATCGCATCATTGCATCATTCTGACACAAGACTTACTCTTCCTGGATACTTGCATTGCCTGAAAGTGCTTCATCCCTGTGACTAAAAGCCTATTCGATATAGCTACGATTGCCAATAGCAACAACTGAACAAATTGGGATAGTAATGAAGGGTATTGTGATCTTCAATATGATGTTGTTGAAGCCGTCGCTTTCCTTTCACCATGGTATCAATGACATTTTCTATCGAAGATATGATGGTTTGAGACACGATGTGAATCGGCGAAAGGATTTCTTGATGGAAACGTCGCACCTTTCTCTGGCTTTATCTTCACACAAGACTCAATCGTTAGGGATCTCTGTTCGTGGTGGTGACGATGGCAATCATAATAAGGACAGTTCGACGAGGAAGGACGACGACGATGAGGAATGTCTTGACAATTTCGAACTTGAGAAACAAGACCACACTGACAGATTGCAACCTGACTTTGGTGGAACAGTTGCTGGTCTATTTGGAAATCTTAGAATTCCAGCGTCGTTGATTGCTGGTGCCTCATTGGGGTCAGCCTTTGGGTTGCCGTTAATGGAAGGAGAGGGACTCGTCCTGGGAATGGTCAAGCGCGTATATACGGTCATTATGCTAGGATCGCTTTGTAGTATGCTGCTGACGGTCCTAGTATCCACACTGTGCATGAATGATATTGCGCTCAGTCCGCCAAAAGCTTCCAATAGCGCCAAAGACTTCATGGATCGCTACTACCCGCTGGAATGGATGTTGGCAAGGACAAATTTTCTATGGGGCGGTGTTATCTTTGTGATTGGCTCCATGCTACGAGGGTGGGTCTTCTTGACATGCCCAACAGTTGGGCGGGGACTTTTGGGCATGATGGGTAGCTTCACTTTGATTGCTACTTCCATTGTGATGCAGTTTTCTAAGCAGCAGACAGGTCGGACACCTTTGCAATCGATAAGGAGATCGTTCCAACTTATCCAAAACAAGATGAAGAAGAGCTATGTCTTTGCAGCTGGAACTTTTCTCTGTGTTTTCACTGTGTTTTATTTCCTTGTCACTATCCCACATATCGCAAAGTACTTGATAGCTTCAGATTGTACCAGTACCGGGTCGTGGTGGGGCTAACGAACGTTGGAAGACATTTGGATGCTATTGTTAGTTGTTATATTCCTACTGGCTGTCAGTGGCACTATCGACTTCGAAATGCTAGAGTGGCTGGTGGCTGGTTGGAGCCTATGCGACAGCCTATGGCAAGTGACTGGGAGGGACCAAGGGGCATTAGAAGGACGACAGGACGACGACATCAACATTGCCAACGAGAACAGAAATGGTGTCAAACGCACAAGAAACAATGGTAGTAGTGGGTGATTTGTAAGTTCACATATGCAAGGCATGTCATTCGGCCTCTGGTAAGACCTCTGGCAAGACTTCTGGAACTGTAGACAAGAAAATTCAGGGACTAAAGTAGTGTACTGAACTCATTTCTACCTATGCAAGCAATGATGCTATTAGGTTGTATTCATATAAAACCTGACAGAATAAACTTGAAACCTTGGCACTTGCGGTAGTATCAAAAGATTTCGATGGTTCTTATCGTGGACCGTCAGCAAAACTACCACGCATGTTTGTGTCAGCGTTGTTACCGCATGAATGAGTTTGAGGATCTCGCCTATTTGCTGAATCCTATCAGTCGATCCACATCAAACGTTGGTGAATAACGCGTTATGATGCTCGAAATTCAAAATTGTAATTCCTTCGACCACAGAGTTCACGTGTACTTGATTTGTGAAGCGCCTCTGTGATAAAAACCCAATAAATATGCAGCTGTTCGTCATCGCCATGATTGGGCCACGCACACAAAAAGGATTCTTCTGCTTGAAGGAACAAAAGTGTCGACATATGATCAAACAAGAGAGTTTTGGAAACTTCCGCTGCAACCACTAATTCTGCCAAACTACAGTATCTCAACAACAACATCATGCTACGTTTCTACATATGTATAATACTATCCTATCTGACGATAGGAAAGACCATGATGGTCTATGGCCTTGCTCAAAACAGATTGGGACTGGTTGGCAATCATCACGCTTCATCCACAATAAGATTTTTTCCCACCACCATCAGTAAATCCTTGCAAGACTCCTCCATAACTTTCCGCACCAGCTGCTCGAGGCACCCATTACCATCATTAGCCTGCAACAGAAGACTCTCACCGTTGCGGTCATTGAAAGGCAGCAACGATGACAACAGTGGTTCATCCGAATCCGATTATGACGATTATGACAATGGCTCTGTTCTTGTCGCAGAGAATAATAATGAGGAAGTACCTCAGGAAACATCGCAACCTCATCCTACAAATGGTGAAGAAGTATCCTATCTAATGGATGATACTACTGCTAATGTAGAAATAGAAGAAAGTGTCTCGGGCGACGACGACGACGACGAAGAAGTCCAGCTTTTGGGAGAAAACATTGGTGAAGATGACATGGAACAAGCCCTAGCCGCCGGAGTTGTAGCCACTCTTGGCAATGGAAATCTTGTCTCAGAAGATGTTTACTTGGATGACGAAACGGGCGAGATTCACGAGTTCTCTTCTTCCGATGACGAGGAGGAACCCGCATCTGAAGCAGATCATGGTGGTGTGGTGTCAGGCCTCTTTGGTAATCTTCGAATTCCAGCATCTTTGCTGGCCGGTGCTTCGTTGGGACAAGCATTTGCCTTGCCGTTTGCGGACATGGACGGTGTTTTATTGGGAATGATGAAGCGAGTCTACGTTCTCTGTATGCTCGGATCGTTTTCCAGTATGCTTCTCACGGTTCTGGTGTCGACAACTGTCATGACAGATATTACCTTGAGCAATCCAAGAATGGCCAAAAGTCCCAGCGATTACATCAATCGATACTACGCATTGGACTTCATGCTGACCAAGATCAATTTCTTTTTGGGCAGTGCTGGATTTGCCATTGGATCCATGCTACGAGGATGGGCATTCTTGAAGGTTTCCCAGATGGGAAATGGAGTATTGGGAATCATGGGAAGCTTTACGATAATGACTGCTTCTATCGTTCTGGAATATTCCCGGCGGCAAACTGGCAAGTCATGGGTGGGTCAACTGAAGGATACCTTGCAGTTGATGCGGAACAAGACAAAAGCGAACCGACTTTTTGGAGTCGGTTTCGTCATATGGGCTGCCTCTCTCGTTTACTTGATTAGCAGGATACCTCCAGTTGCCGATTGTTTGATCGACGCGGCCGATAGTGTTCCGTGGTGGCGTCGTTTGGCGATACTGTCAGGAGGTGGTTTTGTTGGCATACGAAAGAAATTGAGAAATGGATGAACATTGCATATCGACTTCTGAAGGCACAACTATTATGCACTTGACTCTCGTTCATGTATGCAATACCGATATCATGACGTTTGGGCAGTCTGGTGATAGGTAAAAGTTGAAATTCAACCCAACCTATCCATCAAGCAGTGGTCGTTCCCATACCTCCTGACTGTTTCTACTGGTGCAGTCTTCAAAACTGACAATGGCGTCCTTTCCACTTAGCAATAAAGCCGTGTGCTACAGTATATTCAAAATCGCTACTATTACTTGGCTCCTATTGCTCATATGACGTTCCTCGACTGTGTTGTTTGCGCAACCTCATTTACTCCCTAGTAGCTTCCCCACTTCTTCGATTGGTGGACTATATGTACGACTGGCCGAGGAGTCAGTCGGTTTCGTTCAGACCCATCGGTCAGTAGGTGTCCGACTTCTGGACATGGCTGGATGAATAGGAACATTAGCCTGTGATACCGACTGTCCGGCTATGGCTTGATTCTGCATCATGGCAAGCTGGTACTCCATTTGTTCAAAATGGTTGCGCTGGTCAGGAGGTGCTCGCCTCATGGACATGTCTGGATGCATAGGGATAGCCTGCTGTGACACCGACTGTCCGGATACGGCTTGGTTCTGCATCATGGCAAGCTGGTACTGCATCTGTTCAAAATGATGGTTGCGTACTGCAGAGGTGGCTGGATGGCGAGCTCGCGGCACCGACTGTCTGGTCCCTTGGTGAGCAGGTAGCCGACTCATTGCTAGATTCATGGCTTGATTCTGCAACAGCGCAAGCTGGTACCGCATTTGTTCCGAAGGATTGCTGCGTTGTCGCTGTTGTTGTTGTACCTTTGGTTCCAATCGGACTTGTTGCGGCTGTTTCGGTTGCAACGAATCATTCTTTGGGACTACTGGTGGTTGCGATGACACTTGTTCTGGCCGTTGTTGTTGCTCTTTGAGACGCTCAATTAATACTGCCTTTTTACCACCAGCTTTCAATCCACGATTCTTGAGAATTGCACGAAGCGCCTTGCAAGTCATCTTGGAATAATCATTGGTAGTATCTGTGGCGGTAGTGTCAGAAGATTGATGCTGGTTGGCGGTGGGCGGATTGGAATTCTCCTTATCATCCGCAGGAGGAGGCACGTTCTTCTTAGTTGCTTTCTTGGCCTTTTTGGCATTTGGTTTGGCACTCATCGATGGGGCCGCTTCAATGGCGGCTGGTCGTTTCTTGGGAACTGCGGCAGATTCATGCCGCAAGTTGTCCAAATAGGCTTTGCCATGCTGGAGAGCAAGTCCATTGTGTCCACTCTTCAGCTTGTAGCCTGCGCTGAAATCGGTAATGCTGGCTGGTGGAGCTTCTTCCATGGCGATCTGGCCTAGCACAATATTGCGAATGTTGTGAATGTCCGTAGTGGGAATCTTGCGTTGTTTGGCCTTGCTGACCTTGGACATGCCCGGTTCCTTTCCGACCAGCAACAAGGTAGTCTTTCCAGAGACAGAACCGGTGACTCGAGCCCCAAAGGACTGGCACATGGCCTTGACCTTGTCCTTTCCCATATTGAGGCCAACGCCTCCGCCGACTTCTGGAAAGGTTCCAGTCATGACAATGGTTTGGCCTTGAAGACTGTTGGGCAAAGCGCCACCAACACCAGGAACTGGAATGAGGAATCTTTCCCTCCTATGAACCAATTGATTTGGCTCAGTAATAACTAAGGCAGTCGTCGTGTTATCAAAGGGAGCTGGTTTGGCATCGCCTTGGGCAGTATCTGCTGGAATAGTTTCCATTGTTTTCTTTTTCTTTTTGGGCATACGCTTGGCCCAGTGTTTCTTGTCAGTGACATGCTTCACAATGGCTAGCTGGTCTTCTTCCTTCAAGTCAGCAAATCCGATTAGACTGACACCATCGAGCTTGAGCAATGCTTGAACGAATACTTGAGGATCTGATTCGGTATCGGTATCTGGAATTCCCAACCAAATTCGGCTTGGAACTCTCCCTTTTGAATTATCATAGGTAAAATGCAATAAAATAAATTAGTGCACCGTGAATAAGTGAAAAAGGCATTTCAAAACAACCGAAAGTATAAAATACTTACAACAGTGAATATGACACCATCGACCGTAAGTGCCGCTCTGTTGATCCATAGAACCAATGCGAACTTCACCTTTTTCGATACGAATATCTTCCTCCTCTTCTCCACATGTTTTGGATGCTTTCTTGGCAAAGCATTTACCACGACCAGTCTTGGCGTATTCGACACGATACGGTGGCATGTCTTGTTTGGCTGCTTGTTCGTAGTACTGATAGGAAGGCATTTCGTCTGATGATTCAAAGATAAAATCGAACTCGTCTGAAGCCAAATTATTGGAAGACCCCTTGAGGGTGGTAATGAGATTCTTTTCCACCAAATCCTTGAGGAATTCAAAGCTTTCATTGACATTGCGAAAGACGTCCGCATCTCCGCCTTTATCCGGATGAGTTTTGAGGCATTGCTTCAAGTAATGACGGCGAAGAAACTTGAATTCATCGTCAAGGTCTTCAAAGTTGCGGAAATCGCTGGTTTGCAAGCCAAGAGCTCGCAGACTCTGGGAAATCTGTTTCTTCATTGTTTCCTATTGTTCTTTGGAATAATGGTTGCTTGGTGTTATTACATGAATATGTGTCGATTGACCAGCCACCAAGTTTGAATTTTGAATGTATATGGTAGAGCGACCGTTTGTTGTTGTTGATATTGAACATGTTGTTGTCAAGTTTTGAAGTTCCATCCATCCTGCCGCCGTACGATGGATGGACGCCGGTCAACATTTGGCGCGAGTACTTCCTTAGCTGTAAAATTCTGAACGCTTACAACAACAACCAATGAACTGAATCACAACGCATATGACCAAGAGTTGTCGACGCAAATATGCTATCCACAAAAAGAATTGAATGTCCCTACTTTGTCAGGCCCGCTGCTTTCAATTTCGGTACCAGCTTCTGAGATTGATTCAATTGAAGCACCTTGTAGTATCCACCCAGGGCTTCCCCGCCCACAAACAGGGATGGAACCTGATTACTTTTCGCCAGTTTCACCAAGGAGGCTCGAATCTTGGCAGCCGTTCCATTTTTCTTGTATTCGTCCAAATCGATAATGTGAGGGTTCGAAATGCCAACCGTGATCAAGAGCTCAAACATGCGATGACATTCCGGACACCAAGACAACGAAAATAGAACCAATGGATACTTCTTGACAATGTCTTGGATGCATTCCAACGTCGCCAAGTCACATCCGTAGTCCCCATTAGGAGGCGGGCCCAAATCAATTGTCTCTGATGCTTCTACCTCAGGCTTGGCTGCTTCCGTATCAATAGCTCCAACCTTGATTAACAAAGGCCTCAATTTCCCTGCACTTTGCAGGGCCACAGTCTCATCACCTCCGCCAATACTGGTGCCACCGACAAAAACATTGGGTACTGTTCGACGTCCCGTCATGCTTGCATAGGTCGATTGGATCTCCCGGGCATTGGGATACTGCGACAAATCGACTACGTACGGCTTGGATAATCCAGCAATGGCCAAGGCTTCGAGAGCCTTGCGGCAGAACGGGCACCATGGTTTGGAAAACACGACAACGGGATACTTGTTGACAAGGCGAGTGATGCAATCCTTTTCGGTGAGATTGCAGTCATCGCCTTCCAATAATCGTTCCTCTTCTGGCTCTGTTTGCGTTTGCGCTTGCTCGTTGTCTACAGGATCTTGCATTGCCATTTTGGCTGCGGCCCGTGTGCCTGGTCCATTTTGTTGAGTTCGAAGCCATCGTTCTGCATCCAATGCCGCTTGGGCTCCTTCCGCTGAAGCTGTAATGGCCTGCTTGTACTTGGCATCAATGACTTCACCGGCAGCAAAAATACCCTCAACGGAAGTTGCCGAGACCATTCCAGCCGTGTTTGACGAGCCGTCCTTGTTGTTCAAGCGAATCAAACCATTCTCTTCCAAGGCCAAACGATTAGAGATCCAATCAGTATTAGGCGTAGCACCAATCATAAGAAAGGCACCATCGCATGAAATTTGTTGTACTTGTTCGGTTTCCACATTCTTCAGAGTGACTCCTGTCAAGGCAAGATCTTCATCATCCAGTGCGTTGTTGTTGGACTTTTCCGTGTTCCATTTCTGCACAACATAGGGGGTCAATATCTCAATATTTGGAGTATGTTTGACAAGCTCTAGCGACGCAAGTGCCTTGGCCTTGTCAAAGGTGTTCTGTCGGTGAACCAAGGTGACCTTTTGACATTGCCGAGACAAGTAAATGGCAGCATCAATCGCCGCATCCCCCCCTCCGATAACGACAACATTCTTTCCATGATACGAAGGTCCATCGCAAATGGCACAATTGTGCAAGTGCTTTCCCCATAAAGTCTCTTCGTGAGGCAAATCCAGCCGCCTGGAGGTTGCTCCAGTGGCCACAATCACAGATTTGGCCTCGAACGAATCGAGTTGGGTGGAGATGGAAAAATGCTTTTCAGTGCCTTCTGACTTGACTTCGACTGATTGGGCTAGAAGTCCTGGCATGGCAAAGTGGGCTCCTAATCTATGCGCTTGATTTCGGGTCATCTTGAGCCAATTTTCGCCCGTATAGGCAATCGATCCTCCTCCTTCTGGACGCGCCGAAGAATACGGATAAAATCCTGGAAAGTTCTCTAGCAACGGTGTCTCCGACAACAGCCCGACTTGAGATCCCAGCACAACCACTTGCAAACCAGCCCGGGCTCCATATATAGCAGCAGAGAGTCCCGCTGGTCCGGCACCCAATATCGCAATATCATACTTGACATTCGACGGCGCTGCCTCAATGGCAAGGTCCTTGAGTTTATTCTCGGGAGGAATAACAGAATCTTCGCTTCGGGCCAAGAATCGGTGCATTCGCCCAACAACTTTGTGACGTCCTTTGAATGGATGTATATGCTGTTCGTGTGGATGGACATGGTTCCAGCCCACAATTCCCAAGGATGCCAGAGTAAAAAAAGCAAATATTGTGACAATTGCAGAGGGTAGTTCTCCTTTGTTCTTGGATCTCGGAACACGCCTTCGCCTTCTAGAGGTTGTAATGCCTGGAATTATTGGTGAAGCTTGGTGATTATGTGCACTGCCATTGTTGTCGTTCGTGCCATTGTTGAATATTGGAAGCTCTCCGTTGGCACCTGACGATGATGATTCGTCGGAACCATTGGGAATGAATTTTCGGTTTCGTATCATCCTTCTTATTGGGATCGGATTCTACTATGATACAATGTGTTCACGGAATCTTTCAAAGTCTTTGTATCGATGTTTCTAGCTGTAGAAACTGCAGTTGATGGTATATTGGTGCCTTTGGTGTGTGTGTGTGGTGCCTCTTATTGCCTCTCATCTCTCTGCAGCAGAATATTGATGGAAGCGCATAGAGATTGCTGAGTTAGTCGAAGAAGTCGAACTTCGATTTCAAAGTCAGAGATAGAGTTGATCGTACTGTTGCTTTTCATGCACTATCGTACCCTCATAATCTATTCTACACTAATAGCCCGACCATCGCATGCAACAAAGTTCTATTCTAAGCAAATGATGGCACGGCATGATATTGTTACTTGGTTGATTATCAATGTAATGAATTCTTTCAAAGTGAATCAATCCGATGATGAAGCAGCTCAAACTGGATGATCATTGATGATTCCGAAGAACAGGACTCCATTACTCGTTTCAATGCTACCTAGACACAATAGATGGAATATCCCTTCCACTTGTATTTATTCTCCATCACTCAAACTTCCATAGAGGCTTCGGTTGAAAAACAGAGAGCTTGCAAAACTGACAAATCCAGAGGACAGTGCAATGCCAATTGCAACCAATGAAGTCACAACGTGGTAGTAGACTGCAGCACCTACCGGTATGATATGTCCTTCATCACCACCACCAGTAAAGGTATGCATCGTACTCCAATAGTACCACAAGAAGGACAAGCCACTGCTGGCACCACCAGCAAACGACGTCCACCACCAACTACTGTGATTCTCCTGGTTCAGCTGCATGTAGGTCCATATCACACTGATCGCAGCCGACGATGTCACCATCAATACCAGGACAATTGTCAGGTAGCCGTAGGCATCAAAGAATTGTCCATACCAAAAGTACCTCATCAGGAAAAAGTTTTCCACATAAAAGATGCCAAACAAAATCAATGCATTTCCAACGTAAGGAAGCACTCGAAACCACCAACGCTTCCAGACGTTGGGTTCTATAGGAATGTCCCGAATCGTGTCGGAAGTTGCAGTAGGAAATGGCGTCATTGGATTGGCAAATCCATACTCTGCACCTCGGTAGGATTGGTACACAAAGACGCCCATGGCCAACATCACCATTAGGACATCTGGAAAGAGTGGTCTAGTTGAGGGACTATTCATCCGTATGGACCAAGAGTTTATCCCAATATGTACAATACTCAATAGGCTAGGAAACAATGCCGATGTGAGGAAGCTTGCTCGTGCCCTTGCTTCTTTATCCTTCGACAATTGAAGGGCCTGACAGCTCTGGGCTGTCACGTACCCTCCCACCCAACTTCCCACCAAGGAATACGCGCCAAGAGCCCCAACCAACAAGGTCCTCTTGTAAATTGGAGATACAATTCCCAAAATACATAGGGGACAAAGCACCAATATGGATGATAGTATTTGGGCCCCGGTCCCCGTCAGAACCACCAACAGCATGGGATAGGTCGATGTAGGTCGAAATATATCACCATGTAAGAGTCGCCATTTTTGTGCGTCGGCTTTGTTTTTTTTGCAGCAGCTGCAAAATCCTACAACTGTTGACGAATGGACTCCTTCTTCTTCGTCGTCGTCGTCGGCTGATTTCGGCAGCAACGGCTGGTGCTGGTGATGTGACAGTTTGGCAGTCATGTTGAGTCGTTTGATCCACAGATTGACCATCAAGGCTCCTAGAAACACCACCATCAACAAACTGTTGGTAATGCTGTATATATGCACCTGAGGTGGAACGAGGTGGTTCTCTGTCAAGTAGACATTCCATCGGTGAGACCACCGTAGGTCACTCGTCATCATCTCGACTTGATAGGAAAAGTAAATAGTTTCGTTGGCAGTCACTTTTGCGGGCTCGGTTGTCCTGGCAGATTTTGTTTTGCCTACCGTCAAGTTGTAATCTGACAATTCGTTGGCGACTAGTTCTTCTCCATGATTCTGACCATGATTCTGACCATGATGATGCACTTGTGCTGGTACTTGGTCCCACCATTCTTCTTTGCCACGGATGCTTTTCGGTTGGATGTCAAAGTGAACGACATGGCCGTACGAGTTCACACGTACTATCAATCTCAAGTGATTGTAGATATAAAATGATCCATCATAGTCTTTATATCCAATGGGACATCCTCCATGGTATGTTTTTGTGTCGATGTCAAAATCACCAGACCCGACGACGAACGTGCAAGCTGCCGGCAAGCCGTCGTCTATTGCAATATTGTGACGATATCGCTTTTCTATTAGATTCTGAAGTGCTCTTGCTCTGTCTTCACTGAGCGTCTTTTGGCACAAAGGATATTTTTGGTTTGACGATTCATATTCGTTTCGAACCTGGATGGAACTCGGCAAAGTGGGATTGGAATCCACAATCCAACGAGACGGAGGCGTCGCCTTGTTGTTATCGTTGTTGTCGTTGTCGTTGTCGTTGTCGTTGTCGTTGTTCTTGTTGGTTGTGGTACAAAAGAGAGATTCATCATAGGGGAGTGAGACTTGAGAATCAAAGGATGTCATTGGAAGAATCCAAACTGGAATGTTAGCACCGTCCGCATAGTGATTGGGACGAGAAAGGTATTGACCAAACAGTCTCGTCTCCGACTGCCCCGCCATTGCCAGCAAAGCAGAAAGCAGAAGGAAAACCAGGACTGTTCCATTGTTCAGTGTCTCCTTCACGCTATGCAATACTTCACGCATCTCTGACATGCTACTGTATGTATTATACCCGTACAGTATTCGATGATATTATTTTGAAAAGCGTATGGTGTCAACGTTTCACGATCTCAATGACCAATTCGAATCAAGTGAATGCGAAGTCTATTTTGAATTTTGACACCACCAATAAATACCAAGACATCAAACTCTACCTACGGTATTGAAGCAAAGAGATATGCGAACACTAGCAGGTACCTACCCAATGCTACCAGTACCCACTGTATGCTCGTAGTGTGGTACCGTTATTATTGTCTCAATAGTACAGTACCGGTAGTCCCGACGATCTTCAAGGATCAGATGGCTGCGTTGGGCACGACTTGCTTGACCATCGAGAAGCCTATTGCGATTTCAACTGTACGAGTACACCAAACGAAAAGGTATAAACACAGTATAGTGTCTACTATATGATATAGACTGAATGAATCTTTCTTGACACGATGAAACAACAACTGGAAGAACAAGCTCCCGAAGGACCACCAGAAAATACCGTTAAGGACAAGACGGTAACTAATGACAAAGAAGACGACAAGAAGGAACAGCCGGATCCATTGGCAAGCGTCAGTGATGTCTTTTCCTTTGCACAAACCTTCAGCAACAAATTGTGCATTGGGCTTGGAATATTCTTTGCCGCTTGCACGGGATGTACCTTCCCTGCCATGGCATGGATCTTTGCTAGCTCGTTTGAACGCTTGAGTAGTGTGGGTGTGGAAGGGTAAGTTACACAAGTGAATTATCAATGCAATAGTGACATACCGTATGTCCAGTTCACACCACATTGCGTCATGCATCATCGCATCGCCCCATCATAACAGAGTTGATTATTTGGAACAGATCCGAACACTGGCCTTTCAACTCCTGGCATTGGGAGGTATTATCTTTGTGGCTATGACGCTATCCGCTGGATTCCTGGAAACTGTTGCCTCGGACATGTCAGAGAGAATGAAGAAACAATGGTTTGCTGCCCTCTTGCGACAAGACATGGCGTATTTTGATATATCCGATGTCAGCGGAACGGCCACCATTGTTAATGCGAATGGTCGACGATACAAAAAGTAAGTGCATCATCTAGTCATCATTTATGGGCATCCTTAAGCTGATATAGCATGCTAACAATAATGGTTTCGCTGGTGAAAAATAGAGGTCTTGGAAGAAAGCTCGGTGAAGGTATCCAATTCTGTATTACTCTGGTTGGAGGTCTTGCGTTTGCCTTCTGGTCCAGCTGGAAAGTCAGTCTTGTCGTTTTGACTCTCATTCCGCTCATGATTGGTGCCACCAGTTTCCTCATCAAAATGACCACCACTCAGACCCAACGAGCAAATTCGTCCTATGCCAAGGCTGGGTCCATTGTGTACACTACCGTGTCTTCCATTCGCACCATTCTTGCACTGAATGCAGTGGAAGACGTCATTCGGCAGTTTACTACCGCAACACAAGAAGCCTATGTCGGGGCCTCGAGTCAAGTTATCATGGTCGGTCTAGCAAATGGAATTGTCATGGGAATCTTTTGCGGAGTTTACATTCCCGTGTCATGGTATGGAGCATACTTGTTGTATGATGCGGTTGCCGAAACCGGATGTGATCCATCTGGAGCCGTACCAGACAATGTGACATGTACGCCAAGTGCCTTTCACATTTTCAATGCCCTATTGGGTATGACCTTTGCTGGTGCGGTCGTTCCACAGATTTCTGGAGCGATCGAATCCTTCACTGGGGCTCGATCCGCATGTTATCCAGCGATTGAAGCTATTCGTCGCAACACAACGACGCTATCGGATTCAGGGGTGGTGATGGAAGAAGATACTGACAAGGAGTACGAAGGAGCTACAAAACAAGTTGTCCGACGTGGAAATTCCACTGCTTTGCCAAAGTATGTGATTGACTCTTCGTCCGATGACGGCTTGAAACCAGCAAATGTGGTGGGAAACATCTCGTTTGAAAATGTTACATTTGCTTATCCTACGCGACAAGAATTGAACGTCTTTGATGGTTTCAATCTTGAAGTCAAGGCTGGACAAACAGTAGCTTTGTGCGGACCAAGGTAAGGGTCTCGAATATAGTGCTCGGCAGAACGAGGCCAAGAGAAAAATCGCTCACCCAAAACTCTTTTCCATTACAGTGGTGGGGGCAAATCCACAGTCGTACAACTGTTGGAACGATTCTATGACCCGACTTTGGGGTCCATCACTCTCGATGGAAACAAGTTGAGTTGTCTCAATGTCCGCTGGTTGCGTCAGCAGATTGGACTGGTTTCGCAAGAACCAAAGCTGTTTGGTACGTAATCGTCGGGAAGGAAGCTACTGTCTGATTTCTCCCAGTATGACTGACAGTCGAATATCGATTATCTCTTCTCTCAGCTTGCACAATCCGAGAGAACATCAAGATCGGATGTCCAGATGTGACGGATGAAGAAGTGGAGGCAGCAGCAAAGAAGGCTAATGCACATGATTTCATTTGCTCGTTCCCCAAAGGCTATGATACCGATGTCGGTAATGAAGGAACACAACTTTCCGGAGGTTAGTATGCAAAGCTTCATCGTAGTGATGATGAATCCACGTTGTCTCACTCGTGCTATCCTATTAGGCCAAAAACAGCGCATTGCCATTGCCAGAGTACTCATCAACAAGCCGCGGATTATCTTGCTGGACGAAGCGACATCTGCACTTGACAGTGAATCCGAAGTGATTGTGCAAGAAGCATTGGATGGCCTTATGACTGAGCAAAATCAAACCATCATTGTGATTGCTCATCGACTGTCGACAATCAAGAACGCGGATATGATTGCAGTCATCCAAGGAGGCAAGGTGGTCGAGACAGGTCGTCACGCGGAGCTCATTGAGAAACGAGGCGCCTACAATGGTCTCATTGAAGCTCAAAAGGGAGGTACGAAGAACACCAATGCTGACAGTGCCAAGGAAGGAAGTGATGGCGAAGGGAGTGATGCTGCTGGCGGAGCCGAAGCCCTTGAAAATGACGAAAAGGAGCATTTGATATCATTCAAGGATGTTCATTTTCAATACCCATCTCGTCCAGATCAAAAGATCTTCACTGGTTTGAATCTTTACGTGGAAGAGGGTGAGACTCTGGCTCTCGTTGGTCCAAGGTGAGTGCTTTGAATCCTTTTCTGCAATACAAATTCCAATTCTGACGCGCCATTTGAATCTCGCTGCAGTGGCCAAGGAAAGTCGACTGTCATTCAATTAATTGAAAACTACTACCGCCCAGCTCATGGCTCAATCTACTACCAAGGTGTTGATATGAAAGAACTCAATGTCAAATGGCTTCGCAACGAGATTGGTTTGGTTAGCCAAGAACCTCTTCTCTTCGACAACTCCATTGGCGAAAACATCAAATTTGGAATGCCAGACTCGACTCAAGCTGAAATTGAGGAAGCCGCCAAAGAAGCCAATGCTCATGACTTCATAATGTCGTTCCCGGACGGATATGGAACTCAAGTTGGATCTGGCTCGAACCAAGTATCAGGAGGTCAAAAGCAGCGGATTGCCATTGCTCGGGCGTTGATTCGAAAGCCAAAGCTGTTACTCCTTGACGAGGCAACATCTGGTAAGTCTTACTTGATGGATGGAAGTTGAAGTGGTGCACGGTAAGTTTAAAACCTCATATTTGTCTTCTTTTGAAGCCCTCGACTCTGAATCGGAACAGGTGGTTCAGGAAGCGCTTGATAAGATTATGGCGGACAAGACCAAGACCACGATTGTCATTGCCCACCGGCTTTCCACAATTCGAAATGCGGACAGAATTGCGGTGATTGATTCTGGCAAGGTGTGCGAGGTGGGAACCCATGATGAGCTTATGACCCTACAAACTGGAAAGTACAGACGCCTCCAGAAACTTCAAGACCTGGGAAATACCGATGTACGAAAATCTAAATCGGATAAAGAAGACGACAACAACAAAGATGACAAAGTCGATGCCACTGATGAAAAGGAACCAGAACCAGAGGAAGATCCAGACAGCGAAACTTCCAAAGTCAATTCTGAGAAAGCAAGGCTGTTGGCCAAAGGAGATTTTGGATACTTTGCTATTGGAGCAGTTGGATGCGTCCTGGCTGGCTTAATGTTCCCAGGATGGGGCATCGCTTTTGCATTCATGATCGAACTTTTGTACAAACCAGTCTTGGCTTGTGATGGAGATAATCCTCCGTCCATGTTTCCAGAGTTTGACAGCTGTCAAGCCTATCGAGACACCACCGCTCAAGACATGCGGGAGCTTTCTTACAAGGTCACCATCGGATTGGCGTCGTTGGTCGTCACTTCCATTCTTGGTCATACTTTCACACACTACGGATTTGGCACTGCTGTCGAACGAATGAACAAGCGAGTCCGTGATGCAGCCTTCAAATCCTTGGCAAGGCAAGAAGTTGCTTACTATGATGTCCGTCCTATTGCTACTTTAACCAGTCGCATCAGCGAAGATTGTACCATGTGCCACGCCTTCTCTGGAGAGCCAATTCGACAAGTCGTGATGAATTTGAGTTCCATTTTCGTTGGCATTTTCATCAGTTTCTTCTACATGTGGCCGATGGCGCTCATGACATTTGCCATTCTTCCCTTTCTTGCATTTGGTGCTGAAATGGAAATGCGACAATGGACGGGAGAAGACGAAGGCGAAAACTCAAGTGACAAGATTGACGAAAAGTCTGCTGCTGGGATTGTCATCGAATCTCTGTTGAATATTCGCACAGTGGCTTCGTTGGCCTTGGAGGAGAGACGCCGCGCCGAGTTTGCGGCAGCCATTCGTCGCGAGAATCCGACTCCGGTAAAGACCAATATGGTCAAGGCCAGCATGTCTGGATTTGGCCAAGTCTTTCAAATGTGGGGTATCGCCTTGCTATTCTGGTGGGGTGGCTACCTCATATATAATCATCCTAGCTTGTTCTCATTCCGAGATATGAACATTGCCATGTGGTCCATGATGTATGGCATTTCAGGAATGAGTGTGGCAATGCAGGGTGCCACTGACCGCAAGAAAGCATCGGCGGCAGTGAATCGAATCTTTGCTTTGATTGACCGTGAGAGCAAGATTGACCCATTGAGCGAAGAGGGTAAGAAACTCAACTAGCCCAGCAAGCCCGTCATCGCTTTGATGTTTGATCCCTCAGTTGTATGTGATAATGGTATTTGTGAATTCATATTCGTCATCACTCTCTTGCTTCATTGTGTGCTGTCCATTCCTGTTCAGTTAGGCGACTTATGTGAAAGGGCATGGGCGACAAGAAATTGGAAAGCACGGGGTTGTTCTTTTCTAATATGTGTAGTGGTTCTTTCTGGACTAGAGCATCCAATGAAGCCATGTCTTTTTCATGAACCTGTCCCCATACCGTATGCGCATTTCCCCATTCGGGATGATCCGCAAGTGCCATGAAAAAGTGGATTCCCTTGTCTCCAGCCCACGCCACCATGCCTCGTTTCACTGGATTTGGCTTGTGGTTCTCTCGTTCAATATGCACTAGACGGTGATTCACAAATCCACCTTGAACCAGAGCATAAGGCGGCCCCCATCTACCACCATTAAAGTAACGGTCCGGATACTCGGGAGATCCCCAGTAAAATGGGACAGGCTCGCCTCGGTAAATGGTACAGGCTATGCATTCCACTCGCTGATTCCCCGTCATCCACTGCACGAACTTCCATGCCTCAGGACACTCTTTGTGAAATACTTGGATTCGTATAGTCACATTTCCTGTATTTACCGTTGGAAAGTCAAGGATGATTCCAAAATGCTGCTGTTCTTGCCGTATCGGGGAATGATGATGTGTTGGATCGTCGGATGATGATTTGAAGTGTTGTCGAAAGAAGAGAATGCTCGTTCCAATCCAAACCAAAGCAAGACATACAAACAGGATTTTCAAGACTGTTGCTATTGAAATTCCGGACTGTTTCACTCGCGGCTTCATCTGGAGTGGCAGGAGACTACTTGAGCTGTATTTATAGTATGATAACAACTATGATCTTTCCGATTGACTGATTGATTACCTATTCATTGCACATTTTGATGTTAATACAATATGCTGGCTATATACGAGTCTCAGATCGCTCCAATATGGGATGTAGTCGAACTAGTCCAACCTAAAAGAAAAGCTTCTACAGTACTGTACTACCTTTTGCGGATGCCTGCCATGACTATTATTGGTACTGCATTAGAGTTTCACCCGAGGATTCATTGATTCATGAATTCATGTGGAATAATACGGCAGGAATGAGATACTGCCTATTTTGATATTACGATACTGGTACGATGTGATATATACGGTACTGTACGATATGCGATATACAGTATGCGCTACGATGAAACAATCAATCAATCAATTCAGGTAATCCTCATGAGAGCTCCCCGCAAGATACTGTACCCACCCCTGAACGTGCTCATTTAGTAGTCGAACTAGTCCGACGAAGCGAAACCAAAAAAAATTGCTTGGGCAGCATTGATGTGATGTGCTTATTGATTCATGACCGTGCAAACATGAGGAACTACAAAGCATCATCGTCTGAACCCTTGAATCTGCTACAACCTTATGTATATATTTGCCTCAAACGATGACTACTAGCGAACCATACTGGACGACAGCTTTTCAACCGACTGGCAATCGGTGGGCTGAAAATTGCAATGGTGGAAGTGTCCTTTCAGTCAAGAAGGATGCTGCAGATGGACGGTTGGAATGGGTGGTTGGATCTCAAACCAGCGATACTCAATTCCTGGGTCTTCACTCTAATGGAAAGGTCATTCGGTTTTCTTCCACAGACGAGTCTGACACTACTTTTAATTTGAACGAGGATGAGATAGTGTTTACACGACCATTGGTAGCCACAGGAGATCCCTTGATGCCAATCTTTTCACCACCCAGTGGATCCATTTACAGCAATGCTATCCCTGTTACTGAAGGCGTGTTATACGTGGACTCCTCCAACACATTGCGGTTTGATACCGAAAACACTACCAGTACGATCGAAGGCATTACCGACCCGTTGTTGGATGCCCACATAACCTACTCTTCTACAAATCGCATGTGGGCCGTCTACACGTACATGACAGACCAACGATATGATCATGGAATCTTGGGCGATCGAGCTGAAGGTTATCATTTGACCATACTGAAACAAGTAGGAGATGGAACAAGTCTACTGCAAGTGGTCAATGACATCGTGTTGCAAGATGACGATTTCATTGTCTTTGAAGATTTGGCACCAGTTTGGACGGATGTCGATCAAGATGGCATCGATGACTTGTTGACGACCATTGCAACTAGCAGGCAAGGAGCTGCCATGAGAGTATATCTATTGAATGCTGATGGTACAGTCAAGGGACAAGTTCAGTCCCATTACATTGGGAAGGGCAATCGGTGGCTGCACAAAATTGCTCATGCACCGACTGGTCCAAATGGAGAATGGGAGATTCTCGACTGCCGGACTCCACACATTGGTGGGATTGTCCGATACTATCAGTACGATGGTACTAGCAAACTAGTTGAAGTGGCACGATTGTCATCGCAAAGTTACACGAGTCACAAGATTGGTTCCCGCAACATCGATCAAGCCTTGGTGGCAGACTTGAATGGCGACGGGATTCCCGAACTTATCATTCAAAATCAACGACGGACCAAGATTGTGGGATTACAACGAACTTCTTCCGGCATTGAAGAAGTCTGGAGTGTACCACTGGACTCAGCAATTCATTCCAACTTCGCCGTCTCGTGCGCCGAAATTGGTTCTGCCCAGCTAGTATTTGGAACCACAGACGATCAACTTTATACTGTGTCTTTTACTACCAAGAATGGCACCATGGGCATGAATGGTACACTCGACTTGGATGGTCCAGTCGCTGCTTGTCGTTCCTGTTCGATGCAGTGGAGTGGAATCCTATCGTTGTTCATAGTGATTTATCATCTCTGGTTATATTAAAAAGTAGAATATATATTAGTTACACTTACACATTCAAAGAATCTCTGGGTGGCGGAAAAGCAAGACAACAAAAACAAGGCATTGTTTCTCACACTTACAAAGCTGCAATAATATTGGATATGGGCTCGTTGCGAAAACATGATATAAAACATTGTTCTACCCCTCGCAACTCCGCTTTGTGTCATGTCACAGTCTTCAGGCATGGCGATCGTTGAAGAGCCTATGGCCCATACCAATTGCTACCTTTGTGTGGGACAGATGGACGCGTCAGTGTACGGACCTGCTTGTGCGTCAGGCAATACCACCTTTGCCTTTGAGGTCTTTGAGGCTTTTCTTTGGGAACGAGTGTGTTATGGATATTCCACAGAATATACGGTGGAAAACGATTTGATCTACACCTGTCCAATCGAGCCGATGCGTCTGTGGTAGGCAGATGCGAAGGAGAAGTGTATTGTGAGATTCACACAGCTACCACAAAATATTAAAAAATAAGTTTATCTAGTCTTAGTAGATTGACCACCATGCCCATTACAGTACTCCCTGTATCGTACGTACAGTGTACCGGTAGGAGCTTGATGCGTCGTTCTTCTACGTGGCTACACATATCACTCTCACAAGGGGGCAGTGTTGCAAAGGATGGGGCATCTGTCCTCCTTTAGCCATGAACTGCCGCTTTAGCTGTAGAGCTGCGGGAACCACTACCAGGTACCTGGTACGTGTACGTGTGGCACCGTGGATTGGTACGTATCTAGTTAGAATAGGTAATGTACCGGTATCAAGCACACATTATGGTCTTGAGCACTTGCGGCTAACTTTTTAAAAAATAAATACCAGGAACACCCGGCAGAACGATGATTTTTGTCATTGTTCGAAGAGCGGACAGACCTTCTACAGTCATTTTCGAAATCCATGTGATCACGTGGGATAAGAAGAATAACTCATACTTAAGAGCAAAAGCTAATGATGACCAATTATGATTGGTTCAGACAGAAACGATGAGAAGCGACCAAAGCGATGAGAAGCGACCACAACGCGATCAGAAGTGAGCAAAATATCGTTCCAAATGGAAATTACTCGTTCCGAATGGAAATTACTCGTTCCGAATGGAAATTACTCGTTCCGAATGGAAATTACTCGTTCCGAATGGAAATTACTCGTTTCCCAAAGCGATGAGAAGCGACCAAAACGATGAGAAGCGACCAAAAGTGAGTAATTTTTTTTGGGGCTGATCTTGGGGGGCATTTTTTCACAGCTGGGACTTTGGCGAAACCATCCTGCCTTGGCGAAACAGGCTCGCTCAAAACAAATAATACCGGTAATCATCAACGACACAAACGACAAAATGAAGTTTTCTTCTCTCTCAAACACCTTCCTCTTGTCACCAGAGGTGGCAAGAGAAACTGCATTGGGGTTTCTCGCAGGTGTTCATCCAGAGGGACAGCCAGCCAAATGGCAAGAAGAGATGTTCACAGCTCACTATGGAAGTTCTTCGCTTGTCATCACAAACCAATGGTTCGATCTTTGTCACACCGACATTGAAGAAGCGAAGCTCACAGCAAAGGAGAAGACTGCTGAAGGTTTCAAGCGATTTATGATGGCCCACTTTTTTATGTGGCAGTACCCAAAGAACGCTCGAACCTTTGGATCGCGATTTGGAGTTTGTGAACGTTTGTCTCGTGGAGACCCTGTTTTTCATTGGGTGAATAAGATCGCAGCTTTGCATGAAAAGCTTATAGTGTGGAAGAAGAACCTCGATTCCACCTTAACCCAAACACTTGTGATAAGCATTGATGGAGTCGACTGCCGAACATGGGAGAAATCGAACGAGCGCTACAATATGGACACACAAGAGTGTTCACACAAGTTCAATCATGGGGCTGTGAAATATGAGGTCGCGATGTCCCTTCTTGAGCCGCAGTGTGCCTGGATCAGTGGGCCGCATAAGGGAGGGAAACATGATCTTACGATCTTTCGAGAAGGAGGTCTGAAGCAAAAGCTGAAGCGGTGGAAACAGGCAATTGTGGATAGGGGTTATACAACTAGCGAAGAAGACGAAAAATACATCCTTTGTATCCCAAGAGAAACCGATTCTGTGACGCTCAATGAATACAAGGGAAGAGCTAGACTTCGACACGAAAGCTTCAATGGTAGGTTGAAAAAGTATATGATTCTTGACGCAACCTACAGACATGATCAAAAGCATCATGGAAATGTTTTTAGAGCTGTTGCAGTAACGGTGCAGTACCAAATGAACAATGGCGCTCCCATCTTTGAAGCTCCAATGCAAAGAGAATAAGTATTCAATAAATACCATAGTAGAAACGATTGAATTGAAGTCTTGAAGTGTAACCCGTAGGAAGCATTTGTACTTTCAATACTAGACAAGCAACAGATCGCAAAAATTGCGGCTGGTAAAACTGAAAATAGGACATAGAGTTATTGTCATGTTATGTATGATCCTGTTACACGATCAACAGGATGAATGAATCGATCGACAATTTATCGCAGATTGATTCTACGCTGATTTTGGAGCTCGCATCTTTGCATCGATGACTTGGAGGACATATCCCATCATCTCTGCCTTGTCCTCGTTACTGGCATAGTTGACTGCTCGCATCAAGTCGCAGAGCTCAGAGACTTTCTGGCCAACTTTTGGGTTACGAACTAAGAAATTGGAGCCCACTGTTGCCTTGGAATGCCAGTTCTGGTAATCGATACTCTTGGCGCGAATTTGGTTGGGTGCTGCAACTGTGGTGCCGTCCTCGCAATAAATGACGTAGACACTTTTGCGTGTAGAAGAAAAGCCATTCTCTCCGCGGGATAGGTCCACCCAGCCGAATTTCCCCTTATACTTTCCTTTGTTGATAGCAATCTCAGCGCCCCTCTTCTCGGTACCAAGATCCATACTGTTGTTGCTGTTGCTGTGATTTGTCATGATGATGTTGAGGTTTTGTTGTTGTTTTTAATCTCTTGATTATGAGAAGGCGCATCTAATTTACCAGTTACAATCACGAACTGTGCATCCGTGTCAATGGATCTTGTATCGTTCATCGTTCCGTTTGATTGTCAAAACGACACTTTGTAGATGGTGCTATCCATTCCCACCATTCCCAACTTTCTTTGAGCAAGTTGAACGCAAATCGAAATCACGTCAATCACTTTTATTTAAAAGTAGATTAACGTTTCAGGTATTTTATTTAAATTGGTATGAAATGCATTTATCAATCAATGAAGGATTAACATAAACTGGCGAGAGTGCACCATCGCAGTTTTTCTTAAAAAATTAAAAATTAAAAAAACGAAATCTGGACACGATGGCTTGGACTGAGGAAAAATGGGAACGGAGTGAAGCGAAGCGTGCTCTTGAAAGCGATCTAACGTTGGGATACTGTCCCATCGATCCCAGGAGGATGTCCGTTAAGGATACTTGGGACCAGCTCTATGATTCTCACGAGGAATTTGATGGCATGGCTTTCAGTTTCTTTCGCAAACAATTGACTGCCCTTCGCAAAAAATGGAAAGATATAAAGAAAGCTGAATGGGTGGCGCAGTGGGAAACAAGCGAAGCTAAAGCGCTTCTTGAAGACGATCTGGACAACGAAATGCTCCCCGTTGATGCTGCGTCCATGTCTGCTAGGGCGGCATGGGACGAAAGGTACATTGGTGAAGTAGAGTTTGAGTTTATGGAGTTCGGCTTCTTTACCGAAAAATTGCAAGCCGTGCGGAAGGCGTGGAAAGAGAAGAAGTTAGCTGAATGGCAGAAAAATTGGGATCAAAGCGAGGCAAAAAGGATCCTTCAAGACGATCTTGACTCAGGATTCCTGCCGATCGCTGCCAAGGAAATGTCGGCTAAGGACGCTTGGGAAGAGACCTACAGTCTTCACGGAGAATTCGCTGGCATGAATCTGAGCTTCTTCAGTAGGCAGTTGGCAGTTTTGCGAAAAGAAGCAAAGAAGAAAGAGGCAATTGATTGGAAGCCAAGCGCTGCCCGATTGATCATTATCTATGATCTTGCAGATGGGGTTCTCGATATCGACGAAGATCGCTTGCCCGCACGGGATGCATGGAACGCGACCTACAAAGACCTGCCCGAATTCCAAGAAGTCCCTTACTGGCAATTCGAAGAGAAGCTAAAGGATCATCGTGAATCACAACAACAATCAGTTGTACAATCGTGCAAAGACGAACTGACACTGGCGCATGATTTGAGTCTTTTTCATGTTAAGACGCACAACGACCGCGGTGAGCTAAGATTTTGCATGACAGATGCAAAGAAACTTCTTAGGGAAGACGTTGCGAGAGGACTGCACAAGGGAATCACCCCCAAACAATTTCAAAGCTCACGAAAGGCGTATCATCCATTCAAAGCAAGAAAATTCAAGGAACGAATTTATCAGGAGGTGAGGTACCAGAAGTTTGTGGCATATCTGGCAGACAAGCGAGAAAAGAAGCTAAAGGAAGCTCGTAGGAAAGACCAGGAAAAGAAAGAGAAAGAGGAAAAAAGGAAGCAGAAGCAGAGGGAAATGGAATTGAAGAAGGAAGAGGAAAAGAAGGAGAAAGCCGAAAAAAAGAAGCAGCAGCAAAGGGAAAAGGAATTGAAGAAGCAAGAGGATAAAAAGAAGAAGGAGCAAGAGAAGGAGGAACAAGCTATAGCAAAGTAATAAAATTGAACTTCGTAACTCAACACCGTCCACCACATCGTCTGACTGAATCGTCCACTATACACCGTTGTCCTCCACTGGGAAAATCATCGTCCATACCTATCAAAAAAATAAATGACGAAAAACACGAAACGATACCTCTCACATGGATAGATAAATATGGTTGTTATTATAATAGTTCTCTTTTTAATACACTATACACACAACAGTTTGTCCCTTCTTCTTGTTCTACTAATTGGTCATGGTGAAGAATGAATCTGCGTCAGGCTCCTCTACACTGCTCTTCAACTCTCGGAATTCCCCAGCCAAAGCAATCTTCCAGGAAAGAGTGAGGCCATACTGGTCTTTCTTGAAACTGGTGTTATCTTCAGGCTTGTTATGGATGCCACTCTTCTCGCTGTCAACAATAAAGTCCGACTTGGGGGAGAAGATTCTATTCGCGAACACTGGTTGTTCCATTGAAAACACGATGATCGAGTAATTGAAAAATAGGTCCAAGTCTCTCTCAGCATTCACTGCCTCTGCCTTCAGGGCATTGACAACAGTCTTCTTTGCTCCGGGATTATCGGACTTAGCAATACCAAACTTCTGGTACTGACATGCAGTGAAGTTGGCTACTGGCTCTCGAAACAAAAGAATATGACCGAGATGCTTTTGAAAGCAAGCTGGCACCTCAAAAGAATTTGCGATTTTGAGTTCATAGAACTTGTAGTCATCTGGGGGGCATGGGCAGTTCACAGTGATGGTTTGATACTCAATATGGTCTTGTTCGATCAGACCTTGGCAAATGAAAGTGTTTCCGTGGCGGTGGCCATGTTCTGGAAAATTATAGATGACGTTTGGCCATTTCTTGGAACCATCTTGGTGATAGTCGGGAAGAGGGTAGCTGGGCCTGGTTCTTGTTGGTGGGGAACCAAAGCCACAAGGAGAGGAGAAACTATGAGATCCATAGCTTGTGGCTCCGAAGATTTGACTTGGTGAGCCAATAGAGGAGTTTGCAGAAATGTTCATCCCTGAAAGATTAGAAACAAGGAGGTCAAAAGAGGAGTTGAGTGCAGTTGCTTGTTCTGGAATTGTCGAAGACACTGCAGTACGCTGTTCAGGAGCTGGCACATCGCGCTGCTCTGTTGTTGGTTTGTCCTCCTCGGTCTCCTCCGTCTCCATCCTTTCGTCTGCGTCAACAGGGTTTTCCTCGTTTGATTCGAGTTCAGCACGAGTTGTATCTGACATCTCGATCTTGTGTTTCTTTAGCAATTTGATGTAGGTTTCAATGCCCACCCGTTTCACAGTGTTGTTGATGAACCGACTGTAGCGCTTTCTTGTGATGCTTCCTTTTTCACCAAACATCGTCTTGTTTGTATTCCATAGTTGAATAGGCACAAAATTCCGACGATCTAGATTGTGTTCCTCGATGCTTTGAAGCTGAAAATGAATTTCCCAATCTGCAAGTTTCTTACCTGCTCCTTCCTCAAGAGAAGATACGGCGGCGGCGGAGATTGGTGGCATGGTAGATGGTTTCAAAAGCGATTTGTTGGAATCTTCCTTTTCGATTTTGTGAGCATTATTGTTGACACTCACAATCTCCTCTCCAACCCTTTCCGGTATTGCTCTACGGTGATCACATCTCAAGCCAAGACTTGATTGGCGATAAAGCATCGCTGATGAAGATCATGGGGGGTAGGACTGAGCAGAGCGGGGGATATTTTTGTGGGACTTCCAGAAACGATGAGAAGCCACCAAAACGATGAGAAGCCACCAAAACGAGAAATAACTCACATCGCAAAGCGAGTAATTTTTATTCGGAACGAGTAATTTTTATTCGGAACGAGTAATTTCCATTCGGAACGAGTAATTTTTATTCGGAACGAGTAATTTTTAAGAAGTATTGAGTCGCGACCTAAAAGCAGTTTTTCCATCATTATGTCAGGTGTGCCTTTAAATGAATTATTACGGACTAAGAATTTTTAAAAAATGTCCCTTTTGGTTCTAAACTATTTATGAACGACAAGATGTTCTTATATATGAGAAATGTCTTCTTCGTTTACTAGTCATCTCGCGAGAAGGAACCACGAGGAATTCTAAAGTCATCGTTTTGCCGGGTGTTCCAGAGTCAAGATGGAGAACACCAGTTTTCGGGATCGAAACGAACTTGACAACCAAGTGCAACAGGTTTCATCGAACATCACGCGTATTTCTTCCTAGTTGTGCTGACTTTCCGATAATGATTGCCTTCGTATCAGCTCAAGGCTTTAATTAAAACTGACATGTTGTTTACAAATCGCCTTCTTGTTGAAGCTGTCTGATCAGACAAAAGAATAGTTTGTAGGCGCATCCAATCTACACGATTGTCCGATCAGGACTTTGTCAGCTGAACTGCAACTTGAACTACATACAATTGTGACCACTTTTTGGAAAAAATACAACTCTCGTGTGTCTACTTTACCTACCAGTACCGTACAAGTGTACCGGTACAAATGAGAACTAAATCACAGCGAACGCCATTCTTTCCCAATTTCTCCGACGAGGAACAAATAAAAATGAATGAAGGAAAAACGAAGAAAACCCCTCACAAAAAGCGCAACTGAAAAAAAATGACTTTCATCAAACAATCTTACAACGATAGCCATAGCCGAAAGGATTCCCTACTATCCCTCCTCCAATGCCCCCTTCTATCCGACGAGGTCACTGCATACTCAATTCCTATCACCGCTGCTCTTCCTCTATCATTCGAGAATCCATTCAACGATCCCAGACTCGAGCCTCTACCCTTGAGAGCGGAGAACTCAGATGCTCTAAATATCAGCCAAATTGCCTCAGTTGCGGATGATTGCATCTCATCACTCATCCAGCCATCAAAGAGAAATCTTGGTCAAGACTTCAACTTCGATGGCTTCTTGTCGCATCAGGATACTGCTTCTTTCCCCTCCACAAGACAGCAAGAAGGAGGTTTGAGTCGAACTGACGACGTTGCTGAGAACATTGCTCGATTTCGGCCGTATCAAGACAAGAAGTGGAAAGGCACTTTCCAAAGGCTCATCAAGTTCAAGAACGAGTTTGGGCATTGCTGTGTTCCACACTCCTATGCAGAGAATCCTGCCCTTGCTCGATGGGTGAAGAGACAGCGTCACCAATACAAGAAATTCATGGAAAACGACCCAACTTCTACTCTGACCACCAGTCGTCTTGAGAAGCTCGAGTCGGTTGGGTTTGTATGGCACTCACATGCTGCTGCTTGGCTTGAAAAGCTGGACGAGCTCAAGAACTTCAAGCAAGCACGAGGTCATTGCAACGTCCCATCGAGTTATCCCGAGAACCCTGCCTTATCAACATGGGTGAAGTGTCAGCGACGCCAATACAAGCTGCGAGTATCCGGGTTGCAATCGACCATGACAATGGATCGATTTGGAGTACTGAAATCGATGGGCTTCGTTTTTGAGCCACGACTTGCAGCGGCAAGGAGTGCACAGCTTGAACTAGAAGCATGAGATTGAGAAAGAATTTTTTATGAGGACAATAGAAACGATTACGCTAATAAATTTTGTTACATTGCAATGATGAGTTGAGAATTCGATGAATCGGGAACTAACTTGCGTGGACCATACTACCACACAAGGAAGCAGACAGCCAGGAGTTTGACCCACATCAACCTTTCATACCTTTTCACATGTTCAGCTTCTTAACGCGGCGCAATGGAGGCAATAGCTTCATTAGCATACGTAGCAGCGAATTCAGTAAGCACATATTTTGCTTGGAACTGTATCTTTCTATGGTACCTGGTACCACTTGATAGTGATACCCTTTGTACGCGCTGTCTGTTAGTAGATCCTTATATATATCACAGATCTGTACCGGTACAGTTGGGAATCAGAATCGAGGTGTCTCTCTCCCGCTTATTGTTGTTGATCCAGAGAAAAGACGATGAACACAAATGATCAAGGAGGATCTCGTTTTGAGAGTATCTTTCTGGAATTTTTTAAATACCAGAGTATATTTGGTCCATTCCATCCCACGTTCCATGTACCGGTACCGTGTACCATAAACAACTTTGACGTGTGCTGTAGGTTCGCGTGGCGAATCGAAGTAGAACGCGGACAGATCCTGATCAGATATGTCGAACGCTATTTGTATTCGGTAACCAGTTTCAACGCGCCGATTTATTATGCTTGGACCTGATCAGATGCCTCATTCAAGAGCGTTTGGACATCATGATGTCACTCTTCTAAGTGCCACTGTGGGTAACTGTCCAGACGCTGCAGCACATTGTGATCTCAGTGAACTCGGACCCTTCACTGTACCAGTACGAGGTACCGGTACCGTACCGTTTCTCTGATCAAGATTGTGTTTTGGACAATACCGATACTCGCACCCACAAAACATACCCACAAAACAAAAAATGGCTGACATCCAACAATCCTTCATAGATGACAGCGGCTCCAGGCATTGCCATGGTGACTCAATGCTCCAAGAGTATCTACTGGCACTCCTGAGACAGCCTCTTCCGTCGTTAGAATTTCCAGTCCCATCATTTGAGGACCCCTTTGGAGATCCCAAAATGGAGCCGCTGCCCTTCCAAAAGGAAGTCTCAAGCTCGGATCAATCAGAGACCGACTTTGAACAGACCGTGACTTTCAAAGACGAACCCATCGTCGATGTCGGAAGCAAGAATGGAGTGAGCCAACAAGATGATGTCTCGTCTCCACGTCAGGATCAGCATGATGATGATTCTTTGACCTCTTCCTGTGAAAACCAAGGTTCGAGGCGCACAGACGAAGCAGAGAAGATCGCTCGATTTCGGCCGTATCAAGACAAGAAGTGGAAAGGCACTTTCCAAAGGCTCATCAAGTTCAAGAACGAGTTTGGGCATTGCTGTGTTCCACACTCCTATGCAGAGAATCCTGCCCTTGCTCGATGGGTGAAGAGACAGCGTCACCAATACAAGAAATTCATGGAAAACGACCCAACTTCTACTCTGACCACCAGTCGTCTTGAGAAGCTCGAGTCGGTTGGGTTTGTATGGCACTCACATGCTGCTGCTTGGCTTGAAAAGCTGGACGAGCTCAAGAACTTCAAGCAAGCACGAGGTCATTGCAACGTCCCATCGAGTTATCCCGAGAACCCTGCCTTATCAACATGGGTGAAGTGTCAGCGACGCCAATACAAGCTGCGAGTATCCGGGTTACAATCGACCATGACAATGGATCGATTTGGAGTACTGAAATCGATGTGTTTTGTGTTTGAGCCACGACTGACAACATCGAAGAATACCAAGCTTGAAATGAAAGCACGCGCCGAAGTCAAAAGTTTTGATGCTAGCCGAGAGTTATTAGGACTACTAGTATAAGTTTTAATCCATTTTTGTGTGTGCCAAACCAGTCCATTTGTAGGTATCAGTAGAAAAGGATGAATGAAGTGGAAGAGTACCATAACAGATACGGTACAGGGTACAGGAAGAAGAACCTCATCTTGGTGTCTAATTGACGTCACTATGACAAAGCTTTCGTCTGCCTGTCCTCCCTCAAAGAATAAAATTCGGAACCTGTGCAAGCAAGACCAACGCTCAACGGTCGCATGTAAAACAAAGTACCACAGCATTTGCCAGACGAATTTGAGACGAAAGAAGTGATTTTGGAAATTGAAGTGCCTGCCTCTTCCTTGACTCGTAATCCATCAACATTATCAGCAACATAAGCTCTACATCAGCGTAAGCCCAATTTTTTCGACTATTTCTGAAGCAATAAGCTTGGATATTATACATTGAGTCAGAAGAAATCTACCGTCAGACTTAAGACAGAAACATTTCAGACATTTTCAGATATTCAATTTTCTGAAACCACCCCAAAGACGAACCCAACGGACCTTCTTTCATTCCCCATAGGATGTTTCGGCGCGTCTTGAATAGAAACTCGGATGTCGGTGACGATCAGCCTCGTCCAAAGCACGTGAGCAAATTGGGCATTGAAAAGCCAGTACCACCTTCCGAATCCTATCCTCCTCCTACCCAGCCTCCCAGTCGCATGAGGTCTTTTACGGATCGCATGGGGCGTAAACGAGGACGACGGGGGCAGCAGCTCGATAATCAGATATCAGATTCTTCTTCGTCGGTTCATCAGCAAAGAGGCCAAAGTATTACTGGCGGAAGAAGTGTGATTTCATCAGCTGAAGATCTAATGTCCATTCAGTCTACGATTACTGTGGAGACGACGCGCACCAGCTACAATGAAAATCGCAAACCCATTCCGACATTTCAGCAAGTGTCCGAAAGCGCTGGCAAAAGCAGTCATCAACTCTTTTGCAATCCCATGAACTGTTTGCGCAATTTATTGCAGGCAAACAATGACGTTGTCGTAACACATTTGTATCTCAAGGACATTACCATCAAGAAGGAAATTTGCAGTGCCTTTTTGGCTCTGATTCGGGGTGACAATAAGTCCTGGGAAAGCATGGCAGTCGACATTCTACGGCAAAAGGCGCGGTGGGAAAGCATCACTTTCGAGGAGTGTCAAAACAGTGATAAGCCTGTCAAAATCAAGCGACCATCTCGCGTCGTACTACCACAAACGCATCAACAAGAACAGTATATGGAAGTCTGTATATCCTTTATTCTTTCGATCGACAATTGTGCGCACTTGCACTTGTCCAATCTCTACTTGGAGCAACCGTTTACCATGCAAACCTTGGCCTTTTCCAAGCATTTGGTCAAGCTACAGTTTGATTTGATGGACTTGTCGCAAACCATTTCGACTTTGTGCCATTGTCTACCACAGAATCGATCGTTGGAAATTCTGATTGCCAGTCGTTGCGGCCTGAACGATACACAACTGGCGGGCTTGTTGGGAAGCTTGCCCGACCAACTGTTGGAAGTCCGTATCTTTGGCAACAAGTGTCGTACACAAGGATTGGCGGCGGCTGCTATATTGTTGCAAGAACATACGCATCTTCAGATTTTGGATTTGAGTTATCAGCATTTGCCGAGGAAGGTGACCGCGCAAACTGGAGGGGACAAGGCTGGGGAAATCAACGAAGACGATCTTTTTGATATTTCCTGGTTAATGGCTGCTCTCATGTCCAATACTACCCTGTTGACTCTGGATTTGGACAATACCGCGATTGACGACAATGATTTGCGGCACATCATTCAAGCCCTGTGCGAAAACACTACGCTGGAAAACATTATGCTAAATCACAACTACATTACCAACGATGGGGTGTCGGCACTCGCAGCTCGATTTCATGAAATGAATGGCCTCAAGAAAATTAGCATGTACAGCAATTTGTTTGATGCGCCCACTATGGCGCCTCCACCAACAGAAATCACCACGCCGTCCGTCTCCACCAACACAACACAGAAGCAACGGAACAGAGACGCTCAGGATCCTACAATTAGCGTCCCCAATGGCAATTCGTACGAAGAAGACGATGAATCGCAAGATGAGGATGACGACGATCGCACTATCAATACTGCCGTTTCCAGTCTGGCTGATGAAACTGTCTTTCAGCAAATGGAATCCAATCCCACCATGCTCCCGGGTGCTGTCGACGACGAGGTCCCTCAAGAGCCCTTCCAATTCCCTCGATCGGAGGAAGAGCACGTATACGACGATAAGAAGCAGGAGGGGGAACAGCACTATTTCAATGATGAGCAGGAATATGCCGAATCGGTGGCACCAACAGAATACGAGGAAGTCTCGGTGTATACTGAAGCCGAAAATGGAGGTACTCATGATGTATCGTATGCCTATGGTGATTCGGTGGTAGACGATGATTCGATACCACCCTACAATCCAGATGCAATGGCGGCACAGAGTATTGCGGATGCAGGTGGCTTTCTGGACAATACTACCAGTTTCTAGATAGGTCTTTGGGGAATTAGGTTTGTTCTGAAGTTTTGGTTGGATTTCAATGTTATTTGTAAAGAGTATAATCCATCCAATGCTATCACTATCGACTCGTGTGAAATTCTTCAAGTAACTAGTTTCTCCAGGCTACGCTCAGCACTCGCTTTTTGCGCGAGAATGCCATCGATATCTTGGTTGATTTCACCCAAGCGTCGTCTGAGGCGAGCCTTCTCCGATTCCTTGTGTTCCAGGCTCTTGTCGAGTTTATCCAGCTTCCCTATAATCCGTGTCAGCGGAGTACAGTTTTGCTGATGATCTTCAAGGCAGGACACACACAAAAACTCGTCATTGCAAAACTTGCAGACATCAACACAGTCGGCACAACAGTTCTCGTCGCAAAGGTCACATGCACGGCAGTCTTCACACATTGTCTTTTCGCATGTTGTGCAGTTTTGCTGGTGATCTTCAAGACAGTGCCCACAAAATAACTCGTCATCGCAAAACTCGCAGGAAATAACACAGCTGTTGCAAAAGGTCACGTCGCATCGGCCACATTGCTGACCTTCGTGGCAGTCCTCACACATTGTCTTTTCACATCCGCCGCATTCCCCGCCTTCCTCTTGGCGCTCGTCCAACGTTACCATTGCATCTTCGCAACAATCACAGAGTTGATCATAATAGTGTTTGTATTGATAGTGTGGTAGCATGGTCGGGAGGGAGTTTTGTAACAAATTCTTCAACGAGATGGTTCGAATTTCCAGTTTTCTGCGAATTTACCGCGACTTAATTCAGTGCGTTTTGTAATAAATCGTGAGCGAAATATTTCGCACGTTCCGTGATAGATTTCAGATTATCGCCTTTTCTGTCCGTTTGTTGATCTCGTTTCGAGGTTTTACTCGTGGCAATTTCTCATCTCACACGCGCCACAAAGTTTCAACTACTTGTGCTCACAAATTCAACATTGAAAGTCCAATAGCAAACCTCTCAAAAAGACTACACGATGAAAGTCGATTGGAAAACCAGTGAAGCAAGAAAGATTGTCTTGAACGATCTTGGAAGTGGATTCCTAGCCCTCAATCCAAAAGATATTTCGGCAAGAGAAGCTTGGGGCACTCTGTACGAATATATGGATGAGTTTGAAGGTATCGAGTTCAATCAATTCTCGAGAAACTTGAGCAGCTACAGAAAGAAGATGGCCAGCGATTCCAAGTTTGTCTGGAATAATACATGTGCCCAAGACATCGTTCTGAAAGACCTGGAAACAGGACGGCTCCCTGCCTATCAACGGGAGATGTCTTCTGAAGAAGCCTGGCGCTCATTGTACAGCACCAGGAAAGAGTTCAAGAATGTGCCCTTTTGGCACTTTGAAGAGAGACTTCGAGAGCTCCGATCAAAGAAGCAAATGCAACTTCGATCCGATTTTGAGCACATCTGTTTGCTCAAAGACATGAGTAGGATTGCAAGAAAAATCGGTAAAGAAGGAATGAAACCAAACCCTGGTACGATTTTGGCCGACATTTTGACCGAATATCCTGGTCTAGCAGAGTGGGATGGAGACGCGAAGCATTTGTATCAGTGCCAGTGATCCAGGAGCTTGATTTTGGAATTTAAAAAGTAGAAAGAAAGTATTAGTGTATCTGTGATAGCAATTCGGCTATGGAATCACAAGTAGAACAGTCTCGACATACCACAGAGCGCCGGCAGTAAGCAGTGAAAATACAATTCGGATATGGCAGCTGATGGATGCATCAGATACACAATTGATAGACAGCGGCATCGGTGCGTTCAAGCCGAGATGGCACAAACTGGAAAGAAAGCGCAGACCAATGATTGCGGCATAAGCAAGGCGACAGTGTGAAGAGTTTGTATGTTGGCATGAACACAAAAATTCCTTCAGTTCTTTCCTTTCTTTTTCGTTGTCTTTTCTTCTTCAATCTCGCTACTTTCTTTCAGCCTTTCCAAAGCTCCGCCTGCCAATTCTGCCAACTTCCACATGCCGACATCTTGCAAGCAACTCTTGAATATGGCCATTTTGATAATGCACTGTTTTCCCGCAGCCCGTTCAATAGCCTTGATACGACCCTCCAAAGCCTTGTCAGTCATGCTTTGGATTCTGTAATAGGTATGGTCATATAATTTACCAGTCGGATCATCCGCTCTGTTCATTTTGCCAGTGCCATTCGTCACTTTGTCATTGTATTGGCGAGCCCGCTCTAATCGGACTTGACGACACTCTAGAACACGAGATTGTCGCATTTCTTGTATGGATTCGGCCTTCAGAGAGGGAGGAACTTCACTTCCGTCGGGTTCCTTGCCTCGTTGACGCAACGATTGTCGACTGGGTGGTAACGCGGTCTTGGCCGCCAACTTGGAAGACTTTTGGGGATTCCCAGTAGCATCTTCTTGACGCTTGCGTTTTGCATTAGTGGGCAGAGACTTATGCCAAGCGAGAGCATTCGACTCGAGCTCCTCTTGCGCTGAAATCAACCCCAAGGATCGGAGCAAAGCATTATGCTTTTCAATCTTGGCAGCCCGCAACTTTTCGTAGTCGCTGAGCTGGGCATCGCTTGTAGATTCGCCAGGAAGTGATTCAGGGGGTTCCGGAATAGGCATGTTGAGGTGCAGGAGGCTTTGATTCAGCCAACTATACTGTATGCCACTGCTGCTGTCAGGAAGGAAGGGTGCGTCTATACCGCAGTGAACTACAGTATGACGAAACTGCCATTCATGCTCGAATGAATCGACTTTCGCTCGTGATTTGATTGATTTGAATCATGGATGACACGCAATCAGATATCTCATGCCTATTGGCCTTTCGAGACTTCTTTCACATGAAAATGTAGTTTAAAATTTATAACTGTTGTAGCTCTCTGCAAGTATCAGAGATATTGGTATCACATGCTTTCATTTCAAGCTGTGTCTGCTTTAATACAGTGAATCGTGGCTCAAAAACAAAGCCCATCGATTTCAGTACTCGAAATCGATCCATGGTCATGGACGACGATTTCAACTTGTATTGACGTCGCTGACTCTTCACCCATGTTGACAAAGCACTATTCTCGGGGTAGCCCGATGGGACGTTGCAGTTGCCTGTCTGTCCTTTGTAATCCTTGAGTTCTTCGAGCTTTTCGAGCCAAGCGGCAGCATGAGATTGCCAGACAAACCCAATCGACTCGAGCTGCTCGAGACGACTGGTGGTCAGAGTAGACGTCGGGTCATTGCCTATGCATTTCTTGTATTGGTGGCGCTGTCTCTTGACCAATCGAGCAAGAGCAGGATCGTCAGTAAACGAGTGTGGAACACAGCAATGTCCGAACTGGTTCTTGAAGCTAACGAGCCTTTCGAAAGTCGCATTCCACTTGTTGTCTTGATATGGCCGGAATCGAGCCATGCTCTCAGCAACGTGTGTGTGGGTCAAGCCTTGGTGGTCACAGGAGGAGGTCAAAGAAACATCATCATCACGATGGTGTGGTGAGGAGGCATCTTGGCTGCCTTCTTTGTTCTTCTTGTTGGTTCCGACAACCAGGATGGGTTGGTCAATGAAGTTCACTTTGTGTTCAGGATCGGTCTCTGTTTGGTCCTGTGATTGTTGTTTTTGGCAGACGCTTGAAACTTCCTTTCGGAAGGGTCGAGGCTCCAATTTAGGATCTCCAAAGAGATCTTCAGTTGAAGGAATAGTAGGAGGACGGTCTGGCAAAGGAAGAGGCTGCCTCATAAGGGATAGTAGATTATCTTCGAGCATGTTCGTCGTGTTAACGTCGCAATAGCTGAAGCCGGAGCTCTCGTTGCAAAGTTGCTGGGCATTGGCCATTCTTTCTTCTTCGTTTTGTTTTTTGTGAGAGTTCTGTGAGAATTCTGCCAAAAGAAACCGAATGCGAAGGTGACGAGGAAAGCTTTTCGTTTCGTGTCCAAATGAAATTGTTTCGGGTCACAATAAGCGCCACATAAATCCCTTATGTGGTGTTCGAATACTTTACCTCGTTCCTCCATGAGTCCATATAAATGATAAATCTGTCCAAAACGAAGCAATCTTGTTCGCTGTCTAATCACGTTTAAGTAATCTGCAAGCCAAATGCAGTAATACTTTTTTAAATATTGATGCACGGTAATAATAGCCTTCTCATCAACGTTCTTCGATCCAGATCACGCTATGGGGCTATTTTTCGAGTGGGTGTGTACTTGTACCCGGTACCCCATTTGCGATACTTGGTTTCATTGAAGTTGGGACGAACTGCCTTCCTGTGCGACCCACACAACGGCATTGTAGGCTCGGAAATTCAAGTGGAATTCAAAGTAGCAATAGGCACCATATTCGTGAACGCAAGTTTCCTGCAAAAAGTTCTGGGAATTGGTTTTCAGGAAAACCAACTTCACTTTCTGATACTATGCGAGTGCTTCGTCCATTACAGAAGTAAATGGTAGATTTGAGTGCATTGTTGAAAACCGGACATACACATTTGGTGCTGCAACTTTGGCGTCTTATTTTTCTATCGAATGAATCAATCTGACAAAAAGGATCAAGAATAGAAGGAGATGAATGAACAACCGGTGGGCTACATCATGCAGCGTCCCCAAAACCACCTTCAAAACATTGAATGGAAAACCCTTGAATACACATGAAGTATGAGTTGATGGTGTCCATCCTGCGTGGAAATTCTGACACCTGGGCTTGCACCAAACGGCCCCGGCCGCTGGCTTCATCGTTCTCCAAATCATCCACTAATTTCTTGCTGCTGACTCTTCACGGAAGAGTTCTGTTTTGCTCTAGACCATAGATTACAGAGTGACTTCAAAAAGGCTGAAGTTCTCTTTGAGTGCCCTACAGACAGTCGATACAACTCTTTTGTACCGAGACGTGCGACTCGACTCGTGTTTCGGGGAGTCACGAAAGGCATGAGACAGAACGCACCGATAATACGCGATGACTTCGCTGCCGATGGATCGGATGAAGACATCGCGGTGTCATAGGGTACCGGTACATCGACTAAAGGCAGATTCTTGTTTGGCACACAATGGTCATTATTTAGTTATTACCCGGACAATATACCATCTGAACAATTCGGACACTTGGAGGCAACCCGAACTCCATCTCCTGTCCAAGTCTGACCGACATCACGTTCTTCCCATCATGAGGTCCCACTCCACCGTACACGTACTGGTATGACTTGGACGGAAGGCAAAGAAAAGTTCGTATTCAAGATCCATCAAATGCCTCCGTTGAGACGTTTGTGTGCTGACAAGGAGCGTGTGGACGCACAAACAAATCACCAAGGAAGTCGCAATAAGAAGACGAAACAGTCGTGCACTTTCACCAATCATCACATACTACGAAAAGACACGACAAGCGGAGACTCGTATAAACCTCTCACATCTCATCACATCACATCACTTCAAATCATCACGACCAAGCAACAAGCTACCAAGCTACCTAACCAACGAAGCCACAAAACAAAAACTTCAGACCCATCAACAATACTAATCAATCAATCAATCGAGCAATCATCCAATCATCCAATCATCCAATATGGTCGTCGCAAGCATGAGTTACGCATCCACCATGAATGTCATTGAGAGTTGGGAATACGTCCGCAAGTTGAACAACTACGAACAAGTTGTGGGCGTCCATCTCTTTCGCAAATTCTTTGAATTGGCTCCCGAAGCTCTTCCAATCTTTGCCTTTGGATGTTCTTCTAGTCTAGAGGAAGACTTTTACAATTCGCCCAAATTGATTCGACATGCGAAACTTTACGTTGTCGCCCTGGACAAAGCAATTGGGTTGTTGGGACCCAATTTTGAATTGCTTCAAGAAATCTTGATGGATTTGGGCGACAAGCACCGACGATTTGGTGTGAGTCCAGAACTCTTCAAACCCATGGGACGAGCCATTATTGAAACCTTGGAAGAATTGTTGGGTGACAGCACGTTTAAACCAGCCATCAAGGCATCGTGGACGGAATGCATCGAACTGCTGTCGGAAGGAATGATCGAAACAAAATCATAGTATTGGCTGTACTAACTACTCTTGGTCCAATAAGGAAAGATAATTGCAAGATATTACGTATTTGAAAAATAACTGTCATCATGAAGTTTCAGTATACAGTAGTACGTGTTCCTAGTGCTGCTACTAGTTCCCAAGTAGTACGACAAGGAGTCACACTGATGATTATCATGAGGAGATGCATGGAAACTCAGAACATTAAGGTGTATCTATCAACACTTTTCCATTTCTCCTACCCTGGTACTAGTACCGGTACTAGTACTATATGAAATGGATTATTCCTTTCTTGCATAGCACTACAACATGTTTTGAATATGTGTCTGTTGTCGAGGCATTGGATGGGAGTGGAATGGTTGGTTGGTTGAAAGTAGGTCTCGGCGTGCGTGTGGTAGTAGACGCCGGAAGGGTGCGCACCTTATTTCCAAAAAGTATTTGAATCGTGTGGAAAACGTTCATTGGAGGGAGTTTCCTGTAGAATCTACTGACAATGGCACGCGCGTTCCACCAACCTCGGAGGTTGGAGGGTTCGTCGTCAATACTACTGCGATCGTTTCAATTTCAACTGTCCACCTGTTTTACTATTCGTGAAGACAACAGTATTGTTGAATCTTACTGTAGCAATAAAACAAAAGATTGCTTCAGCACGCTTCAGCCTTTGTCAGTTAGCTTGGACGGAGAAACACAATCTCGGTGATTTAGGAGAATCAATCAACTTCAAATTGATCGATCTTTAAGGAGGATACGAACTGAGTAGATTGGAATCATCATCTGAAAAAGGCGACAACCCCAACAGAAACATCCTACGTACGACCTTGCGAGCGAGTACAGATTAATTCATTACAGCCATGTTGAAACGAGGTAGCAAAAAGCAAGAGAGAACTTTGCTGAATTCGAGTCCATTGTTGTCAGAGTCCTTCGAACGAGTCCCTGAAAGTGCGAAACAAAGCAAGAAATCATGGAAGCTCTTTGGCAGCAGCAGCAAACCAAAGAATGGTTCCGGCAAAAACGCAAGACAAACTTCCTATGACTATGATTATGGTGATGATGATTATTACTATAAAGATGATGAGGATGCCATGAAGGCATGGGAACCAGCTCCCTCCTTTTTGCCCTTTCCAAGTCAAGTGGAAGATGATGAGGAAAATTCACCAGAACAGCAACCGCGAATGCGAATTACCGACAATGAGACAACTACGAGAACGCTAGCGGATCATGCCAAACAACAGCAACGACAACAGCAACAGCCAGAAGAAGAAGTTGAAGATTTATTTCAGCATAGACAACCACAACAACTGCTAACTCCACAAAGCGAGTCCCAAACTCCAACTGCAGTAGTGAAGCAACAGACGTCGGCACCACCTTCCAGGCCACCGCCCTCTCCTACGAAAAGGCAGCCACAATCTGTGCCACGGCAACAGGCCACCAAACCCCGATCTCCGAAAAAGACCTCTCCCAATCGCAATACGAACCTTCCGCTCCCTGTAGCTCCGACCTATTTGCAAACCACCAAGGCTGTCTTGGCGAGACCATTTGGTCGGGAATCCTTGTTAGTGAAGGACTGTAGGGTAAGTTGCAAGCATTGGTCGTATTACACATTTTACGCAATGGATACATTGCCCAATCTCACATTTTTCCATGCATCCATACATGATAAAAGTGGATCGTCCAAGTATCGGCCGCCGAATGGGCTGACGATACATGGATGTATCGGGTGACGGTGCAAGAGCGACAGGGCGATACCGTTCAGCTACAAGATTATGGATTTTGCCTGAGGAGTCTATCAGATTTTGGTTGGCTCGAACAAGCCTTGAGCATTGAATATCAAGGGGCACTCTTGCTGCCGTCCCTTTCGATATCCTTGGGGATTCCTCACGACATTGTGTCGTCGCCACAGCCACCCGAAGTCGAATCACGAGCACTTGCTGGATGGTTGAGTGATGTGCTGAATGGCATTCGAGGACAAGGAGAATTGATTCTGTCTACGGAAAAGATTAATTTGATTGATTCGGAATCCCTGGAAGCCTTTTTGTATCGACAGGAACTGGTGGGATTTGATGAGTATGCTCACATGGAACATACACCCAGATCACAGCAAAATTCTTCCCATGTTCTTTCTCCTGATGGAAGGTTAGAAATGACCCCGCTATCAAATGAAGGAGACTCGAATGACCAGTTACAAAACAATCCTTTCTGGGATTTATTATTCTGTGGGGCATCCAACTCGTACGATCCGTCGGATGATCTACCGCCGTCGCCATCGAGAGCCAAGATGTTCCGAAAGTCCAACGTATCATCGAAGGCACTTGGGGACTCGAGGACATTTCAATTACAAAACTCGTTTGTGGAGTCATCGCCTACCTTTGATTTGTCAAGTTCGCCTCTCGCTCGACATTTGTCACTGCTTCAAGCCGAGCGAGATTTGGTTTGGGCATGGCGAGCAAGAGCTTTGGGAAGCATGGAATTGCTTGGAAAATTAAAGGAGCAGGAAAAGAATGTCGGAGCTGCCTGGAAACGATTTGCCATTACGGTATCTAATCTCTTTACCTATGAAAAGGAAATGGAATTCGTTAAACTCGGAGACGCCAAGCGAACTAAACTTCAAAGCCCCTACCGCAAGTTGCACAGCTCCACAGTGGATGAATGCCTGCGGGTCCTAACCAATACCAAAATGGATCGGTCAATAGCTGGTCTCGATGTGCTGGAGGCCATGTTGAATGCTTACATTGGAGATCTCAGTTCTGTCCATCCATCCTTTGAATCATACTTGGAGAGTCTTCACAACGTGTCCATGATATCTCATGAAATGATGGAGCAACGGCTTGCAAACAAGCAAGTGGTCGAAGAAAAGAAGTCGCAAGAACCAAACGACGCGTCGGTCCAAAAGTTTCTAACGAATGAACGGTTATTTGCCGAATCTCTAACAACGCTGTGCTGCACAGCTCCGTTGCGAACGTCTCGGATGGCACACAAGTATATTGAAAAGGAACACGAGAAAGCCCAATCTGTAGCAAAGACTGCGGATGGAATGGTCAGCAAAATCTCAGTTTTCCCCAAGGAGACGCTCGCCAAAGTCATTACTCGACATGGCAGGGAAGAACAGGAAGATAGGACGACTGAAATGACATTGGTCCAACGTATTGTGGGCATTGGCAATAACAAGAAATTTGTGCCGCCTGACCAGAACACGCAAGAGGTGGAGAAGGGCGTAGAATTGAGCAAAGAAGATCAAAACGAAGCGGCCCAGCGTGCCGCGAAACGAGACAATGCTCTTCGAATGTGTCGGGAACGAATGGGGCGATGGGATTCCAAGGTCGCAATGGCTATTATGGAAGCTGTGGGCGTTGGTGATGCGAATGTCAGAGTGGAAGAAACCACTCGGGAGCTTCGATTGGTCCGAAAATTTGCAATTGGATTACGGGAACATATGCAACGATGTGTGGAAGCCTTGGAGACCTTGAAAAGTAGTATGGAGGCTACCAATGGAAAAGAAGTCAAGCAGCATTTTGTAACCGAACTTCAGAATGTACTTTCGACCATGTTCATGCCTTCGGACATCAACGCTGCGCCAAAAATACCATTCGACCTATTGAGGAAGCATGGAATTGCACTGGACGATCCATTGGGTTGGCTTCAAGCGTCAGGTAGAACTTGCGGAGGTGAGATTGCCAACTACATGAATACGCGGGAGTCTGGAACGGATTGGTTGATCAATACTCTCGGCGAATTGCTAAAAGACTACAACGAACGAGTGGAATCAATCGAGTCCTTTGTGTACATGGAGTGTGTTGGAATTCAGCTCGAGAAGCACTTTTCACAGCATCGCGCTACAGCTCTGGCTGCCTTTGAAAAGAAGACGGACATTACGTCTGCGATTAATATTGCTACGCGCAAGCGTTTGCCTCAATTGGTGAAAGACTTGCAAGTAAAGTTGGAAACCGTTGGAGCAGATGTATCTCACACAACGGTGAAGGAGGCAAAGGAGGCTCACTTGGAATCCAAAACACTAAAACAAGAATTGAGTGTATTGAGCATGAGGAGGCTAACAAGATCGAAGGAAATTTCGACGGAGCGAGTTATTGCTTTGATGACCATTTGGTCAAAGGAAGAAGAGAGTTCGTCGCGTGAAGCGAAGATTGCTCTGAAGAACTTTGCCCAATCTTTGGAATACCGCATTGGAGAAGACGATTTGAAGCAATATTTGGAGGCATCTCCTTCACCGGCAAGATAAAGCGTCACTTCTTGGAGAACCTTTGTCTGTGTTGATCAATTGGAAGAACGATGTAGCAAAATTTACAACAACTCCCAATGCTATCCATCTTCCCTCAGACAATGCTTAGGGATCCGTCTGCTTCCAATAACAATGCAGTGGCAGTACTCTTGTTGGAAAGATAACCCTCGCTATCAGAATTGATTCATCCAGTTGCCGATCGTTGCTAGAATTGGAATATTACCGAGGAAGGGCTCGGAGTTCGCGTTGATCAGCGAAATGAAATATCATACCAAATAGACACGATATAAATTATATGTTTCCGGCATGATAATTCCGATTTCCACAGCATTTCTACTGGAGCGGCCTGTAATGGCGGGCTTGCGAGGGATGTCCTCCGATATGTCTTGTCGATTGCTCTGCAGGGATGACGGAGCTGACTTGCGGGCGACAAACTGTTCGCAATGCAAAGCTTGGGCTTCCTTGAAAACGAGCCTGCCATAAACTTCGTTTTCATACGTGGACGCTTCGTCCATGAACGAAGAATAGTCGGGCACCTTCATCCATGGACGAAAAATAGTCGGGCACCTTCGTCCATGGACGAAAAATAGTCGGACACCTTCGTCCGTGGACGAAACTTGGTCGCATTTCGAGAAAGAAATATTATTTTTTAAAACCTCTTGATCGGATGAATCCTAAGTCTATTCCGCATCAAAGTCTAATTGATTGTTGGAGTTCGAATTTCTGAAAGTGTGCAACATATATATCTATAGCGCCCTGCAAACAGATATATCTGGAAACTTCGGCGTATTGCTGTGAAGAGATTTTTAGTGTTGCCTCGAGTTTTTGTCGTTACGGCCTGTCACTAGCCGGGATTTCTTGCGAGCTCTGAAACAGTTTCGTCCATTTCGTCCATGGACGAAAAACAGTCGGGCACCTTCGTCCATGGACGAAAAATAGTCGAACACTTCGTCCAGGGACGAAAGTTCAACGGTTCGGAAGCAAATCAAAAGTGCACGCGCGCCGAGTAGTTTTGAGAATAAAAGCGCGCCAGATAGCCGAACTGGGCGAAAAAATTAAGGACTTTGCTATTTCATGTGATATTGTCCGAACGACATCATCAAAAAGCTGACTCGGCGCGGCTTGGTCCAGTTACAGGCCACTCCTGCCACTCTCTTCATCGCACCAAACCAAACAAGCAAAAGTTGAGTTATCCGCTATTGTGAGTTTATTATTAATCAATTTCTTTCGGAAAGCAAGGGGGCGTTTGGCGCAGTTGGCAGCGCGTGTGCTTAGCATGCACAAGGTCGCCGGTTCGATTCCGGCAATGTCCATTTTTGCTTTGTTTTGCTGGTCTTTTTACTATTCTGGAACGTTGTTGTTGTGTATCGCCTACAACTTTTTTGTGTGTTTCTTCAATATATGAATTGATGCTTTTTGGATGTTTCAATATATGAATTGATCCTTTTTGGATGATCATGCGCCTCTGCAGGAGAGTCATGTTTTATGTCATGCACCTACTCTCTCTTCGTGTCCGTATATCGTCCGTAATAACTGCGGAGAATTTGAAAATTTCTGGCTGGCGTGTAAAATTCCAACTAATGTGGATGCAAACATCTCATTTATTCTTTATATTGACTTCCTTCTACCAGATTACATTCAATAGTCTTCCATTCAATTGCTCCATTACTGTTTCTTCTTGCAGACCATGGGTAAATTTCGGTTCTACGATCGAAACAAGCAAGCAGAAGGAAAAGCCATCAGCGGAATTATTGCCTCTCAGGTCCGCAAGTTTGACCATTGGATTGACAATTGGTTTGATTCTCATGACCCGTCTAATCGTCCGCCACCGCCTACGGAAGAAGAAGCTCGGCGGTTGGAAGATGAACAGATTACCATACTCGTTCAAGAGTTTGACACTCTCATCGTTGATCTGACAAGAATCAAGTCTCAGTGGCCATGGCGACGCAGGCGTTTGTTGGAAGCATTGGAATGGAGGAGAGGGGCCTTGTATCAACGATGTTGGAAGAATGCCAACGTCTTACAAGAAGCCGCAATCAGCTCGATGGAATATTGTGAACAAACCTTCAACGACTTTAGGCGTGGATTGAATGATCTGATCAATGCAGGAACCAACTTATCTGAACTGAATACTGTTTTCAACAACCTTGTCTCCGTTTGCAACCATCATATTGATGATACCTTCCCTGGAGGTCGCAAGGCACTAGAAAATTATTACGAAGATATGCCTAACGATATCATGTCTTATCGGCAATTCTTTGAACTCGTCGAAAAGTGCAAGGAGGAATACAGAGAAAAATACAAGGAAAATCTGAGAAAAGCACGCTTCAATCAAATGCAAATCGATGACGATACTCCACTCAATTGTCTGAAGTCCAGCTTTGCAAAGGTATTAGATGCACAACAACACGACCCAGAGCTTTTCCGAAAGTACTGCCAGGGTAAGCCCATCTTGTTGAGTAGTTGAAGCTGAATGGTAAAAGAGGTGGTGCAAACACCAAGACTTCAAAGTCCAAATGAAGGGCATGAAGATAAACAAAGGATCACCTCCTACAAGCATGGAATTCCTTCTTCGACAGCCAGTGGAACACAATATAAGATGCTTACACAATTAATACTCGAAAGTTCTGATCTCGGGCCAGGCGGTCCCTTCGCAAGCATAAAGCTTCCAAAGCATGGACAGCCCTGGCACAAGTTCAAAGTGTCTATCAACAGTTGCCTGTCAGATCGACGACAGCAGAATTTATCTCTGGAGTACTATAATAACAAATAGTACAATAGCAAATAGGATCCTAGTGACTATGCATAGATTCTATCAATACCCAACGTCCATACGCATCACTACCATCCAAGAGACTCCATCCACATGGCTACCGATTCGTCAGCGTGGAATTTGCGCCAGATATGACTTGGACGATGGCCCCCCAAATCAGGAGCTCCTATTTGAGTCAGTTCTTCCTTGGAGAGACCAGCTCCGCCAGCTTCCTTGGCATCTGCTACCCACTGCAGAACATGCCAGTTGCCTTTTTGAGCTGCCTTATGCAAGATTGAGTGGCCTTGTTGCTGGGAACGAATTAGATTGACCTTGCAGGCATGTCTCAAGTAGTTGCACAAGTCTCGTATTTTTGTTGTATTCGTGACTGTTGCAGTATCATCCCTTGTACTCGCCATTTCCTTTGAAGTTGGCTTGGATATCGTCAACCCGACAAATTGAAAGGCATCGCATCCCCATTCATTCCTCGCATGGACGTCGGCACCTTGTTCCACTAGATATTGGACGACTGGTAAATGTCCACCAAAACACGCCATGTGTAATGGCAGGGTTCCTTCTCCCGAGGCTTCTTCCACCTGATACCCCTCCTTTTCAATCAAGTACTTGACGCAGTTCTGTTGACAATAAGACAAAGGAAAAGAAAGGAAAAGAAAGGAAAAGACGCACTGATAAGAATTATCCAACAAGTAAAGTAATATTTCCAGCAAAGTCGGTGAACCTACCAAGTGTCCATTGCGGGCTGCGTAATGCAAGCTCGTCTTTCCATCCCGTCGTCGCAACTTGTGCTTGGGTGGAGCTTGGTCAGAAGATTCATTGCCGCCGTTCAAACTCCTTCTCTTACTATCAGCTTGATCATTGTCTTTAGTTCCAGCATGTCTTCGTCGCAACATTCTCAAGTATTCCAGACACTCAAAGTGTCCTCCTCCAGCAGCCCAGTGTTCAGCAGTGGACAAGTGTCGATCCTTTGTATCTAAAAGTTTTTGGATTTTACTCTTGCTGGTCTCTGCCACCATTTGTTGCAAAACATCTAAATCCCCCTTGGATGCAGCATCCAGAAAGGCTGGCAAGCTATCACGATAACAAGTGGTTTGACTTCCTGTTTTCGTCAACATTCGAGATCGGACGGCCTTGTGTTCCTTGGCACTATGGCTTGGACCAGTCTTCTTGTTTTCATCGAGGAGAACATGTTGATGTTCCAGCTCAGACAGAATCCTCAGTACCTTGGCATCCCATGCCTCTCGCTCGGCATCATTTGGGGTCCAGGGAGCCGTTGGGGGTGCAGCTGACAATTTTGGTACTTTTGTGTTCGATTCTCTTGTGATCAGGTCTTCATTTCCGTCAAACCCAGGGTTTCCGTTGCTAGATTCGATACTTTTCTCATATTTTTGACTTTGCTGATGTTTTCTTCGGTCTTGGCGTTCTTGCTCTTCCTTCTTTCGACGTTCAATCTTCAGGGATAGTTTTGTAGGATTCCATGGCGTATGTATTGCCAGTAGATGTGAAGCAATTCCTTTCCCGAAGGCATACTTCTTTTTCGAATATTTGCCGCATAAGGGGCATGTTGTCCAGCCATCCAGAGATCCCCTTCCGCTCAATGATGAAAGCTTTGTGCTCTGGTTGGGAGTCGAGAAAGGAGTGTTCACAGGTGAAGTTGACGCTGGACACTGTCTACCATTTCCAAGCAACCTACCAAGAGCATCCGATCTCCGTCTCTTTGTGGGAGGTTCTTCATTGCTCATGGCTTGTCTATATTATTCTCCACAGTGCCATCGTCGTTTTCATACTCTGCGTGGTCCTCTTGTTATTCTTTTCGTGAATCTACAGTACCAAATATTTTGTCGAACACTGTGAAAATTCAAAGTGTCCGTCTTCTCTTTCAATCATCCTTCAGGGTGATTGATACTACACGCAAGGATAGAGATGCGGTAGATAGTCCTGGTAGAAAACCTACTCTTAATCGTCCATGAAGCTCAACGTCGTATTCTGGTTGCTACGAGAAATGTTCTATCAACAGAAACGATTGCTTTGAGGTACGAGCAATTCAGGAATCACAACAGCATGGCAATAAACGAGGAGAAGGAGAAGCAATCCAATTTTCGCAACACCGTCTTGCCATGAATGCAAGCAGTAGCACTTTGTATAATTCATACAACGACAGCATTGGCACTTATTTCTAATTTTAACGATGATTGTAACGTCAATCGTCGTGCTTACCATGAAACTTCGTTAGTCCAGTAGGATGAGACTTCGACTTTCGAGGCTTTCTTCGCATCCACCTGATTGGTTTCAATCAGCCAACTCATGAGGTGATCGTAGTACTCCTTGGCCATGTTGTTGTCGTTCGGAAAGGCAGGAAGAGTGGCAGTGAAGGTGGCGTCAATGACATCTTGTTGCGTCTCTTCTGCCTCTTCCTTCTTGACATAGTCGTAGTAGTATGATCGAGCCAAGTTGGGCTGTTGATGAATGAGACCAGTGGCTCGTCGCATGGCTAAGACCAGCTTGCGAAAGGTGGCCTTTCGTTCTTCAAAACGATCGGGAGTCGTCATGAGAACTAACTGGCAAAAATCAGGAACACCCCACTCTTTCAAGGAAAAGAAGGATGCTTGTTCCATGCCTTTTGCTTTCTGAAATGACAGGAAATCAAAGTTACGTGAGTTGTCCATCATTCCAAACATGGCACAAGATTCACCAATTTTTTCCTCCAGCATAGAACTTACTGCCTCTGGTATTTCAAAGTTCCAAAAGATGAGGGTTGCCACATCAGCCTTTCCTGACTGAAGAGCGTCCGTATGGAAGAATCCTCCATTGTGCTTGCCATATGAGTCCAAATCGCAATCCTGCTTGCCATCGGCCTTGACCATGGTATTGACAATAGCTGGTCCTCCTGGTCCGGGAGACCCAGGATAGGAAATGGTCTTTCCACACATATCAGCAGGTCGAGTGATATCGCCTTTGCCTGCATCGTACAAGATTCCACCGTCAGTGTGCAAGAATCGAGAAAATCCAACGACAGGCTTGCCCTTGGCAGCATCTTGAGCCAAGTGGAGGGGTTCCGTAACAGCCACATCCAAACGACCTGCTATGATTTCTTCTTCAGCTTCCCAGTGATCCTTGGGTTCCACTAGCTCGACATCTAATCCGAATTCACGGAAAATACCATGCTTTTGGGCCACTACCAAGGGCAAATGATCTGGATTTGTGAACCATTCCAAACCGAGACGGATTTTGGTCAAACCGTCGGCAGTGCAACTGGCATCATCAGCTTTGCATTGTTGACTGTAGGCACTTCCTACTGTGAGCAGCAGTATTGAAAGAAGAAATCCAGAGGACATCCTGTTGGTCTTGTCTACTGATGAAGATACAATATGGTGATTTGCGATGAGCCTACTGTATGATGTGGTTGATGGCGATATCCTTCCGATCGTGCGTGCGGTCATAGTAGTCGGCGAGTACGATTAATATGATTCGACTCATTTGATTACGGACTCTTAAGAAACTCGAAGCGAGGGCACTATTTCTTGATGATGCAGTGGAACAGAACAATCGTCAGTCTTCATCATATTCATGCATGACACGAAGTAACACTCAGCGTCCTGCTGTTCGTAAAAATGAAAGTGGGTCACGAGTCGTTATTCTGTCACGACTGAACGTACAGGATTGGAGCGAGTGACAGACGCGATAGAGCTCTGACGTCATTCGGGGATATTGGACTTTGATGGACTTGCATTATCGCACCCGCCATCACTGAATCAATCTACCATATACGTCAATCGAATTTAGTGGTACTATATACTACTTACTGGACATACATTACGATGACAACAACACCAGAAAAGATTGGAATTCTCGTGGTCGGCCTGGGAGGAAATAATGGAGTCACAATGGTGGCTGGATTTTTGGCCAACAACCAAAAGCTCGAATGGGAAACTGGTTCGGCTGGACGAGTTTCAGGGCCCAATTGGAATGGTTGCATCACCCAACTTCCTCCCAAGGGAGGTGGTGTTGGATTTCAAGGAAGATACCCGCTTGCTGATGCCATGAACGCAGCCATTGGAGGATGGGACATACGCCCGATGCCATTGGGCGACGCTTTGTACGAATCTCGAGTCTTGGATTACGATTTGGTCCGACAGGTGCGAGAGGAAATGAATTCCATGGATATTATGAAGGGAGTATACGATGCATCCTTTTTGGGAGAAACCCAACATGCAACTGCCGCGCATATTGTAACTGGACTGGATTCTTTCTTTGAAAAGGTGGAACATATTCGGAAGGACATTCGAGAATTTATTGCTTCCAACAAGGTCGATGGTGCCACGACCGTCATTTGGTCGGCCAGTGTGGAACGGCCAGCTGAAGTTCAATTTGAATCTGCCGATGAGCTTCTGCAAAGTATCCTTGACAGCAAATCTGACTGCGATATTTCACCGTCCATCATGTATGCCGTGGCCTCGGCGTTGGAAGGCTGTTCGTTTGTCAATGGAGGTTCTCAGAATACCTTGTCACCGGGAATGAGTGAGTTGTACGAAGTTGCTTACCGATCCAAATCAGAGGGCATTTTATCTAAATTTACAAATGTATCAACGAAACCTGCCTATGTCTTGGGAACTGATTTCAAGGCTGGCCAAACGAAATTCAAGACGGCCGCCGTCGAATACATTCGTGCCTTGGGATTGACCCCGCGAGTCATTGCCTCGTCGAATCACTTGGGCAACAATGATATGCGAAATCTAACATCGAAAAAGACAATTGCAGCCAAGATGAGAGTCAAGAAGGATATCTTTGAACCATGGCAAGAAGACGAATTGGACCATCAGGTTCGAGTCATGTACACTCCCATGATGTTGGACGAAAAGCGTGATGTCGTCGAATATACCTCCCTTGGGTTTCTCCATTGCCCCCACACCATGCTCACCTACACTCGATGCATGGATTCCATCTTGTGCGTTCCCCTCATGATTGATGCTGCCGTTTGGTGTGACTTTTTTGGCCGTTACCATTCCTCCTCTTCCACGGTCGCCCGCGCCACAGCCTACCTCTTCAAGGTTCCGGAAGGTGGTGCCAAGGGAGTAGATCCTGGGTTCCAACGACAAATGAATGAATTGGAAGCTGCATTGGCAGCCACTGTCAAGGAGGAAGACGGTAGCAGCAAGAAGGACTTGTTGATATTATTGAAACAGGGAGTTGCCTCTGGTATCATTACACAAGAGCAGGCCGATTCGTTGAAGGCCATTCCATAGAGGATATTGTTGGGATAGAGATGATACACATACATACAAATTCCCATTCCATTGCTACAAATAATAAACAATCGCTTCATATTACCACGAGTTATACTACTACTTGTACAGTGACTAGATATCACTAGATATGGTTACCGCCGCTGGTTCCTTTTGTTGTACAGTACAGCATTGTTTTTGCATGGGGCTACTCGCTACATACAGCCATGAATTTGAAACTATTAGTACTACAGTAGTCTAATGATGATTAGATATCCCTAGATACCCTCTGCTAGTTCTTTTTTCGACACTTGTTTGCTTTACTACTAGTAAAGTAGTGTACACGTACGGACGTCTGCTGGTTGGATATCGTTGATAGTCAACATACTCCATAGAAGGAGTCTTCGATTTGCTAATGATATAATTCACTCTATATATATTATGTATGCACCATTGGATGAAAGTGCTTGTGTGTGTGTGTGTGTGTGTGTGTGTGTGTGTGTGTGTGTGTGTGTGTGTGTGTGTGTGTGTGTGTGTGCTGGTGTGTATCTAATTGCCAAATCTTATACACTGACGTTGGGTCATAGCCTTTTCATTTGGCAAGATTGATGATGATTCATATATATTGTTACAAACCCAGCAGCTTTTTGCGGGGACCCCAACCACTGTATGTCATGATTGCTTTTCATTTTCATTTCCTTTTCGTTTTGATTTGAAAGTATGATTATAGTTCTGTCAAAGTCGAACCCGTAGTGCCCACACTGGAAGAGTCAAACATGCTATCTTGCGGCAAGGATTGACGAGGTGGACGCACCAACTTTTGGCTGGAAGCCTTCAAGATTTGGTTGGCCACCTTTTTGGTGTTTGAAGTATTGCTGGAAGGCAACATGGCAGTACACGGATTTCCGCTCAACATCAATTCAATGGCCAGATCGACTGGAGCAAACAAACCAGTCTCTTCCTCATCCGACATGATATCGGAAGCAATCTCCGAAGTGCAGGAAGCGCACTTCTTCTCCTCGTAATCAAAACTGCTCGTACTGTAATACATCATCTTCTTCTTTGTATAATACTTGGTCCTTGGTACTTTGTACTTTGTAACTTTGTCCTTTCTTTTATTGTCGGAATGACTGGTATATTGTGCTTCTGGGTGTGAGATCTCCAATCAAAAAGCGTGACAGAGGCTGACGATCTCAATTGGAGGTGGGATTTTTAAATTTCTGCTCGGCATTCTCTAGTTAACATCTGATTTGCCGCCGAAGAGAAATCCGTGTTTAGGACGATGGACTGCTTCGACTTGCCTACAAGACTTGTGTTTACGAGACCCGAAAACCGTTCAGCCGAGTGAACGTTCCTCAAGACTCTGTAGTGATGCTGCGGGTGTTGAGAAGAAGACGAGGAAGTTACTGACACTGTATGTAGACTAAAACTAAGCAAGTCCCCGATTGGATGGCTAAAGCTCCGAGTGGAAACGCGGTTCACGTTGGGCATTGAACGGACACAAGCAAGATTCACGGCGTAGTCACTCCGTCGATCGGAAAGATTGGTTGATATCCGCTCAGTCGACTGAGTCGTCCAAACAATCGAACTGTGAGGCGGAGGAGGGACAATGATATTTTCCGGACGAAGGAAAGGGGGGAGAGACAGAGCAATGATATTCTCAATTCGGACTTATCGTTGGTACTCTCGTATTGCTCCAAACGATACCAACCACCACCAACAATAAAACAACAACAAAGTCACCCACAAAAAGGAGCGATTGGGGAACCCAAACTGTATATTTATTCCCTTTTAAAAACCTCCGACCTGTGCATTCTTTTCTATATTGTACTGTATACACCATAGAACTCTTTTAAAAGCAAAAGCAAAACACAATGGAAGACAATGACGAAGACAAAAACAAGACTGCCTCCACCATTATTGAAATGTTAAAGGAGGCTGGAGTTTCCACTCACAGTCTAGAAGAAAAAGAACACAAGTTTTGGGACACTCAGGTACGTGTTAATAACGATGCTGATGATTGTACGGTAGTGAACCCATCTATCTACGTTTGACAACAATGTCTCATGTTGTGTTTCTTTGCTCCACTTGCCACGCTTGGTGCTTTTGACGATATTTGTCAACGCGATAAACTAATGACTGACGAATCTTTGCTAATCCATCGATATATTCAATATAGCCAATGGCACATGGTGAAAAAGGAACTGAACTTCCCGAAGGCCCCGTTGTACCAGACAAAAAGCCCGAGGAAATTAGACAAGAACCATACAACATGCCAGCTGGGTTTGAATGGTCAACGGTTAACATTACCAACCAAGAAGAAAAGATGGAATTATATACGTTGTTGGCAAACAATTATGTAGAAGATGATGACTCTCTATTCCGATTTGATTACTCGCAAGAGTTCCTCGAATGGGCCTTGACGCCTCCTGGGTATTCCAATGACTTGCTACTGGGAGTGAGGGCTTCCAAAACCAAAAAGCTTGTAGCATTCATCTCTGCCATTCCTGCCAATATCAAGGTCCAATCTACTGATCAACTCAAAGTGGTTGAAATCAACTTTCTATGTGTCCACAAGAAACTACGAGCCAAACGATTGGCACCCGTCCTCATTAAGGAAATCACTCGCCGCGTCAACCAAACAGGAGTCTTCCAGGCTGTCTACACGGCCGGCGTCGTGCTGCCGGTCCCCGTCGCCAGTGCTCGCTACTATCATCGAAGTCTCAATCCCAAAAAGCTGGTCAAGGTGGGCTTTTCTCGGTTGAATCCACGCATGACCATGGCCCGAATGGTCAAGTTGTACAAACTTCCAGACCAAACGCGCAGCAATTTGGTACCCATGACCAAGGATCACGTGGACGGAGTCCATCACCTATTGACCACTTACCTCGAAAAGAATTTCAAGCTGCACGTGAACTTTACTGCGGAAGATGTGGCGCATTGGTTGCTCCCCCGCGACAAGGTCATCAATACCTACGTCTTGGCGGACAACAACGATGGTGCCGTGACGGACATGGTCAGTTACTATCACTTGCCATCCGCCATTTTGGGTCTGGATGATACTCTGCACGCTGCTTATTCGTATTACAATATTGCTACCAGCATGCCCTTGGAAGACTTGATGCGCGATGCTTTGATTTTGGCCAACCGCACGGGAAGCGATGTCTTTAATGCACTCAATCTAATGGAGAATGAAAGTATTTTGGAAGAACTCAAGTTTGGAAAGGGGGATGGTAACTTGCAATATTATGTTTACAACTGGAATGCACCATCCATGAAACCAGCTGATGTTGGGATCGTCTTGTTGTAAAATAAATGATGGCAAACACCAGCAAACAACAAATCCTACATTATTATTATTTTTTAAAAGAAAAAAAACATCAAACTTTTTTGTTCCAAGTAAAAATGATAAATGACGATGGGGGACGAATAAGTCAGGATTTAGTATGCAGTGGGTAGCCAGTGGTCGTACAGGTACATGTAAATGAAGTCATGCCGATACTGTAGTCCTATGTAGTTCAATCATAATTATTGTCATGACTTTTGCTCTGCTTCATCATTTGGTCCGGTCTCTCTCGACTTTTTCTTCAGTGGGGCTTCTTCTTCTTCACGATTTCCTTCTTGCTTCTCTTCTTCTAGCCGCTCCAATGAAGCGATTAATTCGTTTTCACGCTGAAGAAGATCGTCCCACATGGTATTGGAAACCGGTGCCTTTTCAGCAAACAGAAATGAGTTTTGATACCCCCCTTTGGTTTGGACCGGTATCTTGAGGAGTTGTGTCTTTATTATGATTCCCGATTTGTCAGAATCACCTTTCTTGGCTTCATCTATTTCCATCGTTTTGTCCTCATTTACAACAGCCTCGTCTCCTTCTTGGTGCATCGCAGTCGTATCGGCCGATTGAATCCCCATTTCCAAATGATGGCACCATTTGTGAAACTTGCCTTCCAAATGCCACCGTGGAGGCCCCTTCCATCGTCCCTTCACCTTTTTGTTCGACTTCCACTTGCCAGAGGCACATACATCTTTTGTGGGGAACTTGTAGTTACCCAGTTCAAAGAATTCTTGTCGTTTCTGATAAAATACTCCAGGCAAACAGCACGGTTTCAGAATCAGTGCCTTGGCTTTGGGAAGCATATGGAATAGCTTGATGGCCTGGGTCGACAAAGTTCCACACAAGTGAATTGCTAAAATCAGAATGGGGCCCTGGTCACTTTTGCTATATCGGTCCTGCAATTGTCGCAGAGTAATGGATTGCTTCAAATCTTGTTTGCTAGTGACCAAGGGTATTGGCCAGCTATCGTAGTATTCAAACTTGGAATCGCTATCTTTCCCCACGTCCCCATAGATATGTTCCCAACTTATGTGATGAGGCTTGGGTGTCATGTGACAGAGTGGCCAAGCCTTGTCTACCAGAATGCATTTTTTGACCCGACCAGGATCGTCCAAATAATCACTCAAAATCATGGACAAGTATCCCTAGGTGTATGGAAACGAAAAAAAAAAAGATTAGACCGGATGTCATACACGCAAACGTTTGGCCACTGCAAAGACTTCATTCGTACCTTCCCCGAACACAAATCAATCATGGTAACATTCTCTTTAGACATCATCCATTGATCGACCGCGTGGATGACAGGAACGGATTCCATGGCTTCCTTGAAGACTCTATCCTTTTTGAAAATACGATTCCACAGAGGAATGTTTCCGTGATACCGTCTTCTCCATTTTATAATACTTTGAGCCACTTTGGCAAAGACATCTGGATATTGGTTGTACAGCTGGATGTTTTCCTGTTTCAGTTCTTCTAAAATCCATGCTACAAATTCTTCATCTGTCTGTTCATTGTATCGTGGAGTGTCTGATAGGGTAGTGGATGGAGCAGGAACAAAGGCAATGGTTGTGCTGAAGGTATCATTGGTGATGTCACTGTCCTCTTTGGTGGTGGGTACGGATATTGAAACAGCAGCCTTATTCATGATGTCAAATCGCAATAAAGACTCTATGTTAGCTACGAGTACAGTAGCTAGAGGAATAGCACACAATGCGACGATGGTTTTTAGTCGATCGAGTCATACAAACGGGGTCACGGACGCGTCCGCGTCCGTGAAAGAATAAAAACATCTCAGTACTGGTACCGTAATATATTAGTGGCCATTTAAAAAAGATGAATGGCCATCAACAACCAAGACAACGTACAACCGACAAGATGAAGATATGAGAACCTCTGCTTCACCAATAATGAAGAATCACAGCTCTGTTGTGAAACTGCCTAGTTTCGTCATATTCTTTCAGGTCACGAGCTTCTTATTTTGTTCCACTGTTCTTGTCCAAGCATCGCCCACCATTCGATACCTTCATGGTCGTCTTGAATTGGAAAAAAGTTCGAGTGGCTTGCTGGAAACCCATTCCAGTTCTACAGTCTCCGAAGCCTGGAAGCATTGTCAACACTCTGAAAATTGCGTGTCCTTTGGATTTCAAGCCACAGCACGATATCCCGGGGCCAATGTGACAGTGGCGTATTATTCCGTCGCCGACTGGCACATTCCCTCTCATTTGGTCGAGTCGGAACCCTTCTTTGTGCCGGATGACACCTGGCATTTATATGTCAATACGACTCGTGAACAGGCCATGGTGGCCACTGAAGTCCAACAAACTTTGGCCAAGCTGAAAGCCTTGGATGTGCATGGCATATACGAAGACAAGGCGGAGAGTCTCGAGAAGTCTTCCTCGGGACGCTTGCGATCCAGAGTTGCTAGTAGTGACACGGATGCATCTGCATCTGCATACAACAAGAGAGTACGGTTGCTGAAGGCTCAGGAAAAGGCGGGTTGGTTACTAGGACTATTTGGGATTGCCAAATACAAGGCCCTAAGGCTAGCTTTGATTCCCACTCTGACCCGACCACTCATTCAAATTGCCAGCGACAATGACGAAATGGATGAAATTCGAACGATTGCCTTGGAAATCATCTTGGCCTTGACAGATTCTTACGAAACGCCGGTGATATTACAAGGGGAATACAATCTTTTGGCCTATTTGCAGGCCATCATTCAGCCTCCGAACAGTCATGGCCAAAACCGCCACCAGAAGGCTACCATCACGTGGGGAATTGTCAACAGTATGGCACTTGATCTCATTTCCAACATGGCCTTGCATGGGACAAAATCCAATCCCTTTGTCATTCCCAACGGACTCTGGGACCTATTGCAACAAATATCTCAAGCTGAATCCGGATCGGCGATTGGTTTGCAGGCTTCCTTGGCACTCATTCATCTTTGGGGCACTGGAATGATGAAGGGTGTCAGTATTGACAGCCTCCCAAAGTCTACCTTGTTATCTCTGCTTGAATTGCTAGAAGCTACGATAGATGGAGATCCAGTGTATGGATACGATTGGGACTTGATGCCAGGTCCACTGAGTGCAATTCAGCTGTTGGTCACCAATGGAGCTACCGGTAGGAGTGACCCTACTGCCCAATCGTCAGATGTTGAATCTAAACAAAGCGAGAACAGTGACACCGCAAGCATGGTCGATATTTTATTGAATGCTGGATTGGTTGAGCAGTTGACGCGGATCTTGGACTCCACAGAATCATCCTTGCCATCGGCTTTGACCACGTTGGCAACGCTTGAAATCCTCCAATGTCTTCGAATACTTTCTCGCAAAGCCGAAATCATGGTGGCTTTGGTGGCTGCCACTAGCATTGATGCAACAAGACGTCGATTACAGGAATACGAAACGGTACAAGAAGTGGCACAATCTCTAGCAAAAGAGGTTGCCTCTCACAAACTCCATCAGGGTGGCGGGTGGATGATGGACGAGGACGACGGCCAAGAGTTGTGATCCACTCCATTCTGTTTTTGAGACAATGCATCATTAGTGAAGCAACCTTGATCACTATCACCAAGACAAGTCATCCCGCCATGAACAAGATGTAGCATTGCATCCATCGTCGTTGGTACTCCCAAGATCCATAGGAAAAACATTACGAAACTAAAGAAATAAATGAAAGGAATGATTGGTTCTCTTCCGAATGACTGCTGATGAGTGCCATTCTTGAATCCCTGGCCGCAGCATTTGCTTTGGAAAGTTTTCTTTTAAATCACTCACCTCTGGAACTATTGGTTCTTGCGGAACCCTGTCTTGAAACGTCTAGTCGAATAGGATCGAAGGTTGTAATCGGTATTTGTATATTGTCAGTATTCGTAAATTGACAAATCCTTTTGGGGGAGGCACACTCGGAGAAGAAGAGGGACACCCTGCCCTATAACTGTAAATCATTGTCGCGAAATAAGAACCGCATCATCTCATTTTCAATTTTATTGGAGTAGACCTTAGTTTTGACTTCTTCGACTCCCAATAAAATCTATGAGCCCCATGCTGCACCATACGACCTTGTTGTGATTACAAATCGTGATATTGCGACCTACCGGCACACTATCTAATTATCCTAGATTCCTGCATCCTCTGAATTGCAAAGTTTGGTCTAGAACCGATCAGATTCAAGGAAATTCCTCCAAGTCAATTGAATTGTCGGAAGGAAGAAGTGAGAAAAAACACGAGCCAAACATCTCTTTTCTACTGTTGTAGCACTCCAAAACACCGCATAATTTTGGTATATCGGCAACTTTGGTGAAGGTCCGCCCTTGTCTGGGTGCGGATACGGCGACTGGGAAAGGTACTCGACTACTTCTGGAATGAATGCTGAATTGATCACCCACATCAGGTGACTGTGGTTGGATCACTTCTACCTAGAGACCTCCCATTCCAACCCCCCTAGTCATGATATATATACCCAGGCATGCTTCTACTGTGTATTACGATGATATAGGTTATTATATAATAATTGTACCGGTATATGTTATTTGTGCTCAATTTTGGGGACTCGAGGCCTGATCAGGGCCGTCTGCGACCCCCGATGCGGCGATGGGTTAAAATATTTCCGTTCAGATATATTATCGCAGACAAAATTTGGCAGAAAATTCAGCCCAATCCAAAAAATGGGATTGAAAGGGAAAATGAGGTGGCTTCACAGCTTCTTCTTGGTTGCATTTGCAGTCGTTGGCTGCACTCATGCACAAGGCGTCTCAGATACTGTATCACCGAGCCCAACCTTATCAAAATATCCATCAGGAAATCCTTCCATTTCATGGGCACCCAGTATACTACCGTCCTTTAGCCAATTGCCATCTCTGTCCCAATCACCCAGTGCATCTTCAATTCCAAGCCTGAGGCCACCCAATGGTTCATCAGTCAGCACACAACCAAGTGGCTTGCCGTCGAGAATGCCGACAGCTTCCGCGTCGCCTAGCCTGAGGCCGTCCCTGATCAATGTTGCATCTGAAGCCCCTTCTTTAAGCGAGACGCCATCGGTGGCACCATCTCTGTTGCCATCATTCAGTGATGCCCCAACAGCGTCCCAGGCTCCTTCGGATTCCATTTATCCAAGTGTCCTTCCTAGCGGTCCTTTGACACCAGTGGCGGATAATTCTCCTACCAAATCCTTGCAACCGACAGTTGTGCCATCGTCTTCGTTGGATCCAACTTCGAGTATTCAGCCGACTCGGGAGCCGCTGAAGCCTATTGTCGAGTGGAAAATGTTGGTAGCTAACCGCTTTCAATATGCATTTTCCGATGTGGAGGCCGGGGCTACTGCGTCGAATAAAGATTCCGATCGAGATACCATTGTTATCACGGCCACCAATACAACTTCTGTGCGACTAGGAGAGCTACCGAGTACACCGGTGCTGGCTATGACGGGCCAAGTGACCATTGAGCTGAATGAATGGGTGGATGTCACCAACTATCGAATAGTTCAAATGTTATTTTGGTTCTATGCTCGACGAAATCAGGCCAATGTGGAAAGTGATCGCTTTGTAGTGGAGTATGCCAATCGTACAGCAGCAAATGGCGATGGCACGTGGATTACACTCAAGACGTACCAACGGGGGAGAGGACGATTTCGTCGCAACAATCGATGGTATCTGGGTAGAGTCATCATTTCTACTCCAGATTTGGAAGCAGTCCAATTTCGATTGCAAAGTTTTTTTCCGACGAGTACCAAGATGGTCTTGTTGGACAAGTTTGGTATTTTGGGGTTCGGAAAAGAAGGAATGGGGACGACAAGCGACAAGAATAGTCTGTCGCAAGAATCGCAACAGCGAGGCGTCTCTAATGAAGAACCAATCCGGGGAAGGTCCACCAACTTTTATGATGATTCTTGGTTGAGCCATCACAGAGAATCGTTACAGCGAGGAGGTCCGAACCGTATAGAGTCTGTCCAACCAATCCGCGGAAAGCTCACCAACCTTACAGTTGATGAAACCTGGTTGAGTCAGCCATTGGCTTGAGACTCGGGGGTTGACAAGTAGTCTTCTGCTGAAAGCAATAGCATGTCTATTAACAACAACGAGTGATTCAAAAGAAGAGTGTACGAATTCACACAAGTCAACAAAGACACATTGCCAATGGAGATGATACGAAAAGCAGCAACAACAATGGCCCCGAATGGCAACTCGTATCCAATAGTGCGATTTCGATTAATTTTCACAGTTAGTATTGTTTCTCCAGGATCAATTGTTCAAGCAATTGGATAAATTGCCAGTACATCCTTTTTTCTTCAGGCAATTCAACTGACTTAGGTCCAAGACCAAAAGTATAGAGGGAGTTTTCTGGTCCTGGAATCTCCGCCCTGATGGATGTCGCGCCCCCTTTAGTCCACTTGCAACCGACATCGACCTGAAACCTTGCTCTTCTTCCATGTTGCCTGAAGATCATTCCACGAATAATGGTAGCAATTTGGCAGCATATTTTGCTAGCTGCTCCACGTGGCGGAGGCAATGGGAGTACTCCCCAAGCCTTACGAGTCGGGTTTGGCTGACGCGAAGGAAAAATATGGTCTTGAAAGTGATATTGGCTGGAGAGAAGCGATAGCAGTTTGCCTGCTGCCCCTGCCGTTGCATCTGTTTTCATTGTTAGGAGCGCATCAGTGGCATCGAATTATTCCAGCGTTACGAAAGCAAGAACAAAAGACAAGGAAAACTAATTTGAATATGACAACGGACATGACTATACTTCGACGTTACTCATTTCTGCTGGATCTGGAGTCTGCAAAACAAAACAAAACAAAACAATAGGTAGGTGGGGTCACGAGCCCAGCGAATACTTGCCTTCCTTTCTCATCCGCAATGAAATACGACACAGTGCAATCGTTGATACGCTTTCATCTTCTCATCCGCAACAACTCCGACGGTGTAAATGCTGTACGTTGGTAGATATGCCAGTCTCATGGCAACGTAGTAGTAGTAGTATAATAAATAGTAAGGTGGATTGAAGGTTCACTCCGCTGCTCCCTTTGTTAGATGTTCAGTCCAGTGCCATCCATACGCAAGACGACGTGCTCCACCGAAGTTGCCAATGGCAACGACAGCTGATCACACGGATAACCGATAACACTTGCTCTTCCATGCTTGATGTTTGAGCTACAGTGATGGGCCAAAGATACTGATATTCTGTAGGGGAGACTTCCACATTGTTTGCCTTCGAATCCAATAGGGAAAAAATGAAGAAGACCTTGATGATGATGATGATGCTGTTGTTGCTG